TAAGATTGTCTTCCATGAAAGCAGCGAGTCCATGGAAGCAAGCCCTCGTTGAGCGAATTGGGACTTAAGAGAGTCGCGGTTAGCGGGATTGCACCTGTTGTCGTTTTGCACTTCAGAGAAGCCTCATTGACAGTCCCTCGCCTTGGACTGGAGGAAGGGGGACAAGATGGGGGGCAGACCGAACCTCCTGTGCCCTTCTGAGGGTTGGGAGGAAATCGGAGAGGTTGCAACATGGCACCCAGCTGGTCACTGCGAGAACAGCATGGGGGACTAGATGGCCCGCTGGCCTGATCCAGCACAGCTCTTCTTAGGTCATTCTGGCTTATATAAACATATTCTGCCACATCCTTCCTTTAAAGAGCGTTTGATTGCTTATATTGGACTTCATCACGACAGACCTGGGAGGTAGGCTAAGTTGAGAGAGGCTGGCTGCCCAAGATTCTTTTCGTTGCAGAATGCGATGGTGATTTTGGGTGTTTTCCAACAGCCCACAAATGTGCTATAATAATAATAATAATAATAATAATAATAATAATAATAATTTATTTATACCCTGCCCATCTGGCTGAGTTTCCCCAGCCACTCTGGGAGGCTTCCAATCAAGTGTTAAAAACAATACAGCATTAAATATTAAAAACCTTCCTAAACAGGGCTGCCTTCAGATGTCTTTTAAAGAGAAGATAGCTGCTTATTTCCTTCACATCTGATGGGAGGGCATTCCACAAGGCAGGCACCACTACCGAGAAGCCCCTTTGTCTGGTTCCCTGTAACCTCACTTCTTGCAATGAGGGAACCACCAGAAGGCCCTTGGCGCTGGACCTCATTGTCCGAGCTGAACGATGGGGGTGGAGACACTCCTTCAGGTATACAGGACCAAGGCCGTTTATATTATTACCTGCACAGGTGAGGCCACACCCACCTCTAGTCACATGTAGAGGAAGTCTGTCCCAGCCCAGAGGGAAAAGGAAGTCTACCTGCTGGCTGGACAAACATCCCTCCCCATGTGCAAACATGTTCACTCTAGGAATGTTGTACTTGACTGCTCTTGTGTTTCACATCCCACAATTTAGGGCTTTAAAGATCAGCACCAACACTTTGAATTGTGCTCGGAAACGTACCGGGAGCCAATGCAGATCTCTCAGTGTTATGTGGTTCCGGCGGCCACTCCCAGTCACCAGTCTAGCTGCCACATTCTGGATTAATTGCAGTTTCCGGGTCACCTTCAAAGGTAGCCCCACATAGAGCGCATTGCAGCAGTCCAAGCAGGAGATAACCAGAGCAGGCACCTGTGATGGCCTGGGATTCCGAGTCTGAGAGTGAACCGGAGGAATCCCAGCCGGCACAGGAGTCCCCGCCTCCAGGGCTGGCTGAACTGGGGCAAGGCCTAGATGCTGAGGAGCCTGCACCTGTGCCAGATCCTCAAGAGCAGGCACCAGGTGAAACCATTCTGGCCCCAGAGGTGCTGGAGGACTCAGTGTCTGCAGGTGAGCCTCCTCCGGGGCCCAGTAACCCTTCGGCCTCTCCTGAACTGCAGAGGCTTAGGGCAGAGAGGCGAAGGGAACTGGTGTCTCCCAGGAGGAGTGCTCGCCTTAAGGCCAAGAGAGGCGGGGCTCCTGGGGGCCGGGACCGCCCCCGGCCTTAGAAGAAGATAAAGGTCAGGCAGCCCGGTCCCAGGTTGCGGGAGCAACGTCGTTGTGGAGTGCCTGCTTTACCCAGACCTAGATCAGCACTCCCAGTGTGCCTGTTCCTCGCCCGGCTTCCTGCTTCCGACTCTCCGGTGTTCCTGTTCCTCGCCTGGATTCCTGCTTCTGCCCTACCAGTGTTCCTGTTCCCCGCCTGGCTTCCTGCTTCTGGCCTGCCAGCGTTCCTGTTTCCCCGCCCGGCTCCCTGTTTCGGACCTCGCGTCTCATCCAGTGATCGTCTACCCTGCTAGAGACTCTGGACTGAACTTGGGCTACGGTAATAGTACCTTTCCCCCCCGGGACCAGCACAGCACCACTCTGGTGAGACAGTCCATGGGCAGGTAGGGTCTCAGCCTGCGTACCAGGTGGAGCTTGTAAACAGATGCCCTGGACACTGTAGCAGGAAACCCCCCCCCCCTCATTACACTGTAATGCGCAAGCACCACACACACACCTCCCACCTTCCCCGAGCCTGAAGATGCCCCTCTAGAGGGGCATCCCCTGAAAGTCTTCCGTAAATAAGGAAGCGCTAACTTGACAGCTCCGTGTGGAACCCCTTTATTTTCATATATTTTCCCTGAGTAGACCGTAAAACTCTACCTCACCCAATTCCTTTAATGGGTTGACCAATTCTCTGAACTTGGGGTCAATCAGCTGCCACTTCAGCCAATCAGCGCTACCGAACAGCGCCCCTTGTGGCGACCACGCAGGTACTGCAGGCAAAGGCGCACGCTTCTCTATGCTTTGACAGCTCTCAAATACAAAGTTTCGAGTTTAATTGACCGTGACTGATCTAATCAAAATGTTGAAACCTGCTTCCGGGAAAGTGAAAGTGCTTTGAACTTCTAGGACAGTTTCTTCATAAATTCACTATAAATCAGCCGTACATCGGATTTTCACCAGACCACTTTTATTCTGCTTCATATTACAAGGGCTATCAAAGGGGGGTGGCTTGATGCCAGTCGGACATAATCCCTTGAGCGAGGGGGCACGTACTCTACAGCCCTTCCCAATTGGCATGGCAACCTTGATAGTCATCTTGATAGGCTCAGACAGAAGACTATCAAGAACACAACGAACTGCATACACGAGTGGATTCAGCACGGACTATGATAAAGGGACAGTGATTGGATTCCCCTCAGGGGGCAGGAAACTGCACCTATGCTTTTGTCTTCTGGAAATGACTCATGGGGAGGGGGAGAAGGGGCTCCGGCCAGGTGTCATGATACTCAGATTACCTGTGTAACTCAGGGGATTAGAAGCTAATAAAAGTTGGGGTTTTCCTTTGTTTGGGGCCTCCATTTTGCTTCACCTTGTGGGCGGTGGGAGTCCTGTCGCGACAGTCTTTCTTTAATAAAGACCAGGCCTACAGGCTGCTGATTTGCTCCAAGTTACTCTGGTCGGTGTCTTTGCTTTTACCCAAGGGAGCCCTCGGATTTTCCGTTAACAACACAGAATTAACCTGTGCCTCCATGGACAGCTGTGAGTCCAAAATGACTCCCAGGCTGCGCACCTGGTCCTTCAGGGGCAGTTACCCTGCTGGGTTGTTGTTTTTCTAAAGCACCCTCCCACGACCCCAAAATCTCAGCCTGCCTGGGGCTCAGGGCCAAAGCCTGAAACTAAATCTCCCAGAAGCCTTTGCGTCTGAGAAGGAAAGGAGCCCAGGAGTGGGGAGTCCCACAAGGCAAAGGGGCTTTTGCTTTTTTCTCTCGCCAGTCCCCGAGATCAGGGGCTTTTGCAGGGCAAGAGGCAGAAGGAGCTTTTTCTTGCTAGGCTTTGGAGGGGAAAGGCTCTTTCGCAGGAAGGGAGGCGACTTGAGCGTTGCTTCCAGACGGGGGAAATGCTGGACTAAGGAAGGAAGATCTGCAGACTAAGGGAGATCCACGGCTGCCAGGAGCCTGCTAGGTCCCTCCTGGAGACTTGAGCTCCAGACACGGATCTTTCCGGGTCTTGTGCATCTGAGCCCTTTCCTGCATGCAAAGGACGAGGCTTGGGAGATCTTCATGGAGAAGCCCCCGGGAGTAGGAGATCCTTCCCTTCCCTCAATCGGACCAACGTTGATGTTCACCGGCAGAACTCGAACGAGGGATTTAGAGAGCTGCCGCCGCCGGCCTCTTATATAGAGGCTTTTAAACACGATCTAATAGCAGGTGGGCTCTTTAAGTTCTGTTGCCATTCTCCCTCATCTATGTGGTTGGCGCAGAGCAAAGTTACTCTCTCTTTTCCTAGCGGTGAGTCAAAGTCTATATCTAATTGCCAGTTCCATGGCTTGGTCAAGACAGGCCAGTCCGCTAGTTGACTCCTTATCAGGCCAGCTGTCTAGACCTCTGCTTGATGCCATGTTCTCATTATATAGATAAATTCATGGGAAAGCCCTCTGTGATGGCCTGGCAATCCAATTCAGGGGCTGAACCGGAGGCATCCCAGCCTGCACAGGAGTCCCCGCCACCAGGGCCGGTTGAGCTGGGGCAGGGGCTTGATTCTGAAGCGCCTGCACCTGTGCCAGATCCTCAGGAGCAGGCACCAGGTGAATCCACTCTGGCTCCGGAGGTGGTTGAGGACTCAGTGCCTACATGTGAGTCTCCCCCGGGGCCCAGTAACCCTTCAGCCTCTCCTGAACTGCAGAGGCTCAGGGCAGAGAGGCGGAGGGAACTGGTTTCTCCCAGGAGGAGTGCTCGCCTTAAGGCCAGGAGAGGCGGGTCTCCTGGGGGCCAGGGCCGCCCCTGGCCTCAGAGAAGATAAAAGGCCAGTCAGCCCGGTCCCAGGTTGCGGGAGCAACATCGTTGAAGAGCTGTTTCGGCCAGCATCCAGTCCTGTTCCCCCAGAGTTCCTGTTCTTGCCCGGCTTCTCGCTGTGGACCCCGCTTCGCCCTTGGAGAGACTGTCTGCTGACCCTCAACTCAGGTCCTGGACCTCGCCCCACGGTAACCTCCCCCCTGGACCAGCACACCCTCGTTATATGTACAGATAGAGTTAAAAGGATTTAGAGCTAAAATTACATCGAGATCAGGAGACACCTCCTTCTAAAAATATCTGGCATTACACATACTCAAAGCATTGGTGTGGTTTCTCTCCTGTGTGGACTCCCTGAGGCAGCACCAGCCTAGCCCTTCCAGGCCAAACATTTCCCACACTCAAAACATTAATGGGTTTCCCTTTTTAGTGGATTCTCTGGTGCCTTTGAAGGTCCAAATGAGCAGCAATTCATTTCCCACACTCCAGACACTTGCATTGTATTTCCTTCGTGGAGTCTCCAATGTTGATAAAAGGTTCCTTTCTTTACAAAGCATTCCCCGCACTCCCAACATTTATATGCTTTCTATTCCATATGGAGTCTCTGGTGTTTTCTAAGGTTTCCACTCTGTGAAAACCATTTCCCACACTCTACACATTGGTAAGGCCTCTCTCCTGTGTGGACTTTCTGGTGTTTGCGAACATATGATGACCAAGAAAAACATTTCCCACACTCCATGCATTTGTAGGGTTTTTCTCCTGTGTGGGTTCTCTGGTGTTTCAAAAGATTCCCTTTCTGACGAAAACATTTCCCACACTCCAAGCACTTGTAAGCTTCCTCTCCTGTGTGGATCCTTTGATGCATGTTAAGCTCTGATTTTCTTGCAAAGTATTTCTCACACTCCAAGCATTTATAGGGTTTCTCTCCTGTGTGGGTTCTCTGATGGGAGACAAGGGTGTCTTTCCTTAAAAAACATTTCCCACACTCCAAGCATTTGTGGGGTTTCTCTCCTGTGTGGGTCTTCTGGTGCCCCCTAAGGCTTTGTGCTAAAGTAAATGACATTCCACAGTCTAAACATTTATGTGGCTTTTCTCCTGTGTGGACTCTCTTATGAATAATAAGATGTGATGAAGTGGAAAAACATTTCCCACACTCTCCACATTCATATGGTCTCACTCCTGTGTGGATTCTCTGGTGTACATGAAGGTGTGATTTGCTGGCAAAACATTTTCCACACTCCACACATTTGTAGGGTTTCTGCCCAGTGTGGATTTTTTCGTGCTGCTTGAGGTGTTGTTTCTGGGAAAAGCATTTTCCACACTCCACGCATTTGTAGGGTTTCTCTCCCGTATGGATTCTCTGGTGGATTGCAAGATGTGATGCTGAAATAAAACATTTCCCACACTCCGCACATTTATGAGGCCTCTCCCCGGTGTGCACAGTCTGATGGCTCAGAAGTTCAGCTTTCTCATGAAAACATTTCCCACACTCTCTACATTCATAGGGTTTCTCTCCTGTGTGGATTCTCTGGTGTCGCCTGAGATTTACATTTGTGGGGAAACATTTGCCACACTCCAGACACTTATGGGGCCTTTCTCCTGTGTGGGTTTTCTGATGGCTTACAAGGCCGGAATGGGAAGTAAACTTTTTTCCACATTCAAAGCAGTTATACCGTTTCTCCCCTGTGTGAACCAACCGATGGCTCCAAAGATGTGCATTTTGAGGAAAACATTTCCCACACTCCCAGCATTCATAGGGCTTCTCTCCTGTGTGGAGTCTCTGATGGATCACAAGGCCTGACTTTTCAGCAAATGACTTCCCACACTCCAAGCATTTGTAGGGTTTCTCTCCTGTGTGGGTTTTCCTGTGCCTCATAAGGCTTTGTGCTAAAGTAAACGACATTCCACAGTCTAAACATTTATGTGGCTTCTCTCCTGTATGGAGCCTCCGATGGACCACAAGGACTGACTTGCGAGGAAATGATTTCCCACACTCCAGGCATTTATAGGGTTTTTCTCCAGTGTGGGTTCGCTGATGGGTAACAAGTTCTGACCTATAAGAAAAGCATAACCCACACATACTGCATTTGTGGGGCTTCTCTCCTGTGTGGACTTTATGGGGTCCATGAAGCTGTGATCTCTTGGGGAACCCAATCCTACTCTTGCCATATTTGTGGGGTTTCTCCCCTGTGTGGCCTCTTTCATGTTTCACAAAATCTGAGAGTCGGGGAAAACCTTCCCCACACTCCAAGCAGCGATATGGCTTATCTCCTCCTGCATGGATGTTCCGGTGGATCAGAACGATGGGCTGATGAGCAAGAACCTTCCTGAACTCCAAAGACACAGGGGTTTCCAAAGGGCTCACAAGCTCTGAACTCTGACCAAAACATTCCCCACGCTCAGAGCTTTCCTGGATCTTCTCCCCTGTGTGGATTCTCTGGTGTCTAGCAAGAGCCAAACTGAAGGCAAAGCATTGGCCACTCTCTGGGCAGAAGTGTTTCCTCCTCCAGTCTCCTGCAGAGAGAGTGAAGAAAGTGGAATCAGGGTTTGAAGATGGCTGAGAAGTAGCTTCAGAATCCAGACTGAAATCATTGGATCAGATGATGCGTGAGAGACGGAGGTCATACCACTTCTCCCCACCCACCCACAACACCCACTGCATAAGGTATAACCAGTGAAAGAGCCTTTTAAAATGAAGTAACAGAGAACATTTTTCTTGCCCATTCTCAGCAAGGGAGGAGAAACACTGAACGGACTCGTCATCCCACCCAAACTGCCTCACCTGAGCTGGTGTCCAAAATGGCAGCCCCTGTTCCGTCTGAGATCTGATATTGTGGCGTCCTGGGCTCTTCCGCTTGCTCTGCGCTGGCGATGAGGCTCGTCTTGGGAAGCGGCAGTGCTATGCGGGAAAGAAGGAAGAAGAAGGAAGAAGAGGAGAAAGAAGAAGTGAGGAAGCATTCGGCCTTATGGTCCAAACTATCCCCAATGACCGCTCATCGAGGACCCATAACTAAACAGTACCTTGGGTTAGGGGCTGCATGTTTGCGGGGGGCAAGGTGGTCCTTTGCTCTGTGCTGGAAGGAGAAGGGAGGACGGCTGAAGATGGCTGCAGGGTGGGGGGTCAGGACTGCACTGCCAGGACCCCAGGGAGGGGACTCGGTTGGCACTTCTGGAGTATTGCTGTTACGCTGGTGGGAGTCCCTCACATGCCAGCAAACCCATTTTGCACAGCTAGAGTGCAGCGCAGTGGTTAAAGTGCCCGACTAGGACCTGGGAAGCTAATACTTTTTGATCTGAACCCCACCCATCTGACTGGGTCACCCCACCCACTCTGGGCAGCTTCCAGAACATATAAAAACATAATCAAATGTCCAGCATTAAAAACTTCCTGATACAGGGCTCCTAAAGGTTATATAGTTATTTATTTCCTTGATATATGACTGGAGGGTGTTTCACAGGAGGGCACCACTACAAAGAAGGTCCTCTGCCTGGTTCCCTATCGCTTCACTTCTCACGTTGAGGGAACCAGCAGAAGCCCCTCAGAGCTGGACCTCAGTGTCCTGGCTAAATGATGGGATGTAGATGCTCCTTAGGTATATGGGGCCCAGGCCGTTTAGGGCTTCTTGTGGGGATTAAATGAGGGGGAGACCCGTGTGCCCCACATTGCGCTCCTTGGAGGGGGAAAGGTTGGGATAAAAATGGATGGCATTAAGAATAAAGTACATTTGCAGCTCTTGTGCAACAAACCTGCTCCCCACCTGCCCCTCCACCCCAAAAGAAGAGTGACAAGAAAATGTCCCGGAAGGACTGCTCCAGACTCGAGGAAGGAGGCTCCTTACCCAGAGAGGCCACGTCCCCCTCATTCTCCAGCATGGCCTCCCTTGCTCTTCGGACAACGTCCAGCAGGGGGGGCCCTTTTGACCCTAGAGAAATAAACAGACATATCCTCAAAGGTTAGCGATCTCTGTAATGACAAAATGCCCTCAGCAAAAACTGCAGCGCCTCAGGAACGAACGCCTTTGGTGGCAAGTGAGGAGAGAATCTCCGTCTTCCCCATAGATCCTTGCAACTACATTCTATTATTATTATTATTATTATTGATTTTCTTGGGTTAACAAAAAAGTGCACAAGTTGTCTCCGTTTTCAAATCATAAAAGTTCTTTCTTCCGATCCTTTATCTTCAATGTGAGACTTTAATGCTCTATACTGGACTTTTGCCACTACTGTCGCGATGTTACCGGAAAAACCCGAGGGCTCCCTTGGACGAAACAAAGACACCAGCCAGAGCAATTCAGAGCAAAACAGCAGCCAGTAGGCTTGGTCTTTATTAAGAGAAGACTGTCGCGACAGGACTCCCAACGCCCACGAGGTGAAGCAACATGGAAGCCCCGAACAAAAGAGAACCCAAAATTTTATTAGTTGCTAATCCCCTTAGCTACACCCTCAAAATTACATCATATTTACATCATGATTATATTATGAACAGGAGGAGTCAGGGGAGGGGTCCGGCAGGTAATCCGAATCCCCCCACACCTGGGCAGTGCCCCTCTCCCTCTTTCCCGTAAGTCATTTTGGAAGACAAAGGAAAAGGGCGCAGTTTCCTGCCCCCTGGGGAAATCTGGTCACAGTTCCCTTTGTCTTAGTTGTGGCGGAATACACTATCCCATGCAAAGTATTGTGTCCTAGGCCGGTTTCTGTCTGGACCCATCAAGCAGGTCATCAAGGTAAAAGGTCAGTTGGGAGGGGGCGCTGAGTACGTGTTCGCTCGGTCGGGGGATTATGGCTGGTGGGTGCCAGATCACCCCCCTTTGATAGTCCTTTATTCATGGGGCAAAATAAAAGTGGTCCGATGAGAATCCGATGTACGGCTGATTTTTGGTGAATTTCTGAAGAGAAGGCTTTGAAGTCTGAAGTATTTTTCCAAGCTTCGGAAACAATGTAGCAAGACTTGATTAAATCAGTCACGGTCGATTTAATTCGGAAACATTGTATCAGCGAGCTGTCAAAGTGGCAAAATAGTGGATGCCGGCTGCAGTACCAGCGTAGCCGCCGCCAGGGGCGCTGTTTGGCAATGCTGATTGGCTGAAACGATAGCTGATTGACCTGGAGTTCGGGCGGCCGGTCTACTCACAATAAAGATAGGGCGAAGTGGAGCGTCGGAGGGAATACAAGAAAAGGGGTTCAGCGCTTCCTTATTTACGGAAGGCTATCATTCCTTGGGGAGATGCCCCTCTAGAGGGGACGTTGCCAGGCTCGGGGGTGGTGTGTGTGTGTGTGTGTGGTGCTTGTGGAGTACGATGTAGTGAAAAGGGGGGGGGGGGTTCCTGCTACAGCGACACGTTACTATGTCAGCTGCAGTGTGTAGTTGTGGCGTTTAAACACTCCCCACGTTCCTCCCGGGGCTGGAAAGGGATGAGTTTAACCTCCGGTTTGCTAGGGAAACCGAATTACTGCGTCACAAATAATGCACGTCTAAAAAATGTGTCAGCCACCTGAAAAGTTTGGAAAGCTCTCCTGCTTGCAGTATAAGGTTTGGGGGGAGAGAGAAGGGGGATAATAGACTTTCATTCTTTTACACAGTGGATGTGCAAGGTTTTTGTTTCAGCGCCACGTGGGTAGGTTCTTTTTCTATGCATTTAATAGTTTTCATTGGCACTGAAAAAAATCTTTGATAAAAAAATTAAGGTTTTTTTTACATATTTGTAAAAAAAAAAATCTAAAAAACTTTGGGGTTTGTTTTTAAAAAATCTCAGCTTTCAGAGTGTTCTGTTTTTTACTTTTTGCAACCCAAGGTCGGGTCCCCAGCCTATGGCTGTTTCCTGGGGTTGACTGCAGTGAACAAATTAGAGTTAATAGTAATAAAAAAGGTAAGGACCCCAGGATGGTTAAGTCCAGAATGGATATACAGTGGTACCTCAGGTTAAGTACTTAATTCGTTCCGGAGGTCCGTTCTTAACCTGAAACTATTCTTAACCTGAAGCACCACTTTAGTTAATGGGGCCTCCTGCTGAAGCCGCGCCGCCAGAGCACGATTTCTGTTCTTATCCTGAAGGAAAGTTCTTAACCTGAGGCAGTATTTCTAGGATAGCGGAGTGTGTAACTTGTAGCGTATGTAACCTGAAGCATATGTAACCTGAGGTACCAGTGTAATATAAGTAGCATTGCAGATTTGTAAGGGAATAAGAAAACACCATGGCAGGGTGGATGGGAAGTCAACGGATATGAGAGAGTAGTTATAACTGTATTTTAAAAGAATTTGTAATATGTGAAAATTAAATATTTCCAAAAAAATAAATAAAGAGATTGGAGAGCAGCCTTAGCTCATTTGGCAAGCAGATACCCCCAAGTCCAATTCGTGATCTATCTAAGAGAGGCTGGGGAAAGACCCCCGTCTAATACCAAGAAGCACTGCTAGTCCAGAGTGGCAATGTGGTGTAGTGGTTAGAGTTCTGTGCTGAGACCTGGGAGTTCGGGGTTCAAATCCCCACCTGGCCATGAAGCCCACCGGGTGATCTTGGTGCCGGTCACTGTCTCTCAGCCTGGCCTCCCTCACAGGGATGTTGTGGGGAAGAAATGGGGAGATGGGGAACATGCAAACTACCTTGAGTTCTTCGCAGGATCGGTGGGGTATGAATGCAAGGAAGTAAAATACACACAACCCATGGGATACATTCCAGCCACACGGAAACCAGAGGTCTATTTACATGCACACACAACTCCGGCCTAGCAGCTCAGGGGAACGATCGATGGCATATTCTAGCCAGGCAAAAGCACCCGACTTAGAGCAGGGCTGAAGCACCCAAGGGAGAAGGGGCTGGCATGGGGGAGGGGGGGAATGAGAAGTCCAGCTAGGCCCCCATTTGGCCCCAGGATCTGAGATTTCCACACACCCCATCCCCATGATATACAAGGCATTTCAGAACACTTTAAAATATTCAGGTTGGTACTGCAATTGCAGACTTTTTCATTTTTAAAAAAAGGGGATTATGTTATCTGATTTTTTAAAATGTCCAGATATTTAATAAAAATATGCACAATATTCCACCAAGCTTTCAAAGAGGAATGAATGAATGAGTTTTCTTCTGCTCTCGAGAATCCCCCCTTCCTCCTCTTTCACCCCGATGCAACGTGCAAACTTATCCGTGCAATGGGAAAAGCCAAAATGGCTCATCTTTCCCGCCGCCCTTTCCTGCCCCGCCCCCTCACCGGCATTCACGTGTTGCAGGGTTCAGACGGTGCCCTTTCACCCGCGGAGAGATGCTTCCGAAGGGCGCCTCTGCCAGCAAAGACTCCTTCCTGCTCCCACCTTCAGCCTCCCCTGCAAAACCTCTTTGCACCCCAGAGATCGCGATGGCCGGACGCATCCTGCAAAAGACCCTCACAAATGGGGGCTGGCCAGAGGAAACAGGCACCTCTTGAGATGTCCTGCCCCTTCGCTTTTTCCCTTTTCCCAGACGCAAAGGATTCTGGGATTTGTAGTCTGTTCCCCTGTGAGGGAAAAAGTACCTTTCTGCTCTGGGGAAGGGTGCTCCTTTATTTTCATTTTCCCTTTCTATTTACTCACCTACTGGCACACCTCTCTGTACCGCCTAACACGTCGCAGCGGTGCCCGGCAAAAAGAATGAAAAAGATGAAACCGACTTGCACGTCAACGTGGTGGGATTCTAGACTTGGCAGGGACCCCGAGGGTCATCCAGTCCAACCCCCGGCAACGCAGCGCTCTTTTACCTCACGTGGGGCTCGAACCCGTGACTATGGCATTAAGCGTCTCATGCCCCCATCTAAACCAAAAGTACTGACCAGGGAGCGACCTGGGGCTGCTGGCGGCCTCTCAAGCTGCCCCACCTCACAGGGTGGTTGTGATGGTGGCTGTGGAAGCGGAGAGCAGCAGAGGCCGCCCTGAGCCCCTTGGGGAAAAGGCGGGAGAGGAGAAATGGAGCTGGGCTGGCGCAGGGGGTCCTGCCTTCCGGCTAAGGCTCACCCAACAGAAATAAGACAGAAATAAGAGCATTTTGGCCTCTGCAATCCCCTCTCAGTTCACAAGAGGCGAAAGAGGGAGATGCTGCGCAGCCTCACGCACTTCCAGTGTAAAACTGCCTTAAGCCCCATCAAGGTTGTCAGGAGGAGAATTTGGCCCTTTTCAACACCGAGGAGATCTTATTCGTTTGTTTCCTGAAAGTTGTCCTCCACTGGACCATTCAAGAAACTAACCTCAAAGCAGAATGGTAAAAATATCAGTAAAAGGAATACCATCAGCAAAATGGAAAATGTACAGTTACTTTATGATGCTTTGAAATTGGAACTTCAGCATACTTAGTCTGTTAGTAGTTTTACACCTTAGTTTTTTCTTTCCTACCTTTTGTTTTGTGTTTTGTTTTTCTTACTTATCTTGCATAAAGTGAGATTGTAAAAGGCTGAATTCACTGAGTGTTTTTCTGACTTGGAGTTTTTTGTATGCACTACTTTGATTATCAATAAATGAAATTTTTTTAAGGGGGAGGAAGTAGGATTTTTCACATTCCAAGGATTTTTGGGAGGCTTTTTGTCTTCCATGATAAAAAAATGTTATGTTTCAGAGGGGAGGAGCGAAGGGAATATTTTGTTCATGGCTTAAAACATTTTTGAATTCTCCACCTCAATGTACTCTTTGGTGGCGGAGAAGCAACAGGAAGAAGTTTTTATTAATTTAAGCAAAGAGAAGGCAAATAAGCAGTCTTAACTTTTTAAAAAAAATAATCTTTACTGAAAGTTGAAAAAGTACAAAATTATACGTGCACTAAACATGGTGACAAGTAAATAAGAGAGAGAGAAAAAGAAACAGAAACTGTGTAAGAGGGGGAAATAAAGGGGGGGAGAGGTGGAAAAACCCCAAACTATATTTTACAAGGTTGTTATTGTACTTCACCAGACCTTAACCTATTACAATATTTGTAAAAATGGATCTGAAATATCATTGAACTTGTCCATGGCAAGTCTGTATTTATATCCAAGTTGTTTATATGTTGCGAGTTTGTATAACTTTCCAATCCAATCTTAGAAGGGAGCCACATTTTTATTTTTCCCATGCATCAGTATCAGTCCTTTTGCAGCGGTCAAGGCACGGAGAGTCCACTCGTATAGTCCTTTTGTAAGGCACTTCCATGTGCCGGCACTTCCATGTGCCGGGTATATAATTCAAGAGGATATTTTGCTCAGTAAATATAAGGTTGTTCCATACCGTTCTGTTCATAGTTTCAGTTATAGGACCATGAAAAAACGTATGTTTTAGAGAAGCATTATCCCTAGTGCATCTCCAACAGTTAAGATACCTGAGATAGCCCTTTTTAAAAGAAACGTAATGGGGTCCAGTATATTCTAAATATTATTCTAGCAGTCTAACATCTATATTCCATACTCAGTAATGAGGGACACTTAGGATACAAGATCAAAAGGATATTATGGAGATAACTGCAAAAGCGAAGTTCACGGTTCATCTCATTTGCAGCAGAGACCCTGGGAGTAGGAGATCCTTCCCTTCCCTCTATAGGGCCAACGTTGACATTCACCAGCAGAACTCGAACGAGGGACTTAGAGAGCTGCTGTCGCTGAGCCCTTATATAGAGGATTTTAAACACGATCTAATAGCAGGTGGGCTCTTTAAGTTCTGTAGCCATCCTCCATTATCTTTGTGGTTGGCACAGAGCAAAGTTACTCCCTCTGTTCCCAGCGGTGAGCCAAAGTCTATGTCTAATTGCCAATTCCATGGTTGGGTCAAGACAGGTCTGTCCGCTAGTTGACTCCTTAGCAGGCCAGCTGTCTAGACCTCTGGATTTATGCCAAGTTCTCATCATATAGATAAATTCATGGGGAAGTCCTCATTATATGTACAGATAGAGTTAAAAGGATTTAAAGCTACCATTACATCGAGATCAGGAGACACCACCTTCTAAAAATATCTGGCATTACACATACTCAAAGCATTGGTGTGGTTTCTCTCCTGTGTGGACTCCCTGAGGCAGCCCCAGCCTAGCCCTTCCAGGACAAACATTTCCCGCACTCAAAACATTAATGGGTTTCCCATTTTTGTGGATTCTCTGGTGCCATTGAAGGTCCAAATGAGCAGCAATTCATTTCCCACACTCCAGACACTTGCATTGTATTTCCTTCGTGGAGTCTCCAATGTTGATAAAAGGTTCCTTTCTTTACAAAGCATTCTCCACACTCCCAACATTTATATGCTTTCTATTCCATATGGATTCTCTGGTGTTTTCGAAGGCTTCCACTCTGAAAAACATTTCCCACACTCTACACATTGGTAAGGCCTCTCTCCTGTGTGGACTTTCTGGTGTCTGTGAAGATGTTTTTACCGAGAAAAACATTTCTCACGCTCCAAGTATTTGTAGGGTTTCCCTCCTGTGTGGGTTCTCTGGTGCTCCTTAAGGGATTTTGTTTCTCTGCATTTATAGGATTGACTTATTGTGTGAATTCCCTGGTGTTTTGAAAGACTCCCTTTCTGACGTGGATCCTTAGATGCATGTTAAGCTCTGATTTTATAGCAAAGGGTTTTTCACACTCCAAGCATTTATAGAGTTTCTCTCCTATGTGGATCCTCTGATGGGAGACAAGGGTGTCTCTTCTTGAAAAACATTTCCCACACTCCAAGCACTTGTAAGGTTTCTCTCCTGTGTGGGTCTTCTGGTGCCCCCTAAGGCTTTGTGCGAAAGTAAATGACATTCCACAGTCTAAACATTTATATGGTTTCTCTCCTGTGTGGACTCTCTTATGAATAATAAGATATGATGAAGAGGAAAAACATTTCCCACACTCCATGCATTTGTAGGGTTTTTCTCCTGTGTGGATCCTCTGATGGGAGACAAGGGTGTCTTTCCTTAAAAAACATTTCCCACACTCCAAGCATTTGTGGGGTTTCTCTCTTGTGTGGATCCTCTGATGGGAGACAAGGGTGTCTCTTCTTGAAAAACATTTCCCACACTCCAAGCATTTGTGGGGTTTCTCTCCTGTGTGGGTCTTCTGGTGCCCCCTAAGGCTTTGTGCGAAAGTAAATGACATTCCACAGTCTAAACATTTATGTGGCTTTTCTCCTGTGTGGACTCTTTTATGAATAATAAGATTTGATGAAGTGGAAAAACATTTCCCACACTCTTCACATTCATATGGTCTCACTCCTGTGTGGATTCTCTGGTGTACATGAAGGTGTAATTTGTCGGCAAAACATTTTTCACACTCCACGCATTTGTAGGGTTTCTGCCAAGTGTGGATTTTTTCATGCTGCTTGAGGTGTTGTTTCTGGGAAAAGCATTTTCCACACTCCACGCATTTGTAGGGTTTCTCTCCCGTATGGATTCTCTGGTGGATTGCAAGATGTGATGCTGAAATAAAACATTTCCCACACTCCGCACATTTATGAGGCCTCTCCCCGGTGTGCACAGTCTGATGGCTCAGAAGTTCAGCTTTCTCATGAAAACATTTCCCACACTCTCTACATTCATAGGGTTTCTCTCCTGTGTGGATTCTCTGGTGTCGCCTGAGACTTCCATTTCTGGGGAAACATTTTCCACACTCCAGACACTTATGGGGCCTTTCTCCTGTGTGGGTTCTCTGATGTCTTACAAGGCCGGAATGGGAAGTAAACTTTTTTCCACATTCAAAGCATTTATACCGTTTCTCCCCTGTGTGAACCAACCGATGGCTCCAAAGATGTGCATTTTGAGGAAAACATTTCCTCTTACCTTTTGTTTTGTTTTTCTTACTTGCATAAAGTGATGTTGTAAAAGGCTGAATTGATTTACAGTGTTTTTCTAACTTGGAGTTTTTTGTATGCACTACTTTGATTTTCAATAAATGAACTTTTTAAAATGGGGAAGGAGGTAGGATTTTTCACATTCCAAGGATTTTTGGGAGGCTTTTTGTCCTGCATGATGAAAAATGTTATGTTTCAGAGGTGAAGAGCGAAGGGAATATTTTGCTCATGGCTTAAAACATTTTTGAATTCTCCACCTCAATGTACTCTTTGGTGGCGGAGAAGCAACAGGAAGAAGTTTTTATTAATTTAAGCAAAGAGAAGGCAAATAAGCAGTCTAACTTTCTTAAAAAAACAATCTTTATTGAAAGTTGAAAAACTACAAAATTATATGTGCACTAAACATGGTGAGACGTAAATAAGAGAGAGAGAAAAAGAAACAGAAACTGTGTAAGAGGGGGAAATAAAGGGGGGAGAGGTGGAAAACCCCCAAACTATATTTTACAAGTTTGTTATTGTACTTCACCAGACCTTAACCTATTACAATATTTGTAAAAACGGATCCAAAATGTCATTGAACTTGTCCATGGCAAGTCTGCATTTATATGCAAGTCGTTTATATGTTGTGAGTTTGTATAACTTTCCAATCCAATCGTAGAAGGGAGCCGCATTTTTATTTTTCCAATTCATCAGTATCAGTCCTTTTGTTGCGGTCAGGGCATGGAGAGTCCACCCGTATACAGTGGTACCCCGCAAGACGAATGCCTCGCAAGATGAAAAACCCGCTAGACCAGGGGTCTGCAACCCGCGGCTCCGGAGCCGCATGTGGCTCTTTTACATCTTTGCCGCGGCTCCGGGGCGGATACTAGCGAGGGGAGGAGGCGCATTGTGCGCCCCGACACTCCCCACTGTGGCGGGCGCTGTACTGGCTGTGACGTCGCATGGGGGCGGTGCGTGCGTTAGTCACGCACCGTCCCGACGTCACCTTCCCGCCTGCAGTCAGATCGCGGCTTCGGAGATATATTTGTTTTAAATGTCGCAATGGTTTTGCGGCTCCCAGTTTTTTTTCCCTTCGGAAACGGGTCCAAGTGGCTCTTTTTGTCTTAAAGGTTGCAGACCCCTGCACTAGACGAAAGGGTTTTCCGTTTTTGAGTTGCTTCGCAAGATGAATTTCCCTATGGGCTTGCTTCGCAAGACGAAAACGGCTTGCGAGTCTTGCGATTTTTTTCCGCTCCCCCCCCCCTTTTTCTAAGCCGCTAAGCCGCTAATAGCCTCTTAGCCGCTAAGCCTTTAATAGCCGCTAAGCCGCTAATAGCGCTAATCCGCTAATAGGGTTGCTTCGCAAGACGAAAAAACCGCTAGACGAAGAGACTTGCGGAACGGATTGTTTTCGTCTTGCGAGGCACCACTGTAGTCCTTTTGTAAGGTTCCATGTGCTGGGTATATAATTCAAGAGGATATTTTGCTCAGTAAATATAAGGTTGTTCCGTACAGTTCTGTTCATAGTTTCAGTTATAGGACAATGAAAAAACGTATGTTTTAGAGAAGCATTATCCCTAGTGCATCTCCAACAGTTAGATACCATAGCCCTTTTTAAAACAAAGGTAATGGGGTACAGTATATTCTAAATATTACTCTAGCAGTCTAACATCTATGTTCCATACTCAGTAATGAGGGGCACTTAGGATACAAGATCAAAAGGATATTATGGAGATAACTGCAAAAGCGAAGTTCACGGTTCATCTCATTTGCAGCAGAGACCCTGGGAGCAGGAGATCCTTCCCTTCCCTCTATAGGGCCAACGTTGACATTCACCAGCAGAACTCAAACGCGGGACTTAGAGAGCTGCTGTCGCTGAGCCCTTATATAGAGGATTTTAAACACGATCTAATAGCAGGTGGGCTCTTTAAGTTCTGTTGCCATCCTCCATTATCTTTGTGGTTGGCACAGAGTAAAGTTACTCCCTCTGTTCCCAGCGGTGAGCAAAAGTCTATGTCTAACTGCCAATTCCATGGCTGCGTCAAGACAGGTCTGTCCGCTAGTTGACTCCTTATCAGGCCAGCTGTCTAGACCTCTGCTTGATGCCAAGTCCTCATCATATAGATAAATTCATGGGGAAGCCCTCGTTATATGTACAGATAGAGTTAAAAGGATTTAAAGCTACCATTACATCGAGATCAGGAGACACCACCTTCTAAAAATATCTGGCATTACACATACTCAAAGCGTTGGTGTGGTTTCTCTCCTGTGTGGACTCCCTGATGCAGCCCCAGCCTGCCCCTTCCAGGCCAAACATTTCCCACACTCAAAACATTAAGGGTTTCCTTTTATTGTGGATTCTCTGGTGCCATTGAAGGTCCAAATGAGCAGCAAATCATTTCCCACACTCCAGACACTTGCAATTTATTTCCTTCGTGGAGTCTCCAGTTTTGATAAAAGATTCCTTTCTTTACAAAGCATATTCCACACTCCTAATGTCTGTCCGTCCTCCTTTTGGGATGGACACTCTGGTGTGCCACGAGGGCTGACCACTGATCAAAATATTCCCCACACTCCCAACATTTATATGCTCTTTATTCCACATGGAGTCTTTGAAGGTTTCCACCTTCAACATTTCCCCCACTCTACACATTGGGAACTCTCCTCCTGTGTGGACTTTCTGGTGTCTGTGAAGATGTTGTGACCGATAAAAACATTTCCCACACTCCAAGCACCTGTAAGGTTTCTCTCCTGTGTGGGTTCTCTGGTGGATCACAAGGCGTGACTTCCGAGGAAATGATTTCTCACACTCCAAGCATTTATAGGGTTTCTCTCCTGTGTGGATCCTCTGGTGGATCACAAGGGGTGACTTCTGAGGAAATGATTTCTCACACTCCAAGCATTTATAGGGTTTCTCTCCTGTGTGGATCCTCTGGTGGATCACAAGGTGTGACTTCTGAGGAAATGATTTCTCACACTCCAAGCATTTATAGGGTTTCTCTCCTGTGTGGATCCTCTGATGGATCACAAGGGGTGACTTCTGAGGAAATGATTTCTCACACTCCAAGCATTTATAGGGTTTCTCTCCTGTGTGGATCCTCTGATGGGAGACAAGGGTGTCTCCCCTTGAAAAACATTTCCCACACTCCAAACATTTGTGGGGTTTCTCTCCTGTGTGGGTCTTCTGGTGCCCCCTAAGACTATGTGCTAAAGTAAATGACATTCCACAGTCTAAACATTTATGTGGCTTTTCTCCTGTGTGGACTCTCTTATGAATAATAAGATGTGATGAAGTGGAAAAACATTTCCCACACTCTCCACATTCATATGGTCTCACTCCTGTGTGGATTCTCTGGTGTACATGAAGGTGTGAATTGCTGGCAAAACATTTTTCACACTCCACGCATTTGTAGGGTTTCTCCCCAGTGTGGATTTTTTCGTGCTGCTTGAGGTGTTGTTTCTGGGAAAAGCATTTTCCACATTCCATGCATTTGTAGGGTTTCTCTCCTGTATGGATTCTCTGGTGGATTGCAAGATGTGATGGTACAAGAAAACATTTCCCACACTCCACACATTTATGAGGCCTCTCCCCGGTGTGCACAGTCTGATGGCTCAGAAGTTCACCTTTCTCATGAAAACATTTGCCACATTCTCTACATTCATAGGGTTTCTCTCCTGTGTGGATTCTCTGGTGTCGCCTGAGACTTCCATTTGTGGGGAAACATTTGCCACATTCCAGACACTTATGGGGCCTTTCTCCTGTGTGGGTTTTCTGATGGCTTACAAGGCTGGAACGGCAAGTAAACTTTTTTCCACATTCAAAGCATTTATACCGTTTCTCCCCTGTGTGAACCAACCGATGGCTCCAAAGCTGTGCATTTTGAGGAAAACATTTCCCACACTCCCAGCATTCATAGGGCTTCTCTCCTGTGTGGAGTCTCTGATGGACCACAAGGACTGACTTTTCAGCAAATGATTTCCCACACTCCCAGCATTCATAGGGCTTCTCTCCTGTGTGGAGTCTCTGATGGATCACAAGGCCTGACTTTTGAGCAAATGATTTCCCACACTCTGGGCATTTATAGGGTTTTTCTCCAGTGTGGGTTCGCTGATGGGTAACAAGTTCTGACCTATAAGAAAAGCATAACCCACACATACTGCATTTGTGGGGCTTCTCTCCTGTGTGGACTTTATGGGGTCCATGAAGCTGTGAACTCTTGGGGAACCCAATCCTACTCTTGCCATATTTGTGGGGTTTCTCCCCTGTGTGGCCTCTTTCATGTTTCACAAAATCTGAGAGTCGGGGAAAACCTTCCCCACACTCCAAGCAGCGATATGACTTATCTCCTCCTGCATGGACGTTCCGGTGGATCAGAACGATGGGCTGATGAGCAAGAACCTTCCTGAACTCCAAAGACACAGGGGTTTCCAAAGGGCTCACAAGCTCTGAACTCTGAGCAAAACATTCCCCACTCTCAGAGCTTTCCTGGATCTTCTCCCCTGTGTGGATTCTCTGGTGTCCAGCAAGAGCCAATCCGAAGGCAAAGCATTGGCCACTCTCTGGGCAGAAGTGTTTCCTCCTCAAGTTTGCTGCAGAGAGAGTGAAGAAAGCGGAATCGGGGTTTGAAGATGGCAGAGAAGTAGCTTCAGAATCCAGACTGAAATCATTGGATCAGATGATGCGTGAGAGACGGAAGTCGTACCACTTCTCCCCCTCCCCCCTCCCACAACACCCACTGCATAAGGTATAACCAGTGAAAGAGCCTTTTAAAATGAAGTAACAGAGAACATTTTTCTTGCCCATTCTCAGCAAGGGAGGGGAAACTCTGAACGGACTCGGCATCCCGCCCAAACTGCCTCACCTGAGCTGGTGTCCAAAATGGCAGCCCCTGTTCCGTCTGAGATCTGATATTGTGGCGTCCTGGGCTCTTCCGCTTGCTCTGCGCTGGCGACGAGGCTCGTCTTGGGAAGCGGCAGTGCTATGCGGGAAAGAAGGAAGAAGAAGGAAGAAGAGGAGAAAGAAGAAGTGAGGAAGCATTCGGCCTTATGGTCCAAACTATCCCCAATGACCGCTCATCGAGGACCCATAACTAAACAGTACCTTGGGTTAGGGGGCTGCATGTTTGCGGGGGGCAAGGTGGTCCTTTGCTCTGTGCTGGAAGGAGAAGGGAGGACGGCTGAAGATGGCTGCAGGGTGGGGGGTCAGGACTGCACTGCCAGGACCCCAGGGAGGGGACTCGGTTGGCACTTCTGGAGTATTGCTGTTACGCTGGTGGGAGTCCCTCACATGCCAGCAAACCCATTTTGCACAGCTAGAGTGCAGCGCAGTGGTTAAAGTGCCCGACTAGGACCTGGGAAGCTAATACTTTTGATCTGAACCCCACCCATCTGACTGGGTCACCCCACCCACTCTGGGCAGCTTCCAGAACATATAAAAACATAATCAAATGTCCAGCATTAAAAACTTCCTGATACAGGGCTCCTAAAGGTTATATAGTTATTTATTTCCTTGATATATGACTGGAGGGTGTTTCACAGGAGGGCACCACTACAAAGAAGGTCCTCTGCCTGGTTCCCTATCGCTTCACTTCTCACGTTGAGGGAACCAGCAGAAGCCCCTCAGAGCTGGACCTCAGTGTCCTGGCTAAATGATGGGATGTAGATGCTCCTTAGGTATATGGGGCCCAGGCCGTTTAGGGCTTCTTGTGGGGATTAAATGAGGGGGAGACCCGTGTGCCCCACATTGCGCTCCTTGGAGGGGGAAGGTTGGGATAAAAATGGATGGCATTAAGAATAAAGTACATTTGCAGCTCTTGTGCAACAAACCTGCTCCCCACCTGCCCCTCCACCCCAAAAGAAGAGTGACAAGAAAATGTCCCGGAAGGACTGCTCCAGACTCGAGGAAGGAGGCTCCTTACCCAGAGAGGCCACGTCCCCCTCATTCTCCAGCATGGCCTCCCTTGCTCTTCGGACAACGTCCAGCAGGGGGGGCCCTTTGACCCTAGAGAAATAAACAGACATATCCTCAAAGGTTAGCGATCTCTGTAATGACAAAATGCCCTCAGCAAAAACTGCAGCGCCTCAGGAACGAACGCCTTTGGTGGCAAGTGAGGAGAGAATCTCCGTCTTCCCCATAGATCCTTGCAACTACATTCTATTATTATTATTATTATTATTGATTTTCTTGGGTTAACAAAAAAGTGCACAAGTTGTCTCCGTTTTCAAATCATAAAAGTTCTTTCTTCCGATCCTTTATCTTCAATGTGAGACTTTAATGCTCTATACTGGACTTTTGCCACTACTGTCGCGATGTTACCGGAAAAACCCGAGGGCTCCCTTGGACGAAACAAAGACACCAGCCAGAGCAATTCAGAGCAAAACAGCAGCCAGTAGGCTTGGTCTTTATTAAGAGAAGACTGTCGCGACAGGACTCCCAACGCCCACGAGGTGAAGCAACATGGAAGCCCCGAACAAAAGAGAACCCAAAATTTTATTAGTTGCTAATCCCCTTAGCTACACCCTCAAAATTACATCATATTTACATCATGATTATATGTTACTATGTCAGCTGCAGTGTGTAGTTGTGGCGTTTAAACACTCCCCACGTTCCTGCCAGGGCTGGAAAGGGATGAGTTTAACCTCCGGTTTGCTAGGGAAACCGAATTACTGCGTCACAAATAATGCACGTCTAAAAAATGTGTCAGCCACCTGAAAAGTTTGGAAAGCTCTCCTGCTTGCAGTATAAGGTTTGGGGGGAGAGAGAAGGGGGATAATAGACTTTCATTCTTTTACACAGTGGATGTGCAAGGTTTTTGTTTCAGCGCCACGTGGGTAGGTTCTTTTTCTACGCATTTAATAGTTTTCATTGGCACTGAAAAAAATCTTTGATAAAAAATTAAGTGTTTTTTTTTTACATATTTGTAAAAAAAAAAAATTAAAAACTTTGGGGTTTGTTTTTTAAAAAGCTCAGCTTTCAGAGTGTTCTGTTTTTTACTTTTTGCAACCCAAGGTCGGGTCCCCAGCCTATGGCTGTTTCCTGGGGTTGACTGCAGTGAACAAAATAGAGTTAATAATAATAAAAAAAGGTAAGGACCCCAGGATGGTTAAGTCCAGAATGGATATACAGTGGTACCTCAGGTTAAGTACTTAATTCGTTCCGGAGGTCCGTTCTTAACCTGAAACTATTCTTAACCTGAAGCACCACTTTAGTTAATGGGACCTCCTGCTGCCGCCGCGCCGCCAGAGCACGATTTCTGTTCTTATCCTGAAGGAAAGTTCTTAACCTGAAGCAGTATTTCTAGGTTAGCGGAGTGTGTAACCTGTAGCGTATGTAACCTGAAGCGTATGTAACCTGAGGTACCACTGTAATATAAGTACCATTGCAGATTTGTAAGGGAATAAGAAAACACCATGGCAGGGTGGATGGGAAGTCAACCGATATGAGAGAGTAGTTATAACTGTATTTTAAAAGAATTTGTAATATTTGAAAATTAAATATTTCCAAAAAAATAAATAAAAGAGATTGGAGAGTAGCCTTAGCTCATTTGGCAGAGCAGATACCCCCAAGTCCAATTCGTGATCTATCTAAGAGAGGCTGGGGAAAGACCCCTGTCTAATACCAAGAAGCACTGCTAGTCCAGAGTGGCAATGTGGTGTAGTGGTTAGAGTTCTGTGCTGAGACCTGGGAGTTCGGGGTTCAAATCCCCACCTGGCCATGAAGCCCACTGGGTGATCTTGGTGCCGGTCACTGTCTCTCCGCCTGGCCTCCCTCACAGGGATGTTGTGGGGAAGAAATGGGGAGATGGGGAACATGCAAACTACCTTGAGTTCTTCGCAGGATCGGTGGGGTATGAATGCAAGGAAGTAAAATACACACAACCCATGGGATACATTCCAGCCGCACAGAAACCAGAGGTCTATTTACATGCACACACAACTCCAGCCAAGCAGGTCAGGGGGAAAATCGATGGCATATTCTAGCCAGGCAAAAGCACCCGACTTAGAGCAGGGCTGAAGCATCCTAGGGAGAAGGGGCTGGCATGGGGGAGGGGGAAATGAGAAGTCCAGCTAGACCCCCATTTGGCCCCAGGATCTGAGATTTCCACACCCCCCATCCCCAGGATATACAGGACATTTCGGAACACTTTAAAATATTCAGGGGGGTACTCCAATTGCAAACTTTTTTCTTTCTTAAAAAGGGGATTATAATGTTATCTGATTTTTCTTAATGTCCAGATTTTTTAAATTAAAAATATGCACAATCTACCACCAAGCTTTCATTTCATTTTTTTGTCAGTTATTTTTATAGGCTTTATACAAATTAATACCATTTGGCACGCCATTCTTGGCGCATATTTATCATCTACTATTACTACGTTTCATATTCATATTTATCTCTGGTTACCATCGCCTTTTACATAATTTTACATTTTATCATTTCATTTCAAAGCTTTCCATGAGGAATAAACAAGTGAAAGAGATCCCTTCTTCTGCTCTCGGGAATCCCCCCTTCCTCCTCTTTCACCCCGATGCAACGTGCAAACTTATCCGTGCAATGGGAAAAGCCAAAATGGCTCATCTTTCCCGCCGCCCTTTTCTGCCCCGCCCCCTCACCGGCATTCACGTGTTGCAGGGTTCAGACGGTGCCCTCTCACCCGCGGAGAGCTGCTTCCGAAGGGCGCCTCTGCCAGCAAAGACTCCTTCCTGCTCCCACCTTCAGCCTCCCCTGCAAAACCTCTTTGCACCCCAGAGATCGCGATGGCCGGACGCCTCCTGCAAAAGACCCACACAAATGGGGGCTGGCCGGAGGAAACAGGCACCTCTCGAGACGTCCTGCCCCTTCGCTTCTTCCCTTTTCCCAGACGCAAAGGATTCTGGGATTTGTAGTTGTTCCTCTGTGAGGGGAAAAAGTGCCTTTGGGGCGGCTCTAGGGAAGGGCGCTTATTTATTTTTATTTTCCAGTTTCTATTTACTCACCTACTGGCACACCTCTCTGTACCGCCTAACACGTCGCAGTGGTGCCCGGCAAAAATAGTGAGAAGATGAAACCGACTTGCACGTCAACGTGGTGGGATTCTAGACTTGGAAGGGACCCCGAGGGTCATCCAGTCCAACCCCCGGCAACGCAGCGCTCTTTTACCTCACGTGGGGCTCGAACCCGTGACTATGGCATTAAGCGTCTCATGCCCCCATCTAAACCAAAAGTACTGACCAGGGAGCGACCTGGGGCTGCTGGCGGCCTCTCAAGCTGCCCCACCTCACAGGGTGGTTGTGATGGCGGCTGTGGAAGCGGAGAGCAGCAGAGGCCGCCCTGAGCCCCTTGGGGAAAAGGCGGGAGAGGAGAAATGGAGCTGGGCTGGCGCAGGGGGTCCTGCCTTCCGGCTAAGGCTCACCCAACAGAAATAAGACAGAAATAAGAGCATTTTGGCCTCTGCAATCCCCTCTCAGTTCACAAGAGGCGAAAGAGGGAGATGCGGGGCAGCCTCACTCACTTCCAGTGTAAAACTGCCTTAAGCCCCATCAAGGTTGTCAGGAGGAGAATTTCAAGGCCGAAGAGATCTTATTCGTTTATTTGTTTCCTGAAAGTTGTCCTCCACTGGACCATTCAAGAAACAAACGAACCTCAAAGCAGAATGGTAAAAATATCAGTAAAAGGAAGACCATCAGCAAAATGGAAAATGTACATTTACGTTATGATGCTTTGAAATTCAAACTTCAACGTACTTAGTATGTTAGTAGTCTTACTCTTTAGTTTTTCCTTCCCTTCCTTTAATTTTTTGTTTTGTTTTTCTTACTTATCTTGCATAAAGTGAGATTGCATCAGGCTGAATTCACTGAGAGTATTTTTCTGACTTGGGAGTTTTTTGTATGCCCCTCATTGATACCTCAGATTAAGTACTTAATTTGTTCCGGAGGTACGTTCTTAACCTGAAACTGTTCTTAACCTGAAGCACCACTTTAGCTAATGGGGCCTCCTGCTGCTGCCGTGCCGCCAGAGCCCAATTTCTGTTCTCATCCTGAAGCAAAGTTCTTAACCTGAAGCACTATTTCTGGGTTAGTGGAGTCTGTAACCTGAAGCGTATGTAACCTGAAGCGTATGTAGCCTGAGGTAGCACTGTACTTTTATTTTCAATATATGAATTTTTTTTAAGGGGGGAGGAAGTAGGATTTTTCACATTTCAAAGATTTCTGGGAGGCTTTTTGACCTGCATGTTTCAGAGGTGAGGGGTGAAGGGAATATTTTGTTCATGGCTTAAAACATTTTTGAATTCTCCACCTCAAGGTATTCTTTGGTGTCGAAGAAGGAACAGGAAGAAGCTCTTATTAATTTAAGCAAAGAGAAGGTAAATAAGCAGTCAAACTTTTTTAAAAAAAATCTTTACTGAAAGTTGAAAAAGTACAAAATTATACGTGAACTAAACATGGTGAGATGTAAATGAGAGAAAAAGAGAAACAGAAACAGAAACCGTGTAAGAGGGGGAAATAAAGGGGGGAGAGATGGAAACCCCAAACTGTATATTTTACAATTGTACTTCACCAGACCTTAACCTATTACAGTATTTGTAAAAATGGATCCAAAATATCACTGAACTTGTGCATGGCAAGTCTGCATTTATATGCAAAGTCGTTTATATGTTGCGAGTTTGTAGAAGTCTCCAATCCAATAATAGAAGGGAGCCACATTTTTATTTTTCCAATTCATCAGTATCAGTCCTTTTGCTGCGGTCGGGGCACGGAGAGTCCACTCGTATAGTCCTTTTGTAAGGTCCCATGTGCTGAGTATATAATTCAAAACGATATTTTGCTCAGTAAATGCAAGGTTGTTCCATACCGTTCTGTTGATAATTTCAGTTATAGGACAATGAAAAAACTTATGTTTTAGAGAAGCATTATCCCTAGTGCATCTCCAACAGTTAAGATACCATAACCCTTTTTAAAACAAAGGTAATGGGGTCCAGTATATTCTAAATATTATTCTAGCAGTCTAACATCTATGTTCCATACTCACTAATGAGCGACACTTAAGATACAAGATCAAAAGGATATTATGGAGATAACTGCAAAAGCGACGTTCATGGTTCATCTCATTTGCAGCAGAGACCCCAGGAGCAGGAGATCCTTCCCTTCCCTCAATAGGGCCAACCTTGATGTTCACTAGTAGAACTCGAACGATGGACTCAGAGCTGCTGTTGCTAAGCCCTTATATAGAGGCTTCCAAGCATGATCTAATAGCAGGAAGGCTCATTAAGTTCTGTTGCCATCCTCCCTTATCTCCTCCGTTGGCACAGAGCAAAGTTACTCCCTCTGTTCAAAGCGGTGAGACAAAGTCTATGTCTAACTGCCAATTCCATGGCTTGGTCCACAGGCCAGTCCGCTAGTTGACGCCTTATCAGGCCAGCTGTCTAAACCTCTGGTTGATGCAAAGTTATCATAATACAATTAGATCTGTGGAAAAGTCCTCATTATTACAGATAGATATATAAGGATTTAAAGCTACCATTACATGGAGATCAGGAGACACCACCTTCTAAAAATATCTGGCATTACACATACTCAAAGCGTTGGTGTGGTTTCTCTCCTGTGTGGACTCCCTGATGCAGCACCAGCCTAGCCCTTCCAGGACAAACATTTCCAGCACTCGAAACATTAATGGGTTTCCTTTTATGTGGATTCTCTGGTGCCTTTGAAGGTCCGAATGAGCAGCAAATCATTTCCCACACTCCAGACACTTGCAATTTATTTCCTTCGTGGAGTCTCCAGTTTTGATAAAAGATTCCTTTCTTTACAAAGCATATTCCACACTCCTAATGTCTGTCCGTCCTCCTTTTGGGATGGACACTCTGGTGTGCCACGAGGGCTGACCACTGATCAAAATATTCCCCACACTCCCAACATTTATATGCTCTTTATTCCACATGGAGTCTTTGAAGGTTTCCACCTTCAACATTTCCCCCACTCTACACATTGGGAAGCTCTCCTCCTGTGTGAACTTTGTGGTGTTTGTGAAGATATCGTGACCGAGAAAAACATTTCCCACACTCCAAGCACCTGTAAGGTTTCTCTCCTGTGTGGATCCTCTGGTGGATCACAAGGCGTGACTTCCGAGGAAATGATTTCTCACACTCCAAGCATTTATAGGGTTTCTCTCCTGTGTGGATCCTCTGGTGGATCACAAGGGGTGACTTCGAAGGAAATGATTTCTCACACTCCAAGCATTTATAGGGTTTCTCTCCTGTGTGGATCCTCTGGTGGATCACAAGGCATGGCTTCTGACGAAAACATTCCCCACACTCCAAGCATTTATAGGGTTTCTCTCCTGTGTGGATCCTCTGATGGGTCACAAGGGTGTCTCTCCTTGAAAAACATTTCCCACACTCCAAGCATCTGTGAGGTTTCTCTCCTGTGTGGATCCTCTGGTGACCCTTAAGGGATTTTGCTTCAGTAAATGACATTCCACAGTCTAAACATTTATGTGGCTTTTCTCCTGTGTGGACTCTCTTATGAATAATAAAATGTGATGAAGTGGAAAAACGTTTTCCACACTCTCCACACTCATATGGCCTCAATCCTGTGTGTATCCTGTCGTGTACACGAAGATCTGATAGGCCAGCAAAGCATTTTCCACATTTCATGCATTTGTAGGGTTTCTCTCCTGTATGGACCTTCTGATGTCTGCAGAGGTGTTGTTTTTGGGAAAACAATCTCCCGCACTCCACGCATTCAAACGGTTTTTCTCCCGTATGGATTCTCCGGTGGATTACAAGTTCTGATGCTGAAATAAAACATTTCCCACACTCCGCACATTTATGAGGCCTCTCCCCGGTGTGAACAGTCTGATGCCTCAGAAGGTCAGCTTTCTCATGAAAACATTTCCCACACTCTCTACATTCATGGGGTTTCTCTCCTGTGTGGATTCTCTGGTGTCGCCTGAGACTTACATTTGTGGGGAAACATTTGCCACACTCCAGACACTTATGGGGCCTTTCTCCTGTGTGGGTTTTCTGATGGCTTACAAGGCCGGAACGGGAAGTAAACTTTTTTCCACATTCAAAGCATTTATACCGTTTCTCCCCTGTGTGAACCAACCGATGGCTCCAAAGCTGTGCGTTTTGAGGAAAACATTTCCCGCACTCCCAGCATTCAAAGGGCTTTTCTCCTGTGTGGAGTCTCTGATGGACCACAAGGACTGACTTTTCAGCAAATGATTTCCCACACTCCAGGCATTTATAGGGTTTTTCTCCAGTGTGGGTTCGCTGATGGGAAACAAGTTGTGACCTAACCGAAAAGCATAACCCACACACACTGCATTTGTGGGGCTTCTCTCCTGTGTGGACTTTATGGGGTCCATGAAGCTGTGATCTCTTGGGGAACCCGATCCTACTCTCGGCATATTTGTGGGGTTTCTCTCCCGTGTGGCCTCTTTCATGTTTCACAAAATCTGAGAGTTGGGCAAAACCTTCCCCACACTCCAAGCAGCGATATGACTTATCTCCTCCTGCATGGACGTTCCGGTGGATCAGAACGATGGGCTGATGAGCAAGAATCTTCCTGAACTCCAAAGACACAGGGGTTTCCAAAGGGCTCACAATCTCTGAACTCTGACCAAAACATTCCCCACGCTCAGAGCTTTCCTGGATCTTCTCCCCTGTGTGGATTCTCTGGTGTCTAGCAAGAGCCAATCCGAAGGCAAAGCATTGGCCACACTCTGGGCAGAAGTGTTTCCTCCTCGAGTTTCCTGCTGAGAGAGGGAAGAAAGCGGAATTGGGGTTTGAGGATGGCAGAGAAGTAGCCAAAGGTTACCAGACGTCCCCATTTCCCAGGGACAGTCCCCGGATTTACAAATCAGTCCCCTGGCAAAATCCAGCTATTTAGTAGGAAGTTGAAAAGTGTCCCTGGATTCATTGAAACAAAATCTGGTAACCTTAAAATAGCCTCAGAATCCAAACTGAAGAAGAAGGAGGAGGAGGAAGATGGAAAGGCACACTCTCCCCCACTTCTTTCAGCTCTAGGTCCTTTTCGAGGCTCAAGAGAAATTCCACTTGTTCAGGTTTCCACCCAAATCCCTTCGAACAATGATGCCCTTAAAGGTTCCTCCTCTCAGTCCAGGGAGGAATCACCAGAATGGGTAGTGCCCACAGAAGATGCTTTAAAGAAAAAACAAAACCCAAATGTGCTCACAGAGCTAGAAAGCTTGGCAGTCGCCATCCTGGCATTTGCCTCTTTGCTCTCATTCCCCACTTTCTTCTTCCTCTCCTTGATCCTCCTAACCTCTGGGCTTGAGGGACTCAGCAGGCAGCAGAGCTAGAGAAGGAACAGCAAAGATGGTGGAGGGAGGAGAGGGCAGAGGTGTAAAGGGGAAAGCGAAGTTTCTCTCCCTCTTGCATCGTGCAAAAAGGCAGAGGCCCCCCCTGAAGCTGAAGCTTGGAAAATGCAGGACAGACCAAAGCCAGGATTGTGATTCTAAGTTTTCATGTTCTTAAAAATAGTAAATTGAGGAGGAAGGACAGGGGTGGGGAAAGGAAAAACAGTGGCCAGGTCTGTGGGAGAAGCAGCTTTAACACAACAGGATCCTTACTAACCCTATGAATGAAGTAACAGAGAAGATTTTTCTTGCCCATTCTCATCAAGGGAGGAGAAACTCTGAACTCGGCATCCCACCCAAACTGCCTCACCTGAGCTGGTGTCCAAAATGGCAGCCCCTGTTCCGTCTGAGATCTGATACTGTGGCGTCCTGGGCTCTTCCGCTTGCTCTGCGCTGGGGAGGAGGCTCGTCTTGGGAAGCGGCAGTGCTATGTGGGAAAGAAGTGAGAAGAAGGAAGAAGAAGAAGAAGTGAGAAGAAGGAAACATGGAGGAAGCATTTGGTTTCATGGCCCAAACTATCCCCAGCGGCCGGTCATCCAAAGTTCTCTCAAACTTTTCTGAGGAAGAACCCATAACTAAACAGTACTTTGGGTTAGGGGGCTGCATGTTTGTGTGGGGCAAGGTGGCCCGTTGCTCTGTGCTGGAAACAGAAGGGAGGACGGCTGATTATGGCTGCAGGGTGGGGGGTCAGGACTGCACTGCCAGGACCCCAGGGAGGGGACTTGGTTGGCGCTTCCTGTTGCTGTTACGCTGGTGGGAGTCCCTCACATGCCAGCAAACCTATTTTGCACTGCTAGAGTGCAGCGCAGTGGTTAAAGAGCCAGACTGGAATCTGAGAGACCGGGGTTCAAATCCCCCTCAGCCATGAAACTCATCAGGAAATATTGGTCCAGTCATTCCCTCTTAGGGCTACCCTACCTCACAGAACTGTTTATTATTATTATTATTATTATTATTACAGTGGTACCTCGGGTTACATACACTTCAGGTTACATACGCTTCAAGTTACAGACTCCGCTAACCCAGAAATAGTACCTCAGGTTAAGAACTTTGCTTCAGGATGAGAACAGTAATCGTGCAGCAGTGGCACGGCAGCAGCGGGAGGCCCCATTAGCTAAAGTGATACCTCAGGTTAAGAACAGTTTCAGGTTAAGAACGGACCTCCAGAACAAATTAAGTTCTTAACCCGAGGTACCACTGTATTCTTATTCTTATTATTCCCTGCCCATCCAATATTTTTCATTTTGCACAGAATCCTACCTTAAAGCCACACAACAGTCTGAGTTCTCCACACCTATGCTAGATTACTAATAAGAATACTTCCAGCACATATAAGAACATAATAAAACATCTAACATTAAAAACTTCCTGATACAGGGCTGCCTTCAAAAGCTTATATAGTTTTTTTAATTCCTTGAAATCTGCTGGGAGGGTGTTTCACAGGGCGGGCGCCACTGCCGAGAAGGCCCTCTGCCTGGTTCCCTGTAATTTCACTATTTGCATTAAGGGAACCGCCAGAAGGCCCTTGGAGCTGGACCTCAGTGTCCAGGCAGAGTGATGGGGGTGGAGACACTCCTTCAGGTATACAAGGCCATTTGGGGCTTGTTGTGGGGATTAAATCGGGGGGGGGGGGGGGAGACCCGTGTGCCCCACATTGCGCTCCTCGGAGGGGGAAAAGTCGGGATCAAAATGGATGGCGTTAAGAATACAGTACATTTGCAGCTCTGGTGCAACAAACCTGCTCCCCACCCACCCCTCCACCCCAAAAGAAGAGTGAGAAGAAAATGTCCCGGAAGGACTGCTTCAGACTCGAGGAAGGAGGCTCCTTACCCAGAGAGGCCACGTCCCCCTCATTCTCCAGCATGGCCTCCCTTGCTCTTCGGCCAACGTCCAGCAGGGAGGGCCCTTCCTCAAAGGTTAGTGGTCTCTGTAATGACAAAAATGCCCTCACCAAAACTGCAGCACTTCAGGAACACCTTTGGTGGCAAGCGCAGAGTGGGAATCTCGGTCTTCCCCATAGATCAGGCATGGCCAAACTTGGCCCTCCAGATGTTTTGGGACTACAACTCCCATCATCCCTGACCACTGGTCCGGTTAGCTAGGGATGATAGGAGTTGTAGTCCCAAAACATCTGAAGGGCCAAGTCTGGCCATGCCTGCCATAGATGCTTGCAACTTCATTCTTTGGGTTGTTTTTATTATTATGATTATTCAAGATTTTCTTGGGTTACCAAAAAAGTGCATACATTGTATCCGTTTTCAGATTGTAAAAGTCCTTTTTTCAGATCACTTATATTCAATGCGAGACTTTAATGCTGTATACCGGAGCTTTCCAAACTGTGTGTCGCGACACGCTAGTATACAGCATTGATGCATCTTTCTCATCTACTATTACTATGTTTCATATTGCTAGTTACCTCTGGTAATATTCCATTTTACAAAATTTTACCGTTTAATTTCAAAGAGGAATGAGTGAGTTTTCTTCTGCTCTCGAGAATCTCCCTTTCCTCCTCTTTCACCCCGATGCAACGTGCAAACTTATCCGTGCAATGGGAAAAGCCAAAATGGCTTATTTCTCCCGCCGCTCTTTCCTGCCCCGCCCCCTCACCGGCATTCACGTGTTGCAGGGTTCAGACGGTGCCCTCTCACCCGCGTAGAGCTGCTTGCGAAGGGAGCCTCTGCCAGCAAAGACTCCTTCCTGCTCCCACCTTCAGCCTCCACCGCGAAGCCTCTTTGCACCCCAGCGAGCTCGGTGGCGGGTCCCCTCCTGCAAAACACCCACACAAAATGGAATGTCCTCGTGTCCTTCGCTCCTTCCCTTTTTTCCAGACCCAAAGGATTCTGGGAGGTGTAGTTTTTTCCTCCCTGGGAAGACAAAATATGCCTTTGGGCTCTGGGAAAGGCTGCTCATGGCCCCTCCTTTCTATTTACTCGCTTACAATCCAGCCTCGCCTGAGCTCTGCTTTCTTCCAATTGAAGTGCAGTGTTTGAGGAAACCCAAATGCTTGTTTACAGAGCTTTTGTACTACCGAAACCTTAGTTTATGCTTGGGATGGCCTAGTCCTTTGCTTCTTCCCTTTTCCCAGACCCAAAGGATTCTGGGAGGCGTAGTCTGTTCCTCTCTGAGGCAAAAAAGTGCCTTTGGACTCTGGGGAAAAGGGTCTCACTTATTTTTATTTATTTATTTTTTTATATTTATTATTTATTTATATTTATTTATTTTCCCTTTCTATTTACTCGCTTACTGGCACACCAGTAAAGCAATGGTGCCCGGCCAAAAGAATGAGAAGGCGAAGCAGACTTGTATGTCAACATGGTTGGATTCTAGAGTTGGAAGGGACCCCGAGGGTCATCCAGACCAACCCCCGGGAATGCAGCACTCTTGCCTCACATGGGACTTGTAGCAGGAACCCCCCCACCCCAATCATTCTGTTTGTGCAAACTTCACACACACTCACACTCACACACTACATAAGCCACATTTCTGTTATAAACTCATAGAAAAATCAACCATACATCGGATTTGCACTGTTCCATTTTATTTTACTCCATATGACAAGGACTATCAAAGGGGGGGTGGTGGCTTGGTTCTGGTCAGCCATAATCCCTTCACCATCCCAGCACATCCACAGGAGCCCTGCCCAGTTGCTATGCCAACCCTGATGATCCCAGACAGAAGACCATCAAGATCACAAAGAACTTGCATATGGGAGTGGATTCAGCATGGACTGAAACAAAGGACAATGATCAGATCTTCCCTCTGGGGGCAGGAAACTGCAAACTCCCCTTTCAAAAGTTTTTATAAGGTCTTGCACACCATCTTTCTGGGTCTTTCCTCTCTCCTGCAAGTGAGGGGAGCACCCTGTTGCAACAGTTCAATAAAGGCCAAGCCTACAGGCTGCTGTTTTGCTCCAAGTTATCCTGGTTGGTGTCTTTGTTTTGTCCAAGGGAGCCCTCGGATTTTTCCGTTAACAGTTTCGAACCCATGACCCCGAGATTAAGAGTCTCGTGCCCCATCTAAACCAAAAGTACTGATCAGGGAGCGACCTGTGGCTGCTGGCGGCCTCTCAAGCTGCCCCACCTCACAGGGTGGTTGTGATGGTGGCTGTGGAAGCGGAGAGCAGCAGAGGCCGCCACGAGCCCCTTGGGGAAAAGGCGGGGTATTAAAAACGCAAAGAGGCAGCTGGGCTTGTTCTCCAGCTGGAAAGCCCTTCGAAGTCTCAGTTCGCAAGAGAGCATCTCAAGTCCCATCAGTTCAGGGCAAGAGGGAGATGGCAGGCAGCCTCGCTCACTTCCAGCGTAAAATTGGGAATAAACAACTCGCTGACTTTTAGAAGACATTTGAAGGCGGCCCTATTTAGGGAAGTTTTTAATGTTGGCTGGGGAGACGCAGCCAGATGGGTGGGGGATAAATTATTATTACAGTGGACTCTCAGGTTGCAAACATGATCCGTGAGGGAAGCACTTTCTGCGCACACACGGGTTGCGATTCAACGCTTCTGCGCAAAGCGCGATTTAGCGCTTCTGTGAATGCGCAAGCACCAAAACCCGGAAGTAACCCGTTCCGGTACTTTCGGGTTTGGTGCAGTGCGCAACCCGAAATCATGCAACCCGAAGCGTCTGTAACCCGAGGTATGACTGTATTATTATTATTATTATTATTATTATTAAGCCCTCATCAAGATTCTCCCGAGAATTTGGCACTTTTCAAAGTGAGATCTTATTTATTTATTTCCTGAAAGTTGTCCACCACCGGGCTGTTAAAAAAAACGCGCCAATCTCAAAGCGGTTCACAGAGAGAACAGAATGGCAAAAATGTCAGTAAAAGCAACTCCTCGAAACATTCAGAAGATAAAACCAGCAACAAACTGAAAGCAGATTGAGACAGGCATTATCGGCTGCACTGGAGAATCAGCAAAGTCCTTTGGTGTTCTGGATTGAACAGCAATTATCCGTTGAGCTACAATCCCATGTCATCCGCATATGTCCCACGGTGATGTACGAAATATAATAAAAACAGCATTCAAAAAACCCCTGACAAATGGAAAAACAATAGGAAATGGACCCCTAAGGCCTGCCATCCTATTCACCCAGCTGGAAGAGCTTGTAGGAACAAAAATGAGTTCACCTTTTTCTGGAAGGTACAGGCTTCTGAGATCTTTGGAAATTTGCCCGCAAACTGTAGTGACATCCTGGGTACATAAGGCAGAAAGCTGTCAATCAATAACAGAAGGTTGCTTAAGCAATCTCCCTCAAGGGGTTTATTTCTAGAAATAACACACACTTGTGATCCGCAGTTAGTTTATACTTTTATTTAAAACGAGAAATAAGACAATGTTTGTGGCTAGGGTCCCCACAGTCCAAATACTTGAAAGCAGGGGGGTCACTGAAGTCCAGTGTTATTGTCCATAATATTATTAACGGTAATCATTATCATTAAGCATAAGAAACCCTCTTTACACAATATGTACATGGCAGGTGGTGGGAGCAAACCGAAGGAGACTCTCGAGCTGGCTATTTTATTTATTATTTATATTTGCTATTGTCTGAATTGCCACACTTCATCCGGAGATCGCAAGGCGGTTCACAAGAGAAGAATACAAAATGAGAACGCAAAATGCATTAATAAAATGAAAGTGGAGCAGATTTCCGTGAGAGGCGGGAGAGACTCTCCTTCCTTGGAGATTTCAAAGCAGAGGTTGCATGGCCATCGGTCATGTAGGATCCAGTTCGAGATCCCTGCAGTACAGGGTGTCGGACCATCACACAAATGCATTCAAAAACCCATAGAATGTTAATCAGCTAAAGGCCTGGTTATGGAGAAATGTTTTTGCCTGGCGCCTAAAGATATGTATTGAAGTTGCCAGTTGAGCCCCCACTGGGGAGAAGCATTCCACAAACGGGGAGCCACCACAAAAAAGGCCCATTCCTGTGTTGCCACCCTCCTGACCTCGTGTGGAGGAGGCGCACAAAGAAGGGCCTCGTTTTACGATCACGGGGTCCGGGGTTGGTTCATGTAGGGAGAGGCGGTCCTTGAGGTATTGTGGCCCTCGGCTGTTTAAGGCTCTCCAGGTCAGAACCAACACTTCGAATCGGGCCTGGAAATTAAAGGCTGGCCGAATGATTTGCTGCAAGTCGAACTGTACAGTTGGAAGGGACCCCTTGGGTCATCTAGTCCAACCCCCTGCAATGCAGGCAACCCTACGCCTTTCTTTTAATAAAGACCGAAAACCGATGTTTTTGACACCCTTCTTCGGTATCCCTGCACTCCACCACTCCCTTTGGGCCGGTGGATCAGGACACCAATGCGGACAGGCTAGGATCGTCGTGTGATGGGCTCAAACTGCCTTGCCCCAGTGAGCAACCTGGCCGTTGAATTCGGCACCGGCTGAAGTTTCCGAACCATCTTTTGACCACTGCCTCCTTCAAGCAGCCAGGGACCACCCCCTCTCTCAAGGATAAATTCATCACCCCCCCCCCGACCCAGGCAGCTGTCTCTCCTCTGCTTGTTTTTTTCAGCCAGGAGGTTTCGACTCTGCCTGTTAAAAATGTCAAAAAGCGCTTCACCTCTCTGCCGCTCCCCCTGCTAACAGCACCACATTCCCAGCGTAAGGCTCCCCTTCGCAGTCCTCGACCTTCACCCCGTTGCCCAACGCCCCTTCCTCCCCAGCCGCCTGGGGGTGCGCAACACCGTTTTGCCCGTGGTTTAAGTCCTCCTGGGTCCCCCGTTTCAACTCTAGATTGATGGGCTGCCGGTGGATGAGCTGGTGCTTGTACAAACTCGACGTGTAGCTGAACCGCCGCCCACAGTCCAGACACGAGTAGGGCTTTTCACCCGTGTGGATCCTCTCGTGCCTCACCAAGTCCGCCTTGTCCCGGAAGCCTTTTGCGCAGAGGAAGCACCAGTGGTTTTTTTGCCCCCTGCGGCTCAGCTTTTTTCGGGCAGCTTTGGTGGCAGCCCCAACCCGGCTTGGGGCAGCTCCCCACGGAGAGTCCCCCGCTGGCCAGTATCCGCTGGAGAAGGTGCCAGCGACGCTCTCTTGGGATGCTGCTGACAGGCTGGGCTGCAAGGATCCTGGCTGCATGCAGGCCTTTTCCTGGCTTGAAGACACTTTTCCGTCACCTGCAGGGAGAAAGAGAGAATCCAAGCAGATGTCATGTCTCGTGCTAGGGAAAGGATTAAAGAAATTAATATATTTCACAAATGCACACACACAAATGTTGCACCTGCAAGTAAGTGTCTCTGTTACTCTTTTTAAGGTTTTCAATTTTATACATTTCAATAATTTTACAATCATTTTAACATTTCAAAACTCGTCTTCCTTCCCCCTCTTTCTGCGGTTCCTTAAATTTATTTTTTGTATTTTCTACATGTTCCAAATTAACTTAATTTACTCATTTATTCATCTACTTTAAATATAAAACTTCAGGTTATTACAATAATCATGCCAATGTCCTTATCTGTTTACAGTTTATTTGTAAATATTCAATAAACCATTTCCATTCTTTTATTAAAAGTTTGTTATCTTGATCTCTTATTCTTCTGGTAAGATTTGCCATTTCTGTATACAGTGGACTCTCGGGTTACATTACCTTCAGGTAATGTAAACTTCAGGTTGCGGACGCGGCAAACCCGGGTTTGCCGCTTACACATGCGCAGAAGCGCTCTGCGCACCTCATGCATACACAGAAGTGAGTCCTCCAGTAACGAAATCTTCGGGATATGGCCAGGCCTCCAGAACGGATCCCATTCATAACCGGAGGTACCACTGTATTCCATAAGTTTCTGTATCTGTTATACTATTATAACATGTCGTTATCATTATTTGTCCAAGACCTTTTCAAACCTCTTAAAGCATGCAAATGGCTTTCATTCTATTGGTGCAGGCGTTTCTTCTCCCTCCACACGCTGTTCTGGGTGGGCCCTGCCAATCCTACAGAGTCATTTTGGGGTGTTTCTGTGCATGCATGGACAGGGGGAAATCTTGTTGCACTAGTGAGACTTATTGGTTAGTGCATGGTGCTGATAACGGCAAGGTGGCAAGTTTGATCCCCGTATGGGACGGCTGTTCCTTTCAACTCTTCGATTCTATGATTCCAGCTCTTTGGTTTATTTATTTGCATTTATATCTCACCTTTTTCTCCAAAAAAAAAAAAAAAAAAAGGGAGGTTAGGCTGAGAGAAGGAGAGCGTGCCTGTGTGTGACTGGCCCAAAGTCACCCATCAAGCTTCATGAGTAAGTGGGGATTTGAATATTGGTTACTCAGGTCCTACTCTGAAACCCTAACCCACCACAAAACGCTGGATCCACCTCTCTGCTTAATCCACCGTTTTATGTTCAGTTGCTGCACCTAGCAGCATATCACACAGCTGTCCCATCGAGACGATGCAGAGGGCCTGAACACTCTCAAGTAAGAGACCAAATCTCCACCACAGAAGTACTGTTTTGGGGAGACAGGGGGGCGGGCAGGTGTGGATGGAGTACGGAATGGGGTAACTGTGCTCCTGAAGGACCAGGTGCACAGCCTGAGAGTCATTTTGGACTCACAGCTGTCCATGGAGGCGCAGGTTAACTCTGTGTCCAGGGCAGCTGTCTACCAGCTCCATCTGGTACGCAGGCTGAGACCCTATCTGCCTGTGGACTGCCTCGCCAGAGTGGTGCATGCTCTGGTTATCTCCTGCTTGGACTACTGCAATGCGCTCTACGTGGGGCTACCTTTGCAGGTGACCCAGAAACTGCAACTAATCCAGAATGCAGCAGCTAGACTGTTGATTGGGAGCGGCCGCCAGGACCATATAACACCGGTCTTGAAAGACCCACATTGGCTCCCAGTACATTTCCGAGCACAATTCGAAGTGTTGGTCCTGACCTTTAAAGCCCTAAATGGCCTCGGCCCAGTACCTGAAGGAGCATCTCTACCTCCATTGTTCTGCCCAGACACTGAGGTCCAGCTCTGAGGGCCTTCTGGCGGTTCCCTCCCTGTGAGAAGTGAGGTTACAGGGAACCAGGCAGAGGGCCTTCTCAGTAGTGGTGCCTGCCCTGTGGAACGCCCTCCCAGCTGATGTCAAGGAAACAACCAACTACCTGACTTTCAGAAGACATATTAAGGCAGCCCTGTATTAGGAAGTTTTTAATGTTTGATGTTTTATCGCTTTATTATTATTATTAATATTCTGTTGGGAGCCGCCCAGAGTGGCTGGGGAAACCCAGCCAGATGGGCGGGGGTATAAATTGCTGCCGCTTGTTGTTGTTGTTGTTCAGGTTGACTCACACACACCCGGTTCAATCTCTGGCACCCCTACTTCAAAAAAGAACCAGAAACTAGGTGATGTGAATAGTCCTAACAGGGAAGGGGCGACATCAGTGGCAGCAGGGAGGGAGATACATTGAAAGGGGGTCTTTGCCCAAGGGCTCCCCCGAACCCAGATCTGGCTCTGGCTGGAAGCTGTGGTCCCAGAGGGTAAGCCCAGCCCCATACCTGCACCGTGGCTGCCTTCTACGTGCTTCCTCTGGTGTCTGCTGAGGGCGGGTTTCTGAGTGAAGCTCTGTCCGCACTCGAGGCAGGTGTACGGTCTCTCTCCCGTGTGGACCGTCTGGTGGCGAAGGACTTGCGAAATGTCCCGGAAACTCTTCCCGCACTCTAGGCACTCGGGGCGTTTGCGGCCCACAAGCGTCTTCGGGGGTCGGACGGTGACGCTGACACCTGTTTGGCCAGAGGTGGGGAGCAGTATGAGATCCCGCACGAGGAAGGAGCGTCACAAGGTTTAAATAAGGTCATTTGCTTACGTGAATTTTAACCGATGCAAAACTTTTATGGAAACTATGGTGCCAAGCAGTGTGTGTGTACCATACGTAATTGAAAATTACCACACATTTTGGAAAGTTACTCGTTTTCTGTTTATTTAGACACCTCTTAAGAGATCACAAACAAATGTTGCATGATGGTTCCCAAGATAAGGAAGCAGGGGTTTTTTGTCTATGCGTCTCTCCAATTGGAGGCCATTTTGAATCAAGGTTGCAGAATGAACCTTTCAAAACTGCACTGGTTTTTAGGTTTCTGAGAATTATTGAGTACGAGCCTGCTTGAAGTAAGAAATTAAGTAAGTAAATACAGTAGATTAGATAGACAGACAGACAGATAGAAGGATAAAAATATTTTTGACAAGCTAAAAAGGGTGTCTCTTATTAACTGGGCAGCAGATTTTGTTTTTCTGTGAAGGTTATGTTTAATACAGTATCTTATGAGGACAGTATCAGGAACATCTGAGAACAGACATTCCTCCTCCTAATACTTCTTTCACTGTCATTTTAGGAGAGGCACTCTGCCTTTCTCTTTCACACACACAGATGGAATTCCTCTTCTTAAGATAATATTAGAAGAGGCATTTCCTTATCTCTCACACAGCAAGAGGGAATCACTTTGTCCCTTGCAATTATTCATAGCAGAATGCGGAAAGGTGAACGCTCCTGATGATCCTGTGGGAAGCCCCGCGGTTTCATATTATTGTGGAATATTAAGAAGAAAAAGAAGAGTTTGGATTTGATATCCCGCTTTATCACTACCCTAAGGAGTTTCAAAGCGGCTAACAATCTCCTTTTCCCTTCCTCCCCCACAACAAACACTATTAAGTATATCAACACACCAAAGTTGGAATCCAAATACAGGGGTACCTTGATTCTTAAATTTAATCCGTTCTGGGAGTTCGTTCAACTCCCAAAATGGTTTGAAAACCAAGGTGAGGCTTCCGATTGGCTGCAGGAGCTTCCTGCACTCAATCAGAAGCCACATTGGACGTTCGACTTCCGAAAAACTTTCGCAAACCGGAACACTCACTTCTGGGTTTGCGGCGTTCAGGAGCCGATTTGTTCAGGAGCCAAGCCGTTCAGGAACCAAGGTACCACTGTATTACATCTTCTATTGTAAGTTGCATAGTTTCAATAATCTGCATGGAGCTGCAGGGTTTGTGCAGTTATTGAAAAGCTTTATATTTTGTGTGTGTGCAGATTCTATTCCCTCATATTCATCTTTTGTGGCACCCGCAAAATTGATTACGGCGTACGTACCTGCGTAATTCTTTTCTTCCAGATGTTTTCTGAGATGTCTGTTGAGGGCCGGCTTCTGGGTGAAGCTCTGCCCACACTCGGAGCAGGAATACGGCTTCTCTCCGGTGTGGACTGTCTGGTGCCGGAGGACATGTGAGATATCCCGGAAACTCTTCCCGCATTCCGGGCACTCAGGACGCTTGCGGCCAGTGTGGGTCTTCTGGTGTCTATCCAACTGCCACGCATCCTGGAAGCTTTCCCCGCATTCGAGGCACCAGTGGCCATGTTCTTCCAAGCGCACAACGGTCTCGTAGACCCCCTCGCTGCAGAGCGTGGCTTCGTCCCACCTCTCCAGCGGCTCCGTCTCATTCTCCTGCTCCAGATCGCAGCTGCTTTCGAGGGAACCAGGCCGCCCCAATAACGTCCCGAGCATCACCGGTAGCCTGGGACTTCCTCGCTGGAAAGGGCCCAGCTTGCTCCCATTCAGAGTTGTTTCTCCAGCTGAGACCGCATAGCCATCCAGGTTCACTTTCCCTGGACAGGAAAAGGAAACAGAAGGATCAGGCTGGATTTTACTGCACAGTATTTAAAAATATACAAAAGAGCTCTGCTGGACACCAATGCTGCTTCCACATGGCCACATTTTGACGGGGCATTTGCATGACATCTTAAACACCCTCTCTCATTTTAGCTTCTAAAGCTCAGAGAAATCTGACTCTCTTTATCTCATTGGATGAGCTGCACAATTTTCACAGGCCTTTTGCTCTGCTATTCTGGTCAGTTATGCCTCTATTTACTTTGCTCTAGCAGCTAGCATTTTCCTAGATTCCTCTAGCTGTTTCCTTCTCTATGGCTTGTCTCTTCTGCCAAGAAATCATCATCATCATCATCATTAGAATTTATATGCTGCCCAATACCCGGGGGTCTCAGGGTGGTTCTAATAATAATAATAATAATAATAATAATGGTGATGATTTATACCCCACCCTCCCCAGAATAAAATCAAGATATAAAACCACAAAATACCTAATAAAAATAAAAACAGATGCCTTTATGGGAAGCCCACAAACAAGACTGGAGAGCAAACAATCTAAATGGGATCAATGGGATCCATACAATTCATACATACCCAATGAGTTGGGACCCAGGCTGCCCTCCAATGGCGACCACTCGGCCTCAGGGGAGACCACAATCACCTCCTCCTCGTGTCTCCCCAGAGCCTAAAAGAGCAGAGAGCATTCCCGTCAAGTCAACGCCTTGGAGTCAGGAGGGCAAACCCCCCTCAGGCTCACCCTGAGGAAGATCAAATCTGAAAATTTTCTCAAAAGACCACCAGGTCAAATCAGCAATGATACACTGGGCAAAGGATTTGGGACATAATATCCAGATGGCAGATTGGGAAAGGTTATGGAAAACAGATTTGAAATTTACAGCATGCTGTACCCTGAAAATTATATGAAAATGATGTACCAGGGGTATTTGACTCCTAGTAAGTTAGCAAAAATGTATAGAACTAGTGCAAATACCTGCTGGGAATGTAAAGAAAAAGAAAAATTATCATATGTGGTGGTCGTGTAAGATAATAAAATCTTTCTGGGAGATGATATATAATGAAATTTTAAAAAATGTTTAAAATAACTTTTGTTAAAAAAACCTGGAGCTTTTCTATTAGGAATTATAGGAATTATATTCCAAAGAAGACATTTTATGTATACAACTGCTGCATAGATGTTACTAGTCCAGAGATGGAAAGAAGACAGAGTCCCTACCAGAGAGGAATGGCAAACTGAGCTGATGGACTGGAAAGCTCAGGAAACAAGAGGACAAAAACTTTATAAAAGGAATGGGATTTTTTAAAAAATTATTTAGGAGACCATTGCAAGCAGATGAAAACATGAGCAGGATTTTAAACTCACTTGTAGTGAAACAATTATTATGGACAATACAGTGCTACCTTGGGTTACATATGCTTCAGGTTACAGTCTCCGCTAACCCAGAAATATTGCTTCAGGTTAAGAACTTTGCCTCAGGATGAGAACAGAAATTGTGTTCCGGCGGCGCGGCAGCAGCAGGAGGCCCCATTAGCTAAAGTGGTGCTTCAGGTTAAGAACAGTTTCAGGTTAAGAACGAACCTCCAGAACGAATTAAGTTCTTAACCCGAGGTACCACTGTATTATTGTGATAGTTTTCCTTTTATTGAATCTTGCTAGTTCCCCAAGAAGCCTGGGGCAGCAGTGCCCTCTCTGCCTGCCTGCCTGCCTGCCTGCCTCCCCCATCTCTCTCCCTCTTCACACACACACAATTTATCTTCACAACAACCCCAAAAGGGTGGTTAGACTTTAAGGTAACGGCTGGCCCAAGCTTATGCAGTCAGCATCATGGCTGAGTGGGAATTTGTTAAGGGCATCTCAGGTTCCAAAATGCTGGTAAATTGCAAGGATATCCAAGGAAGTTGAATGTTGGAAGATTCAGGGGCAGATAAAAGAAAATAATACTTTATGCAGCTCATTGTCAAACTATGAAACTCCCTGCCGCAGGAGGCTGCGACAGTCACCAACTTGGATGGCTCTGAAAGAACGAATTAAGTACTTAACCCGAGGTACCATTGTATGGAGTGATACAAAATATAGACTATGGAATAATATGCAGCTGTAAATGTTGACAACAGGACCCACGGAGGGGGTGGGGGGAGAGTCTTGAGATTCAGAGTAATCTCTGTACAGTGGTACCTCGGGTTAAGAACTTAATTCATTCTGGAGGTCTGTTCTTAACCTGAAACTGTTCTTAACCCGAGGTACCACTTTAGCTAATGGGGCCTCCTGCTGCTGCCGGAGCACGATTTCTGTTCTCATCCTGAAGCAAAGTTCTTAACCCAAGGTACTATTTCTGGGTTAGCGGAGTCTGTAACCTGAAGCGTCTGTAACCTGAAGCGTCTGTAGCCCGAGGTACCACCGTATATGGATATACATTTGGATTGTTCTAATTTTACATTTTGAAAATCAAATCAAAATGATTTAAAATAAAATCTTAAAACTTTCTCACCTTTACCTCGGCCTCTGGTTGCTGGCGTCTGAGGAAATCTTCGGCCAGGGCCACTGCCTGGGAACAGGCCTGAGGCCCACGGGCCCTGACCCAGCCCTGCATCTCCGGAGGCAGGATGGTCAGGAACTGCTCCAAGATCACCAGCTCCAGGATCTGCTCCTTGGTGTGCCTCTCCGGCTTCAGCCACTGCCAGCAGAGTTCCCGGAGCTTCTTGCAAACCTCTCGGGGTCCCTCGGCTTCCTGGTAGCCAAACTGCCCGAAATGTCTGCCCTGCACGTCGGTGCCAGTGTCGTCCTTTCCCACGGCCTCTTTCTCCGACGTCCTGTTTTCTCCAGCGACCGGATTGCTAAAGGCTCCTGGAGCTCCTCTGCCATTGCTCACCAGAAGCTGAGTGACTCCATCTCCGCTGGGCCACTGGCCAGCAACCGTCACGGCCTCACAAGAGCCCCACAGCAACGGTTTCGACGGCTGTTGGCTTCCCCACCCGGAGGGAAGGGGCTGCACGGCCTTTAGGACCTCCTGCCACTGAGTTTCCCAGCGTTGCGCCAAGCCTTCCTCGGACCCCTGGGTCAACTCTTGGGGGGGCACCCATCCCAGAAGCTCCCCAATGGTCCCAACCTGGATGACGCGAGGGACCACCCGTTCCCCTTCGGATTCCAGAAGCCCCAATTGGGATCCCTCCCTGAGTTTCGCGCCAGGGATCGCCTCGTGTTCTAGAACGTTCTGCAAAGGGAGACTCATGACTCCGCCGGCCCTCAGCTCGGCAGCCATTTTGTCCGGCGGCGTCGGAACACCGGAGGCAATGTCCACAGAGAGCGTAGAAAGTGTAATTTTAAGCTGGAAAGCCCATCACTGGAAGGACGATGAGGGTTCTGAAATGTTGCCACATCGAGACTTGCAGGCCTAAAACAAACAAACAAACAAACAGAATATTTGTAGCCTTCTCCTTAAAGAAAGAGCTAAACAAAGAGTTTACTCCTTCTTATCCAACGCGTGAGAGACTTGTGCCTTTGTGGATGTACCACAGGTGGTGCCAGGAAGGACCTTGCCATCAGTCGCACCTCCTTTAAAATAAGCGCATCTCATGTTTTCATCCGCCAGGCTGATTCCTCCAGGACACACCAGCAGGATCTGTCAATGGTGCTGCAAGTCACTCCGGTCAAATGGTGACTTTATGCTGGATTCAGCAAAATTTCCGGACAGCAAGAAAGAAACTTCTTTTCTCTGAATGAAGAAGACAAAAAGTGGAATAAATAAGCCAAACCAAGCTGTTTTGACTGTTGAGTCGTTCTGAAAGAGAAACTGTATTTTAAGCCTTCAGGCTGAGCATCTGCCTTGCACTATCCTGGGTTCAATCTTTTGCATCTCCATGCAGAGCTCGGGATAAGCTGGGTTTCCATGCTAATAATAATAATAATAATAATAATAATAATAATAATAATAATTTATTTATACCCCACCCATCTGGCTGGATTTCCCCAGCCACTCTGGGCGGCTCCCAACAGAATAATAATAATAATAAAAAAGCGAAAAACATCAAACATTAAAAACTTCCCTAAACAGTGTTGCCTTCAGATGTCTTCTGAAAGTCAGATAGCTGTTTATTTCCTTGACATCTGATGGGGAGGGGGTGTTCCACAGGGTAGGTGCCACTACCAAGAAGGCCTTGCCTTTTTTCCAGGTGTGCTCATTCAACTTTTCCCTTTCCTCCAGTCACTTTCTTCATGATCAGAGCTTGTGCAGCTAGACTGAACCTTTTCTTTTTCTACATGCACAACGGCAAATATAATTGGCAAGCTTTGAAAAGCCTCAGGCCCTTGTGCAAGGGTACCAGTTAAAAGCGCTTTGCTAAACTGGGCCTGCTGTCCGGATCTAGCAGCTGACGCAACATCATGGGAAGAACATTTCAGTTCTGAGCTAAATGGACCAATGGAACAACATAGTCCGTAGATGGACCAATGCTTGTCTCCTTTGTCATTTTATTCTCTCAACAACCCAGTTAAGTAGTCTTTAGGCTGAGAGAGAACGTGAGAGGCTAAAGGTTGCTCAATGAGCTTTACAGCCATGTGGAGACTTGAACTCGTATCTCCCTCTTCCTAGTCCAGCACTCCAACTCGGCGTGACTGACCTATGCAGCCCTCCAGAGGTCAGGGATGATGCGAGCTGTTAGTGGTTTGAGTATCAGACTCGGACCTGGGCGACCAGAGTTAAAATTACCCCACAGCCATGAAACCCACTAAGTGACCTTGGGCCATTCATTGCTTCTCAGCCTACCTGGCAGGGTTAAATGAGAATTAAATGAGGAGGAAGAGAACCCATGTAGGCCACACCTTTAGCTCCTTGCAGGAAGAGGTGAGATACAAATGCAATAAACAAAGTTCTCTCCTCTAACCATATGGCACAAAAAAAGGAATATATATATCTTTATATAAATAAAAGAAATTACACTCCCAGTGTTATTATTAGATAAGTGATTCTTGGGAATACCTATTCTTTTTTTGAATCCATTTGCTTACACACCTGGTTAATTCCAGAATTTTATGCTTGCTCACAATCCTACCTGAAGTCACCTTTGCTGTTTCACACCCCTGACACTCCTTAGCAAACAACCTCAAATTTAACTTTTAAGTAAAAAAGCAAACAAACCCCAAAACAGAGTTTTGGGTAAAGTGTTAACCCACCACCCCATTATTATCTAAACTAGGACGTCCGGTTGGTTATTGCGTGACTTTCTCCCTCGTTGTGGACCAAGATAAGCAAAACCCGCAAAATTTCTAGCAGTTGCTGTTAGAAATAAGGGTCACAACGATGAGCTTTCGATTTTGTGTGGTTTTTAATTTAAATTGGGCAGCGTTGTCTGCTTAGCTGCCTTCATATATGTCTGTTTCTTTGTGCACAAATTGCAATGCTTGGTGGCTGATTAAAAATATTGATCTACTGTATCAGGATGTTCTATGGCACAACTTCGATGTGTATTAAGGGGGAGACGTTCTTCTTAAAAGCCTCCCCACTTTTGCAAGAATCCTCTATCGAACCAGTGCCTCTTCACTTTTTCCTCTCTCTCCCCCGCTCCACCCCAATTGCACGAAAGTGACTTTCCCATCCTAAAACGCCAAAAAGATGCAATGGCAAACGGTAGCATTTATGAAGGAGAAATAAAATACTAAAATACTGAAAAACAAGAAGAAGAAGAGGAGGAGGAGGAGGAAGAGAGCCTGTAGTTGTAGACAGAGGTGGTGTACAGGGAAACGCATGTACAGGAAAATATACGAAAATCTGTTTTATCAGAGATCTAGGTCAAAAGTGAACGGAAGTGGCAGAGGGCAAGGGTTTGCATCTGCTCTGCACCACTTGCACATTTAGAAACTTTCCCCTTTCCCCCTCCACATGCAACTCACAGCACATCCTGCCCCACTGCGCTGGATCTGCTTCAGCCCCACAGAGGCTCTCCTCTTTCTGGTCTGGCTGTATCCTGCAGCAGAGGGGCTGGGGGGGGGGGAGCATCCAGAACAGGAAGTGGGCAGCCCTAATTTATTTCCCCTTCACCCCCAACTTCTCAGTCTCTCTAGGAACCAAAACACTCACAATGTAACCCTTCATGTGCCTGTAAAAAAAAAAACCCAACCAACCAGATACACACCTTTAGCCTCACGATCTTATAAAACACACATTTCATCAAGAGCAATATTGGAGGGTATGGAGTAGGATGTCCCCATTTTCATCAGAGGAACTCAGCTGTGCAAATCCCCACAGAGCGGGGAGGGGTCCACAGGATCATCTAGTCCAACCCCCTGCAAATGCAGCAATTACATATTGGAAGAAGCTGGGGCTTGAACTCTGGACCTCCTGCATGCAAACCGCGTGCTCTTACACTGAGCCGCGCGGCACCTCCCCAAGGGCAATGAATGCACTCTGCATATGCTCAGAGGGCCCACCGGAGCCTTCATATTCCTGCCTGCCATGACGCAGGCTCTGAAAAGCTGGGCACCTCATCTGTCCCAAGCACATGTTCTACCCATGTTGGAAGTTCCCCTGCGGCTCCCCTCTGCCCAGGGCAATGCAACTCCACCAACAACTCAGCTGTGGCACCAAAGGGGTTAAAGGGCCTAAGCTATAGAGTCCTAGAGAGGACAGGAAATGGAGAGCGCATGGGGGAACTAAAACACCAGCGGAATTTTCCGGTCATGTGCACCTTTCTTTCTCTTCCCTTCTTTCTTTGGAGGAAGCTGGGCTGTTTAAAGTGGTGGTGTTGTTGTTTAGTTGTTTAGTCGTGTCAGGCTCTTCATGTCCCCCTGGACCAGAGCACGCCAGGCACTCCTGTCTCCCACTGCCTCCCGCAGTTTGGTCAAACTCATGCTGGTAGCTTCGAGAACACTGTCCAATCATCTCGTCCTCTGTCGTCCCCTTCTCCTTGTGCCCTCCATCTTCGCCAACATCAGGGTCTTTTCCAGGGAGTCTTCTCTTCTCATGAGGGGGCCAAAGTACTGGAGCCTCAGCTTCAGGATCTGTCCTTCCAGTGAGCACTCAGGGCTGATTTCCTTAAGAATGGAGAGGTTTGATCTTCTTGCAGTCCATGGGACTCTCAAGAGTGTCCTCCAGCAACATAATCCAAAAGCATCAATTCTTCGGCGATCAGCCTTCTTTATGGTCCAGCTCTCACTTACCATACATCACTACTGGGAAAACCATAGCTTTTACTATACAGACCTTTGTTGGCAAGGTGATGTCTCTGCTTTTTAAGATGCTGTCTAGGTTTGTCATTGCTTTTCTCCCAAGGAGCAGGCGTCTTTTAATTTCGTGACTGCTGTCACCATCTGCAGTGATCATGGGGCCCAAGCAAGTAAAATCTCTCACTGCCTCCATTTCTTCCCCTTCTATTTGCAAGGAGGTGATGGGACCAGTGGCCATGATCTTCGTTTTTTTGATGTTGAGCTTCAGACCATATTTTGCGCTCTCCTCTTTCACCCTCATTAAAAGGTTCTTTAATTCCTCCTCACTTTCTGCCATCAATGTTGTGTCATCTGCATATCTGAGGTTGTTGATATTTCTTCCGGCAATCTTAATTCTGGCTTGGGATTCATCCAGCCCAGCCTTTCGCATGATGAATTCTGCATATAAGTTAAATAAGCAGGGAGACAATATACAGCCTTGTCGTACTCCATTCCCAATTTTGAACCAATCAGTTGTTCCATATCCAGTTCTAACTGTAGCTTCTTGTCCCACATGGAGATTTCTCAGGAGACAGATAAGGTGATCAGGCACTCCCATTTCTTTAAGAACTTGCCATAGTTTGCTATGGTCGACACAGTCAAAGGCTTTTGCATAGTCAATGAAGCAGAAGTAGATGTCTTTCTGGAACTCTCTAGCTTTCTCCATAATCCAGCGCATGTTTGCAATTTGGTCTCTGGTTCCTCTGCCCCTTCGAAATCCAGTTTGCACTGCTGGGAGTTCTCGGTCCACATACTGCTTAAGCCTGCCTTGTAGATCAGCTGCTCTACATAAGGACATAAAAGAGCCTCTGAATCAGGCCAGTAGCTTATCTAGTCCAGCACCCTGTTCTCAGACAGCAAGCAGGATTCAAGCACTTTCCCCTCCTGTGGTTTCCAGCAATTGCCATCAGACGCATTGGTGTCTCCAACCTTGGAGGCTGGTGTTTCCCAAACTTGGGTTTCCCTGTGTTTATTTGGACTACAACTCCCATCATCCTTAGCTAGCAGGACTGATGGTCAGGGATGATGGGAACTGTAGTTCAAAAACAGCTGGAGACCCAAGTTTGGAAAACACTGGCAGAGGCAGAGCATAGCTTTCATGGCTAGTAACCATCGATAGGCCTCTCCTCCATAATTTTTTAAAATACATATGTACATTTTTATTAATTTTTTAACATAGTCATTTAACATACATTTTTATCTTATACAATTTTTTTAGACTTCCGTCAACTACCTCTGAAGATTTTCCATTCTTTATTGCTTAATCTGCATTTCTTAATTTCTCTATTACTTTTAATTATCCTTAACTAATATTCTCTTCATAATCTTCCTTGCAATATTTTGCATAATCCTCCTTACAAAACATATTGCAGTCCTACTAGCGTAATCTGTTTATTACAGTTGCTTTTCAAATAGTTCAAATATTTACTCCAGTCCTCTAAGAATCTTTGGTCCCACAGGTTTCGAATCCTTCCTGTCAATTTGTCTAATTCTGCATAGTCCATTAATTCTCCTCCCTGAATTTGTCTCATCTTCTTTCAAAGCCATCCCTGTGGCAGGGAGTTCCATAGTGTGACAAAGAGCTGCATAAAGAACTATTTTCTTTTATCTGCCCCTGAATCTTCCAACATTCAGCTTCATTGGATATCCTTGTAATTTCCCAGCATTTAGGAACTTGAGATGCCCTTAAAAAATTCCCACTCAGCCATGATGCTGACTGCATTAGCTTGGGCCAGCCCTTACCTTAAAGTCTAACCACCATTTTGAGGTTCTTGTGAAGATAAATTGTTTGTGTGTGAAGAGGGAGAGAGAGGCAGGCAGGCAGAGAGGGCCCTGCTGCCCCAGGCTTCTTGGGGAACTAGCAAGATTCAATAAAAGGAAAACTATCACAATAATACAGTGGTACCTCGGGTTAAGAACTTAATTCGTTCCAGAGGTTCGTTCTTAACCAGAAACTGTTCTTAACCTGAAGCACCACTTTAGCTAATCGGGCCTCCCGCTGCTGCCGCCGCGAGCACGATTTCTGTTCTTATCCTGAAGCAAAGTTCTTAACCCGAGGTACTATTTCTGAGTTAGCCGAGTCTGTAACCTGAAGCGTCTGTAAACTGAAGCGTCTGTAACCCGAGATACCACTGCACTGACAAAATATCATATTAAATAGCTAGATATATTTCCCTCTATTCTCCATTTTATTGTATTGTATTTTACTTTTTCTTGGCAACGGCTGTAGAAATATTATATGCATCCCAGTAAAGAATGGATACAAAAACTTATGAAATATGCAGAAATGGCAAAACTTACTGGAAGAATAAGAAATCAAGATGCTACGGTAAAATCTGGGTGCGGGGCTACTTTGCCACCCAGCTCGTCGGACTAGGTCCGCGGGTCCCTGCGGAAGAAAATGAGCTCAGCCAGAGACAGGAGCAAACTGGAGAAGATCCAAGTTTATTGCGCAACAGGTTCAAGGCGAGATTGAACAGCGAGAAAGGGGTGACATGAACTTTTGAAATTTCCCTCCATGTCCCAGAATACAGTGCAAAATACATCCCAGTTACATCATGAATACATTAAGAAGAGGTTGGGTTACACAGATTACATCATGAATACATTAAGAAGAGGTTGGGTTACACAGATTACATCATGAATACATTAAGAAGAGATCAAATGCCATCAAATGCCAACAGTGTCCTTCAGCTCTCTATATTGGACAAACAGGCCAAACCTTACGCCAAAGAATAAACGGACATAAATCTGACATCAAGAATCACAAAACAGAGAAACCAGTAGGAGAACACTTCAATCTGCCAGGACATTCTATACAAGATCTCAAAGTAGCTGTTTTACTACAAAGGAATTTCAGAAATAGACTGGAAAGAGAAGCTGCTGAATTGCAACTCATTGCCAAACTCAAAACCATGGAGAGACCTGGTCTGAACAAAGACATTGGATTCTTATCTCATTATACATGACTAAGCCATTTTTCACCTTCTCACCCCTTGCCTTTTCCTGTAAGACCTATTGCAGTCGTTAAGAGTCGTCAACAGGCTCATCTCAGCTATCTGCCAATCTCCCATTCCCACCACCCTTCTGAGTAATACCCCTCCCCACCTTCTCACTATATAGAAGGATCTGGCAACTTCTGTTTCAGTGTATCTGAAGAAGTGTGCATGCACACGAAAGCTCATACCAAGAACTAACTTACTTGGTCTTTAAGGTGCTACTGGAAGGAATTTTTTTATTTTGACATTAAGAAGAGGTTGGGATACACAGATTAACATATGGAGGAGGGAGGGGGGAATATGCAGAGCTGGAGATATGCGCAGATAAGCACTTCCTGAGTACTGGTGATGAGAAGACAATGGTCCATGTATGCATGGTCTGCCACCTGGCCTTGCCCGGAGGAAAGGCTTGGCAGAGTGATTTGACAGGATTAGGGTCTTTACACCTTGCTTGAGGGATTATGGAGGACAGGGGATGTGTCATGGAGTCCTAGAGAAATTGAGCAAATTGTCATGTTGATTTTCTATGAATTTTATAGGTTTTAGTCCCTTTTGACATTGACAATTGGAAATAAATGGATATATTGTAGCGAAGAAGGAGGTGAAGAAGACATGCCCCCCCCTTCCGTATCAAAGATAACAAACTTTTTATGAAAGAATGGAAATGGTTTATTGAATATTTACAGAAGATATATACTTACAATAGATAATTAAATGAGCAAGTTAAATGAATTAAAAAATAAATGTAAGGAACCGCAGAAAGAGGGGGAAGGAAGTCAAATTTTGAAATGTTAAATTGATTGTATAACTAATGTATAAATTTGAAAAGTTTAAATAAAAAACTTTTTTAAAAAAAGAAATATTATATGTAACTAATTTGCAAACAGTTTTTAACAACACCCATCAATAAAATGTGAGGTTCTTATTTTTTCCTATGTTTTCGGTATTTCTTTCTTTCTTTTTTAAAAATCTGTTTGGCTGCTATGCAGCTGACAGTGTCATGGGAGCCTCACATAAAGACCAAACCCCCTCCGTCAAAAAAAGTTGCATGTTTAGAATAGATTTATGAAAGATTTAGAAAACTTATTGATTAGAATATTTGTGTGAGAATGTATGGGAAAAATACGGAATAACAGATACAATCTTGCTTAAAGTGTATATAGGAAGTGCAGTGTAAGCGATGGAAGCCAACCAATGAAATTTTATTATTATTTTCATGTTGAGCTATTTGTAGAATAAACTTGGAAGAATTTTTTTCAACTTATCTTCTTTTATTTTTATTTTTTCTTTTCTTCTCTTTAGTTCTTTTTTAATATATATGTGCTTATTTGAAATATATACAGTATGTATGTATGTATGTATGTATTTGCAATATTTTGCTTATATTTTGTAATAATTATGTTAAATGGTTTTTTTTTTTAAATACAATTTTTTTTATTAAAAAAAGTTGCATGCGTTTTGCTTTTTTTAAAAAATAAAAAAATATTTAAATCACTGCAGGGGTGCAGTTTGGGAATTTTAGACTCCGGGGAGTCTATGTTCTTATGCACCCTCCCATTAGATACCCATGCGCATTCTTTCTTCGCTTACTTACAAATGCAGCAAACAAGCCCTGAAATTCGGCCCGGGAGGCACCACTTGCAGGGATGGGGGCGGCGGGGGGGCGGGCGGAGGGAATTGCAAGTGGGTCTATAATGGTTAAATCCAAAGAATCCGATTCCTAGAGAGGCTCCATAAAGCTGGTGGGGGCGGGCGGAAAGGGAGGTCAGTAATGGACTCCTCTTCCTCGTTGGAGGAGTGGAAATGGCTCCTTTGCAGCTCTGAGCAGGGTGAGCAGCTGGCACCGAGTTCAATAATAAAGGGAGCTTGGGTGGGTGGAGGGTGCTGGAAAGCCGCAGGGTGCAGAGAAGGAGAGGCATGGGGTGGGGTGGGGGCGCAGGAGGGAAGCACCCCCTTTCTCCCCTAGATCCTCTCCCTTAAGGGAGCAAACCTTGCAATGCACGTGGGAACGGCGCGCAGAGCAGGTCAGAGGTCCTCCTGCAGTCCATTTGTCCCCTGGCACTGGAAGTGAAGGCCAAAGGACGGACTTCCCAACTGCAGCACATCGTTAAACTTCGGAACTCCCTCCCACAGGAGGCCATATCTACTTTTCCCCTTTTAAAAAGGGAAATTCCCTTATTCTGAATAGGATTCCTTGCAAGAAAAGGGAAAAGTTGACAGCTATGTAGGAGGCAGTGATGACCACCAACCTGGGTGGCTTTCCGTGGAGGAGAAGGCCCTCCTCTGCCCGGCCACATTTGGAAGCAGCAGTGTTTCTGGATGCCAGAAACCACAGGAGGGGAAAGTGGTCTTGTGCTTGAATCCTGGGTTTCCCAATGGGGCCTCTGGATGGCCATTGTGAGAGCAGGAGGCCACTGGCCTGATCCAGCGAGTTCTTCTTAGGTTCTTATGAAAATGGCTCGTCTGCCCTTGTTTAACCCCTAGCACCTAATATTTGGGGATAGACTGCTGCTGTAAAAGGAGGCTCCCCACCGCTAGTGTGGCACAGACATTCCCCTCCCCTGGACAATGCCATTTCTAAAAGTAGGAGTAAGACGCAGCTTAAGGGTGGCACTGTGGTCTAAACCACAGAACCTAGGACTTGCCAATCAGGTTGGCTGTTCAAATCCCCACGACGGGGTGAGCTCCCGTTGCTCGGTCCCTGCTCCTGCCAACCTAGCAGTTCGAAAGCACATCAAAGCGCAAGTAGATAAATAGGTACCGCTCCGGCGGGAAGGTAAACGGTGTTTCTGTGCGCTGCTCTGGTACGCCAGAAGCGGCTTAGTCATGGTGGCCACATGACCCGGAAGCTGTACACCGGCTCCCTCAGCCAGTAAAGCGAGATGAGCGCCGCAACCCTAGAGTCGTCCGCGACTGGACCTAATGGTCAGGGGTCCCTTTACCTTTACCTTTAAGACGCAGTTTCGTTATGCGTAAATAAATAAAGTGTTTACTATCACTTTCCCAATTATCTTCCCCACTAAGACCATCAGTTTTACTCTCCCTTCTTCCCATAGTTTTTGTTTTCAGCAGAATCTTTCTTGGGGGAGGTCTCTTTCTTCCACTTGCCCTGTCCAGTTGCTCCTTTCTGAATGTTACCTAAAAATTTGCCAACCTCCCTCCCACAAATCACTACCCAATCAGATGGGTGAGGTACAAATATTATTATTATTATTATTATTATTATTATTATTATTATTATTATCGTCGTCATCATCATCCCAGTCTGCCTGTGTTGGATTTCAAATCCACTTTTATATATGTAAGGGTTCTTAATTGTTTTTGGATATGCAGTTGTTCATAGGCAGAAATCGTTTTAACTTTATAAATATGCATGAGAGAGAAATAGCCCAAGCGCAATATATCTATATCTATATAGTACAGTATTGTGAAATGGCTTCAAGATCCTTCATAGGGAGCCATCTATTTCTATTATTATTATTATTATTATTATTATTATTATTATGCTAAGCTTACTCAGGAGTCTTACGTGAGTTGCCTTGGTAAAAGCTTTTTGAATTTAATAATAATAATAATAATAATAATAATAATAATAATAATAATTTATTATTTACACCCCGCCCATCTGGCTGGGTTTCCCCAGCCACTCTGGGCAGCTTTCAACAGAATATTAAAATACAATAACCTATTAAACTTTAAAAGCTTCCCTAAACAGGGCTGCCTTCAGATGTCTTCCAAAAGTCCGGTAGTTGTTTTTTCTCTTTGACATTGGTGGAAGGACGTTCCACAGAGCGGGTGCCACTACCGAGAAGGCCCTCTGCCTGGTTCCACGTAGCTTTGCTCCTCGCAGTGAGGGAACTGCCAGAAGGCCCCCGGCGCTGGATCTCAGTGTCCAGGCAGAACGATGGGGATAGAGACGCTCCTTCAGGTATACTGGACCGAGGCCATCCACTTGAAAGCCTAAGTGTGCTTGGTGACACTCTCAAAGAACTCTAAAAGGTTCACGAGGCAGGACTTCACCTTGTAGAAGCCATGCTGTTTCTGCGTCAGCAAGAATTGGTCTACTATACGGTCAGTTATTTTATCTTTAACCGTACTTTACCGCAGGTGACCAGGGATGGTGGTAGTCATAGTCTAGCAGCTTCTCAAGGGCCACAGGTTCCCCATCCCTGCAAATATACTGTCTAACTCCTGTTTGTCTGTGTTTTTTCTCCCTCAGGTGAAAGGGCTTCCAGTTACGGACTTCAAGGAAGTATCTCTGGAGGCTCTGATTCCGGCGCAGGTTGCCTCTTCCTGTGAGATTTGAAGGTTGGCTTCAACTTGGCTCTCCCCCCGTCGGAGGAAAATGACTACAGATTATGAATCCTCGTCAGCCTTTGGTCTCCACTTTCAGGATGCGCAGATGGGACTTAAAAGGGAGACCCAGGAGGAGCCGGCAGCTGCCCCCCAGCCGGGATCAGAGGAAATGGGAGAAGCTCTTCGGCGTCAGTGGACAGCCCTATCTGTTAAAGCAGAACCAGATGTGGGTCTCTGGTCCCACCAATATGAAGCCCAGTTGCAGGAGTTCATGAAGACAAATCAGGCCCCTTGCTCCGGACAGGGAATCCCACCGCTGCCAGAAACTGTTCTCTGCGTTGATGCTAAAGTAGTTGCAGCAGAGCAATTGGCCCAAATCCTGCCATGTGCTCAGAAACCGAGTCAACAGAACTCCATGGTGCAAGGCCACAAGAGAGAAAAACATGATATCCTGAACGAGGAGGCCGCTGTCAGCTCAGATGTACCCTGCCAACACTTTAGGCAGCTCAGGTACCGGGAGGCCGAGGGCCCCCGAGAGGTTTGCAGCCAGCTACGGGATCTTTGCCACCGGTGGCTGAAGCCGGAGAGGAACACCAAGGAGCAGATCCTGGAGCTGGTGATCCTGGAGCAGTTCCTGGCCGTCCTCCCTCAGGAAATGGAGAGCTGGGTGAAGGAGCGTGGCCCGGAGACCTGCTCCCAGGCGGTAGACCTGGCAGAGGATTTCCTGCAGAGGCAGCAAGATGCTAAGAAAGAGGAAGAACAGGTGAAGGGCAAAGGAGAGAAGTTCGAAATGGGCATAAGGACATTGCCTGTCCTGGCATTGGAGCCTTTTGCATTCTAGGCCCAAGGCCTTTCTTGGAGTAGCCTGGGAACCTTGGGTTCTCTAGGCCAGAAGCCTTTCCTGTAGTAGCTTGAGCTGGGCAATATTGCAATAATAATAATAATAATAATTTATTATTTGTACCCCGCCCATCTGGCTGGGTTTCCCCAGCCACTCTGGGTGGCTTCCATAGAAACCAAAAAACACTAAAATATCATACATTAAAACTTCCCTGAACAGGGCTGCCTTAAGATGTCTTCTGAATGTCAGGTAGTTGTTTATCGTTTTGACATCTGATGGGAGGGCGTTCCACAGGGCGGACGCCACTACCGAAAAGGCCCTCTACCTGGTTCCCTGTAGCTTGGCTTCTCGCAATGAGGGAACCGCCAGAAGGCCCTCGGCGCTGGACCTCAGCGTCCGGGCAGAACGATGGGGGTGGAGACGCTCCTTCAGGTATACTGGGCCGAGGCCGTTTAGGGCTTTAAAGGTCAACACCAGCACTTTGAATTGTGCTCGGAAATGTACTGGGAGCCAATGTAGGTCTTTCAAGACCGGTGTTATGTGGTCTCGGCGGCCGCCCCCAGTCACCAGTCTAGCTGCCGCATTCTGGATTAGCTGTAGTTTCCGAGTCACCTTCAAAGGTAGCCCCACGTAGAGTGCATTGCAGTAGTCCAAGTGGGAGATAACTAGAGCATGCACCACTCTGGCGAGACGGTCAATGGGCAGGTAGGGTCTCAGCCTGCGTACCAGGTGGAGTTGGTAGACAGCTGCCCTGGATACAGAATTAACCTGTGCCTCCATGGACAGCTGTGAGTCCAAAATGACTCCCAGGCTACGCACCTGGTCCTTCAGGGGCACAGTTACCCTATTCAGGACCAGGGAGTCCTCCACACCAGCCTGCCCCCTGTCCCCCAAAAACAGTACTTCTGTCTTGTCAGGATTCAACTTCAATCCATTAGCCGCCATCCATCCTCCAACCGCCTCCAGGCACTCACGGTATGATGGTCAAACCACGATACTGGTTTCAGACTTTTTGAACTGGGGATATATTGCAGCCTCTGCCAGCACAGCGTCTGCCTCACTGTTCTCTGCCTGCCTGCCTGCACTGTGTTGGCAGCATTCGGGAAGCTACAGCATATCGCCATCTCAAATTGCCTTGATCAGCTGAGAAACGGGCATCCTTAAACTTAAAGCAAGTTTAACTTCCTTAAACTTCCTTTAAATTGCTCCTGAAGGTCAACAATGAGGGAGACGGAGGCACTTCACCAGGGAGAGCGTTCCACAGATGCGGAGCCACCACTGAGAAGGCCCTGTCATGGGTCAATGCAAACCGGGTGGCAGCCGGAGGCAGCACTGCCAATGGGGCCTTCCTTGCTGATTGTAGGGCTCGGGAAGGTTGATATTGTGGGACTCCCTCCCTTAGGGCCCAAACCATTTTGGGCTTTGTACTAAACCCATGAATTGGGCTGGTAGCTCACAGGCAGCTCTAACACATCCCCTTTCCTACTGCTTCAAAATGCTTTCGAGTTTTTACTGGGCGTTTCCCAGACCAGGAATGCACGATGGCTGAGAGTTATACAAATTTAACAATTCCTTGTTTGCTGTTTCAGGAGCACTTTCACGTGATCACAGTCAGCTTCCCTGACGATGAACAGGCTTTGTTGGAAACCTCACAGAGCCAGTCCCACAGGGAGATCAAGCAGGAGGATGAAAGGGATTGCAGCTCCCCAAGTAAGGACCTGTTGTTACAATCATTGCTTACCACAAAGAGCCTGGCAGGGCTTTAATTTGGGGGTTCCTACTCGGGGAGAATGTCTAAAGTGACTGCACTTGGAATCCTGTGTCCGGTTCTGGTTGCCTCACCCTAAAAAGGGATATTGTGGAATTGGCGACAGTTCAGAAAAGGGCAACCAAAATGAGTCAAGGCAATGGAGCAAAGATCATGGGGAAAGATTGCAACAACTTGATAGCTCAGTCGGTACGCTAGCTAATCTCAAGGTAAAAGGTTTGAGCCCCACATTCGGGCAAATGACTAGATGATTTCTAGTTGGTCCCTTCAACTCTGCAATTCTATGATTTTATGATTTGGGGCTTTTTACTTTAAGAGAAAAGACAAATAAGAGAAGACAAGATATATAGTGGTACCTCGGGTTACAGACACTGCAGGTTACAGACGCTTCAGGTTACAGACTCCGCTAAACCAGAAATAGTAATTCAGGTTAAGAGCTTCAGGATGAGAACAGAAATCGTGCAGCGGTGGCGCTGCAGGCCCCATTAGCTAAAGTGGGGCTTCAGGTTAAGAACAGTTTCAGGTTAAGAGCAGACCTCCGGAATGAATTAAGTTCTTAACCCGAGGTACCACCGTAGTTGTTCAGTCAAACCTCGGCTGTCGAACGTAATATGTTCCGGAAGCCCATTCAGCGTCCAAAATGTTCAACAATCAAGGCACAGCTTCCGATTGGTTGCAGTAGCTTCCTGCACTCAAACAGAAGCTGCGTTGGACGTTTAGCTTCTGAAAAACGTTCAAAAACTGGAACATTTACTTCCAGGTTTTTGATGTGCAGGAGCTGAAATTTTCCAAAACAGAGGCATTCAGGATCCGAGGTTTGACTGTATAAAATTACACATGGTGAGGAGAAAGTGGGTAGAGAAAAAGGGTTTTTTCTTCTCTCTCGCTCATAACACTACAGCTCAGGGACATCTAAGAAAGCTGAATGTTAGAAGATTCAGGACAGACCAAGAAACATCATTCTCACAGAACATAATTAAACTATGGCGTTGGCTTCCAACACGAGGCAGTGACAGCCACCAACTTGGATGGATTTAAAAGATTAGACGAATTCATGGAGGAGAGGGCTACTAGCCAAGCTAGCTGCGTCCTACTGTTGGAGGCAACATGCCTCAGAATATCAGTTGCTTAGGATCACAAGTGGGGAGAGTGTGGCTGTTTCACAAAGATTGTGTGGGATACTCAGAGGCATCTTGTTGGCCACTGTAGGAACAGGATGTTGAACTAGGTGGCTACTGGCCTGATTCAGTGGGCTCTGATGTTCTTAAATACTTCTCTTTGACATCTTGTGGGAGGGCGTTCCACATGTTTGCTCCGACTTATTACTAAAGAGGGTTTTCTTGGTGGAAAGTAGTGGGGCATGCGCAAAACCACTCAGAGTTGCGGCTAGAAAGCATGGGAATAGTGGGAAACTGCTGAGACCTATGCTTTGCCGGCATGGGATAAGCCAAAGTATGGACAAGCCCTGAGTATGAGGCCTTATGTTCTTTTATGAGGTATTACGTCAACAGAAGACAGTATTATTCTCTTGCCCAAACCTTTCCTGTCACGTTTTTCTTCATTATATCGCCATAACCCATCTCTTCCTTTCTACTTTCCCCCACCTTGTTTATTATCTCTCTACTTCAGCAGGTGACGAACACATGAATGGGGTGCATTTGGAGGAGGCTGAGCTTCGGAAGCTGAAGAAAAGCTCAGGAGATCAACGTGGATCAAACAAGCGGAAAGAAAAAACAGCGCAGAGGCGGAGAGAGAACTCTGTACTTCCTCAGGCAGGTGGTATTGGAGGTCAACCGAGAATCCCCACAGGAGAGAGCAGGGACGTGCCTGCCGTGTGTGAGGAAAGCTCGAGTGATGCCACGGGCCATGATGCGTTCTTAGGAGATGAGCCTTATACCTGCTCCGCCTGCGGGAAAGCCTTCCGTCTCAAGTCAAGCCTCAAAAGACACTGGAGAAGCCACACGGGCGAGAAGCCGTATACCTGCTTAGATTGCGGGCGGAGCTTCAGCTGGAGGAGCAGCCTCACCACACATCAGAGAACCCACATGAGCGAAAAGCAGTACAAATGCTCCAAGTGCGGGAAGACCTTCCGCTGGAGCCAGAACCTCACCAGGCACTGGAGCATCCACACCGGGGAGAAGCCGTACAAGTGCTCCGACTGCGGGAGCAGCTTCAACCGGAGCCAGAACCTCATCACACATCGGAGAATCCACACGGGAGAGAAGCCGTACAAGTGCTTGGACTGCGGGAGCACCTTCAACCGGAGCCAGAGCCTGATCACGCACCAGAAGACGCACGCGGGAGAGAAGCTGTACATCTGCTCGGACTGCGGGAAGACCTTCAACCGGAGCCAGAGCCTCATTGCTCATCAGAGACTCCACACGGGGGAGAAACTCTACATGCTCCGGATGAAAGGAGAGCTCGCGGGGAAAATGCAGCCTCCTCAGACACGGGTGGAGTCGCACACTGCGGACATGATATAGTAGGGTTGCCATATTCCAAAAAGCGAAAATCCAGACACAGATGTTGAGCAAGATCTCCCCGCAAAAAAAGAGAATGGTTTAAAGCTATTTTTTTAGCAAATTTGCCAAAAAAACAACACTGCTGATTCGAGCTGCCACGTGTCCAGATTTTTCTGGACATTTTAACCGATTTTTGAAAATTCTGCCCGGACGCCATTTTCAAAAGACAAATCCTGGGAAATTTCGTATGTATGACAGCCCAATGATATAGGCATGCTCACAGAGGAGGGAGAAAGATGGGTTTGAGATCCACCCCTTGTTTAGAAAGGTACAAGGACACAGTGGAAAATGAGTGCCAGAAATGTTCATTTAAGTCGGGGTTTCTGATGTGTCAGCCTGAGGGTGCTGGTATACCCACCGGGACCTCCTGTGGTGCCTGCAAAAGTTCTCTGTAAATATCCCCTCAAAAATCCACAATGCACAAAAGACTCTTTGCTCTTCCTACTCAGTTCCCGTTTGTACTGACTCCACCTCTCCTGCAGTGAACACGCCCCCTTTCAATATGCCCAAGTTCCATTGGACGCCAGGACTCGATGCCCGCCTTCCCTTCCATTCTGAACAGGGGAGAGGTGCAAAGAGCTGATATTGGGCAGCTGACGTGGAGGCATGCTTCCATCATTTGGCGATCCTGTCTCTTCCTCCCAATACTGTTAGATGTGGCATGTGTGTGTGTGTGTGTGTGTGTTATAGCAAAACCTGCATGCGGCATTATCTCTAAAAGTCAAGGGCTCTGTGCAAACCTCTCCTTCTGTTGAGCGATCAAGGCCAGTGAAGGAGGACTTGCTAAGCTTGTGTAGCATAGTGGACACGGGTTCAAATTTTGGGATGGGGAGGCCCACTTCAAGATGTCACATTGACAGCGAACGCTACTTAGCAGAGCCCGACCTCACACAAACACCCCTCCCCAAATATGAGTGCAGTATGCTGGAAATAAAACTGTTGTATGTTAGTTAAAATAATAAATTGGATCATCCCTGAAAGTTGAACTGTATCCTCTGACAGAACATTGCTTCAAACTCCTAGGAAGAAGACTACGAGCCCATGCTGCTTCTATGGACTGTGTTTCTTCTTTTACCTAGCAAACTGCCTAAAACAAATCCTTAGTTTTGTTAATAAACGTGGTGAGGGGGGAAGGCAGGAAACAAAAAGGAGCCCCCCCCCAAAAAAAAACAGTGAGGAAGGGAAAGAAAACACATGGAGAAAAGCCCCCTTAGCGCGTCATGAGTTTGAGGGAAAGGCTTTAAAGCAACAGTAGGGGAAAGACGGAGAAGCCCAGTGGAGGCTGCCTTGCCCCGTGAGAAGCACAGCTTTGAGCAGGGCCACACAGACACACACACACACACACACACACACACAGAGCACCCGAGCGAGGGCGGGACATGGACGGGCAGGGGGAGCAGCTGGCATTTTGTCACCCCTCTCAGTGATGACAGCCGGGGCGGGCTGCACGGGTGGGCAAGCAAACTGCCCACCCCCTGCTCTGGTCCCCATGATGGAGGCAGGGAGGCAGGGGCACATTCGCTCCACATTGCAGATTCTCATAGCACTAGAATCCGTGGCCCTCCAAGAAGCTGAGTGTTGGGAGATCCAGGACAGATAAAAGCAGATAATTGAACTATGGAACTCACTGCCACTGGAGGCAGAGATGGCAACCAATGCAGGAATCTTTTGCCCAACATGTCGCTCAAGCTGGTGACCCTTAGATTAAGAGTCCAGCACTATCCAGAGGACACCCCATTTGATGCCCCCGATATACAGTACAGAATCCCGCTTGTAAATAAGGAACGTCAACGCATCAACCCTAAACACAAATTTTAACAGGGCAGAAGCCCCACTCAATGCAATGGGGTTTATTTCTGACAAAGTGTAAAGAAGGTGAGGCTCTTATTTGCAGAGGATATTTGAAGCCGACGCCTTGTTCAACTTCTTTTAGATTTTCTTCCTGTCTGAGGTCCCTAGAGCAAGGAGCTATCCTGCCTGACGTGGGTCAAGGGGTTCATTTTTAGTCCTCTATTAATCCAATAATGTATGCATTTTCACAGCTGCATAAGGTCTTGTGGGGAGAGGAAGGTTTCCTAGAATTGCTGAGTTGTGAGGGACTCTGGTCCCACCCCCTGCAGTGCAGGAAACGTTTGGCCAATGTGGGGTTCAAACTCACAACCCTCATGCTCTGCCAAATCAGACATCTCAAACGGAAAACAAGATTGAAGGTGAGAAAATTTATTAGGACTCCTAAAAGTGGGACTGTCTCTCTCTTCTGGGAAAAGGAAAGAAAATGCAAAGCAAGAGCAACCCATTTTTGTTTGGTTATTTCTGTTGATTTTGACTGAATGAATCCTCTCAAAGGGCCCTTGGAAAACTGCCCAACCTGCTCTTGGCGGGTAAATGGTTTTTACGTCAGTCACTCTGGTCTGGAGAGAAACTCCTGCTCTGCTGGGCCTGAGAGGCAGATTTAGTCTCCTCAGGAGATACTGAGGTGGGTTTTATTTTCCCACAGATCAAAGTAAGGGAGGAGGGTCTCTCCAGAGAACGAGGCTCCTGAGAACGTGTAGAGTTCGGCTCCTGAGTCAGCGTCAGAAAAAGACACACGTCCCCCTTCATAGTCCAGAGTCACCCGGATCCTCCTGGGCTTCTCCATCAGGGACAGAGGAGAGTATTTAGGGGAGGTGCAGGCCCAGTATTCCCCTCCCCACTTCTCCACAGCCCAGATCCCCCACTCAGGCCTTAAGGGGAAGATGCCCTTTCTCTCCACAGACATCCTGGCGACCCCCAAAGCCCACTCTTCCCGACTTCCCACAGTGATTTCCCAGAAATGTCTGCCTGCTGTGAATCCCTCACGTCCCAACACACAAATCTTGTGGCTAAATCTCTCAGGATTATCAGGCAGGGCTTGAGGTTTGTGTCCCCTTCTCACACTTTTCCGATCCTCAGACAGGATGAGTTCAGGATGGGCTGTGTCTGGATCCAGAGTGACATTTGCTTTTGGGGAGAAGATGAGGGAAAGAGAAGATTAGGCAGAGTCAGCTGAGAGACAGAAACGGACATTCAGATCAATAAATAAATAAAAAACACCCCAAAAACCCAGATTCCCTCTCATATCAAGGGGATTTCTTTGCATCGCTTGCAAGACTGATACTCCTTGGAGAATAAATATCTTCCTTGTTGGTTTTTAAATCAGTCTCCTTCACTTGAGTGCTGCATTTGTTGCTCTCAAACTTACAAAGCCTCAGCCAAGGTTAGACAAATTATCAACATGCATTCAACAGCAAAAATCACATTAATTGTTCAAAAGTATGCCAAATACAAACTTTTACCTTTTGATAAAATTTGTTTGTATCATTGAAAGCTGTTATTGTGTTTTTCTTTTAAGACCAAAGGTGTTAATATAGGAGGTTTTTTTTCTAAACTAAAACCTCAGTATTCAGGTTAAATTGCCGTGTTGGCACTTAGCGATAAATAAGTGGGTCGTGTGTTGCAGTTTGGGCACTCGGTCCATAAAAGGTTTGCCACCACTGGTCTATAGGCAGAAATGGAACTCAGACTGGTGTGCAGGTTCTTCGCAGGGCCAAGCTCTGCCCCCAGGCCAAGCCTTCAAACCCTCTCCCAGTTCATTCATGGGACATGGAAAGAACCCAAACGGCACTAGAGGACTGTTTCCCAGAGTGACGCCATTGATGGGGGTCCCAAAGTCTGCAGAGCAGACGGTTCAACACCCATGAAATATCAGTCCCCATCCCTCCAGTGAAATTGTTCCTCTCCTGGAAATTTACCTTTCTGAATTTGTTCACTGAATAGCAGAGCATCTGAGGAAGCAGAAAGATATAAAGTGTAAGGGCAACACTCTTCCACCAGAAATAAATCTCTATACAAAAGTAACACTTCATAATGTGGCATCCTTAAATTGAAGTACAATTATTAAATATTAATTAAATAGTACAAAAAAAATTAAAACTAGAAAATCATAGGAAGAATCTATGAAAATAACTAAAACTTTAAATAGCAGAATAAGAATATTCAGCATAAATCCTAATGGTCTCTGAACTTTGTCCCTAAATTGGGCTCTACATTGGAGGACTGGAGAGGAGGCAGAGCAATAGGAATCCCGTAAAAGGAGGCAGAGGGGAGATGGAGGCAGCCTTCACATCTTCCCCAAGTTAAGTGGTGGGGGGAATCATTAAAGCCAAAATTGTGAGACATAAGGAGAATCGAAGTTTGATGAGGAAGGATTGGCAGAGCTCTCAGGCAAAAGGAAACCCTTCCTCACAAACCTTCTACAAATCTTTAAGGTTCTTCACAAGCATAATTGTGCCCTTTGGGGCTCATGTGCTCTTGCTTCCACTCTCAATGGGGGAACTCTCAGGAGATCTTGAAGGCCGAAGCCCTAGATATGGCAGCTGCAGGGGGACGTCTGAGGAGGAGACGGCTCAGGCCTTGGCTCCACGGCTGAGAAAGAAGCCTGAGCAGGAGGCAGAGGGGGAACTGGGGGCTTCTTAATGCCCTGTGACTCCATTCAGAGCAGGAGAACCTCCAAAAGGACAAACTCAGATTGTGCAGACAGGGAACCACAAGGAAAAGGAGGTTTCGTATAACTAGGAGGAAAGAATCCTGACTTTGCTCTACACTCTGGTTCAGGCTTTCTTTACAGGATCCAGCGTCACAATATACATGGGCCAATCTGGGGGGCAGGAAATGAAGGCTGGAGCACCAAGAAGGAAGGTATCCTGGGGTTACTCAATTCCATGCAATAAGAGCCTGGCATGTTCAGTTCTGAAGAAATAATAGAATTCTGAGTGTGAAATCCTGGGAGCCATTTTTCATTACCTTTCCATTGTTTCATTGTATTCTTCACAAGGTGAATTAGTTCACCGGATTCCAAGATCCTGTTCCTCAGTTCTGGAGGGAAAGCCAGTGGCTTCTCTGGACTCTCTCTTTCCTCATACCTGGTGAAAAGAAAAACAATGAATGGCCCCATTGTGGCCCCATCTCCCTAATTATTGCAGGAGATCTCAATAACCTGAACAAAGTTGAAGTTCATTTCCCAACAGGTAATTTTCAGGATTCAGCTTCATCTCTTGACACCCACCTCCAAGCCCTGGTCGGTGGCTTCGTAAGGATGCTAAACTTTACAAGGGACAAGATGTAACCCCAAGTGACACCACCGGAGGGCTCCCATGGCTTCAAACGATGCTGCTCCATAACAACTTTCTGGGAAGGTCCCAGGAGAGGTGGAATGCCTGCAACCCCTCCCTCTCTGAGCCTCCCCAGAGGATGTGAGTGATGTCCCAAGCTGCCAAGTGGTCAAGGAGAACAACCTCCACCCTCCCTTCACCCCCTCTCTCACCCAGGAAGGGCACAACTCCATGCCCCATGGGATTCTCCCTCCAGAGGCAGGAAACAACTAGACTTTCACCCCCCACTCAAGACCACCTTCAGCCTCTCATGCTGGAAACGCTCCCAAGAAAAAGAATCCACCTATTGTAGACCAACAGACCTTCCCTCCCTCAGTGCCTCAAAGGGGCTGAGTTACCAGAGTTGAGGGGCTTCTAGTTGGACATTGAAATATGTCCTAAGCTCTTCCCAAGCATCTTTGGCACTTTCTCTTCTAGATGTTTGAAATTACCACAAAGTCCATGAACAGAAAGTGCAAGAGAAAGAAAAAAGCCCCCATCCCTTTGTGAAGGGATGTGAGGAGAGAGGGAGGAGGCAGTTGACCTTGAACCTTGGAGGGAGAATTGGGGGGCTACAAGTTCAGAAGAGGGGGCCCTGCTTTTACCTGTGAGGTGCTGCAGGGAGTGAGTCCCACAGTCTCCCCCCTGCAGCCCCTGGAGGGCCATGTCTGAGGTTCTTGCATCTCAGCTTCAAAGAGTGATGCTAATGGAAATGAGCCAGATCCACTTACCTCTGCAAGGTCCTTCTCACATCCTAGAGGGAAAAGAGAAGGGAATTCACTGCACACCACAGGCCACACTAGGAAGACCCCCTCAGACCCTGCCCCTCGGATGTCAGTCTGCCTGGCACATGCCAAGGTTTTGGGTAGGGATGGCGGAATCAGCCCGTTTTGGTTTCTCACAGCTTTTATTTTCCCAGTGTAAAATTATTAACTGTTCTGATTTCAATATCTCCACATTTCCACATCAGTTTGCCATTTTTGTTTAAAATCCTTATGAAAATCCACCAGCATTTTAGGGAAATTTCACATTTGTGGGTTCAAGAGACAATTCACACCATCTCTAGTCTTAGATTATAATTTAATAACTTTAATCCAGTTTGCATTGTGCAATTCAGACGTAAGCAAGCCTACAGGATAATCCTACCAGGGCACTGTCCTAAACTGTCTTCCATAGAAGTCCCCAAATTTCAAATGCTTTTTTCCACCTGGAAATTTAAAAAGCACCTGCAGCATAAAATGTCTCCCAAGGGGTAATAAAATAGGTCAGTGTTTCTTTGGGCTCACCCACACTTCTGCTTTTCCTGTGCATAGAGAACACGGGTCCAAGTGGTTTTCCTTTGCCCTGCCGCTTTCCCTCAGGAAAAACCTGCTCCTTGGTGCAACATCAAAGAAAACGTCAATGCAGAGAAAACCTGGCTGAGGTTTGCTCTAATTCAGCAGTAAACAGCGGGTTTTCCTGGAGGAAAGGGGTGGGACAAGCGGCAGTCTGGATGAGTCCCTCTGTCTTGCACTTTGCTCACTGTGACTGAGCACCATTTTGGGCTGATCTGTATCCATGGGGAAGGGGATCAACCCAGAAGTTGTGGAGGAAACGGGAAGAGAAGCTTGGTCAAGAGACTGGCTCATGTCGGAAGGAGGCCTGAACGCATCTCAGACGTAGACCCCCACAGCTGAGAGGCGTTCGGAGACAAAGCATCAGCAAAGAGCAGAAGATCAGCTCCCGTTCCATCAAGAACACAGACGAATCTCTAGTCTGCATTCAGGTGAGTTAAGCATCCCAGGTCTCTTGGGTCTTCCTGTCCATTATAAACCTGACTAGAGGCTCCATCAACTCAGCCCCTGCACTCCTTGCATACATGAAAGGGGCAGCCTTTTCCTGGGGCCTTGGGCTGTTCCTGCCACCATCTTACCTGCAGGAGTTCACTCGCTGGCTGCTGACGCTTCTCCTCCATCTCCTGGATGATCCTCTCAAGAGAGGAGAGTTTCCTGGAGAGTCTGGCCAGCTGCTCATCCCTTCTCCCTGCAATCTCCTTCTCCACCTCTTCCACGTGAGTCAGCAGACGTTTCTCTTGTGCTTCCAGGAACTGGCGCAGTTCTCTGAACTTCTCCATAGTCTTCAGCCTCTCCGTTTCTGTTAATTTCTGCAGGAAAAGAGGAGGTCTGAGTGTGGAAGGTGATCAGCCTTCAGAACATCAGGAAGAGAATAGTGAGAATTCCACAGGGAGGACACTTCCGACTTTTAATAGACATGAAACCACCAGTTACTAAAGAAGTAAACCTTTATTTTGAGGGGAGGCCCTCTCCATTGCTGTTCCTGTTGACTTCTATTTTGCAGAGAGCTACAGGCTAAAGGAAGGACCTTTTTCCTAGCCATGGATGTTCCCTGCATGTTTTGGGGCATGGCATAACCAGAGTTCAGAGTTGTTCAGAGATCACCCAGGGACATAAAACACCCCTCAGCTTAGGCTGGTGCCATTTAGGTGTAGGGAAACTGCAGAAACAGGAGGAGGAGGACAGGGCAGAGTTCATCCCCATAGCTCCCCTGTTTTCTTTAAAGGTTCAAAATGGCTTGAGTTTCCTAACAATGAACAAGAGCGCACATTCAGAAAGACAACTCTTTAGTAATATTTATGGTAAATCAGGATTTGAATTGAACCACTTCCACCCTCTCAGCTCACAAGTCCTCAGGCTTCTCCTTCACTGCTATTCATATAATAAATGACAATGGGAAATAAACTCAATTTAGCTGCATTGAAACGTGATGGAGACTGAAATATGGAGACTGAAACAGAACAATCTTTTGAAATTTACACCTCTGAATCTTTCAAGGTTGACCCAGCCAGGTAATGTTCACAAAAAAATGTATTTATGAGGGTAAAGTACATATCAAAATATTTGTACAAGAAGGTAGCCACCTTCATCATAATAATAAATAAACAAACAAACTGATATGGAAAAGGAGAATGGGGGGAAGTTGAAATGGGCAGATTTCCCCATCCTTCCACAGTCCTGACTCAATTCTTCAAGTGCTTGTTCCCTCACTAGTAACAAGAGAGACACTTACAAGGAGGTCTTTGCTTTCCTTGTCCAGGGCTGCTAGATAGGCCAGAATTTCCCCTCTCTCTTTCCTCAGAATCTCCAAGTGGTGACAGATCTCTCCCTGAAAAGAAAAAGGGAAACTTAGGTTTGATTGAGACACACAGAGAGGAGATGAATATTATACAGGCTTCTTGGGTCCAGTGGCCTTGCTATAACAGCGAAGTACAGTGGTACCTCGGGTTAAGAACTTAATTAGTTCCAGAGGTCCGTTCTTAACCTGAAACACCACTTTAGCTAATGGGGCCTCCCGCTGCCGCCGACACGCGATTTATGTTCTCATCCTGAGGTAAAGTACCACTGTACTTTACTAGAGGAAATAAAAGTACAACCTTTTTGGGTCTAAGGCTCCCTGGATCAACTACCTTCTTTCTGCGGTGTCCCTGTGGGGCTCAGGATCCCAGTTGGGTCCCCCCTTGCTTGCAGCCCCTCACCCTTTCTCGAACACCCTCCCTTGCGGAGGGCTCTCTCAACCTCATCTCCCCTCTCCTTAGGAGTCCTCCTCTGGGTCTCTGAGCTGCCCCAAAGAGAGGTGCCTCCTCACGCTGCCCCACAGGAGCCTGGGACTTGTCTGTCCATTCCCAACAGCAAGGGCCCCTCGCCAGTTTCCTTGCTTCCTCCAAGGCTGCCTCAGCTCCTGGCAGCCAACACCCCCTGGCCAGCCCCAGAGGCACCATTCGCCAGCGGAGCTTGTAGCCAGGGCTGCTGGAGCAAACAGCTGGAGGGACAGAGGCCAGTGTTGCCAGCAGCACCCCTGAGCATCATTCAAGGCACTCCAGGTGTCACAGCACACGGGTTGAAAAACACTGCAGAACTGGGATGGGAAAGTTTTCTAGCACAACAAACTAGTCTGGAGAAGAGCAAAGGCAGCCATGTTTGCTCCTTTGAACTTCTCTGCGGATAGTCCCAGCCTGGCCTCTCATCTTGAGGTCCCAGGGAGAAGTCGGAAGACGAGGAGGAGGAAGGGCTAAGGCAGGGTCCAGAATGAGGATTTTATTTTTTATGTATAATAGCACAGGTCCATTTCTGAGTTGTCATGGAAAAGTCATCTTTCCCCCTGGTCTTTGCAAATGCCACTCTGAACCACTGGCGCCCGCCCTGTGGAACGCCCTCCCACCAGATGTCAAAGAGAACAACAACTACCAGACTTTTAGAAGACATCTGAAGGCAGCCCTGTTTAGGGAAACTTTTAATGTTTGGTGTATTATGGCATTTCAATATTTTTTGGAAGCCGCCCAGAGTGGCTGGGGAGGCCCAGCCAGATGGGCAGGGTATAAATAATAAATTATTATTATTATAATTATTGTTATCACTGAGTCCTTTGCCAGTTCGGATGGGAGGAGATCCTCAGCACACGCACACACACCCCACCACTGAAATCTCATTGCACAGGCTCCACAGCACCCCCAGAATAAGCATGCTCCCCACCAGTAGGTGCTTCCACACACACACATACACACACACACACACACACACTCCTAAATCTACTTCCAACAGATACTTGCGGGGCAGGGATCCTGTACCATCTTGTCAATTCCTGGCCACCACTCCTCCCCTCTCTCACCCAGCTGATCCCTTGCAACCTTGCTGGGGGATGTGGATGAGGTTAACCCTTTCTCTTCCTCCCACGGTCCCAGTACAAATCTTTGAAGCTGTTGTGAGTATTTCAAGGGAAGATCCCTTTGTCCCCCTGGCAGAGAGAAAGACTTCAACTCCCTCCTCCCAAACCTCAGGCTTCCCCTGGGCTGCTTTTTACATAATAAACAACCACCAATTCATGCCATGCCTACTTTGGACCAGAGAATTAAAAATAAAACCTCCCAAGAAGAATCCACAGCTATTTCTCCCCCTCAAGATCCAGGGATCTCCTACCTTGTATTCCTCAAAAGCCTCCTCCAGAGGAATCACCTCGTGGTGTTTGTGCTCCTTGGATCTGTCACACACCACGCAGATGGGGGCTTCATCCTCCGTGCAGAAGAGTTTCAGGGGCTCCTGGTGCTTCTCACAGACTCCTCCTTTCCCTCCTTCCTCCTTTCCCTCTTGAAGGCTGAGATTCTCGATTAATTCTACGAAGTTTGCCAGTTGCCGGTTGGGGATGAGGCTCCTCCTCTGGACTCTTTTTCTGCACTGGGGGCAGGAAGCCTCTGCCTCCGATTCCCCCCAGAACAGGATCAAGCAGGATCGGCAGAAGTTGTGCCCACACTCTGCAATGGTGACTGGATCCTTGAAATAAAAAAATTCCTTCCTGTAGCACCTTAAAGACCAACTAAGTTAGTTCTTGGTATAAGCTTTCGTGTGCATGCACACTTCTTCAGATACACTGAAACAGAAGTTGCCAGATCCTTCTATATATTGAGAAGGTGGGGAGGGGTATTACTTAGAAGGGTGGTGGGAATCGGAGATTGGCAGATAGCTGAGATGAGCCTGTTGACGACTCTTAACGACTGTAATAGGTCTTACAGGAAAAGGCAAGGGGTGAGAAGGTGAGAAATGGCTTAGTCATGTATAATGAGATAAGAATCCGATGTCTCTGTTCAGACCAGGTCTCTCCATTGTTTTAAGTTTGGTAATGAGTTGTAATTCAGCAGCTTCTCTTCCAGTCTATTTCTGAAATTCCTTTGTAGTAAAACAGCTACTTTGAGATCTTGTATAGAATGTCCTGGGAGACTGAAGTGTTCTCCTACTGGTTTCTCTGTTTTGTGATTCTTGATGTCAGATTTATGTCCGTTTATTCTTTGGCGTAAGGTTTGGCCTGTTTGTCCAATATAGAGAGCTGAAGGACACTGTTGGCATTTGATGGCATACACAATGTTAGACGATGAGCAATTAAATAGTCCCGAGATGGTATGTGTGATGTTGTTGGGGCCAGTAATGGTGTTGTCTGGGTGTATGTGGCAGCAAAGTTGGCATCTGGGTTTATTGCAGGCTCTGGTGCCAGTGTCCGTGTTAAGTCTGGTTGTAGTATTATTGTGGGTTAGGAGTTGTTTAAGATTGGGTGGCTGTCTGTAGGCAATGAAAGGTCTTCCTCCCAGAGCTTGAGAAAGAGAACTGTCATTGTCCAGGAGAGGTTGTAGATCTCTGATGATGCGTTGAACTGTTTTAACTTGGGAGCTGTATGTGATGACTAGTGGTGTTCTGTTATTTTCTTTTTTGGGTCTGTCTTGCAGCAAGTTCTCTCTGGGTATCAGTCTGGCTCTGTTGATCTGTTGTCTAACTTCATCTGCTGGGTATTTTAGTTCTGAGAAGGTTTGCTGTAGATCTCTTAGGTGAGAGTCTCTGTCTGTAGAATTGGAACAGATGCGGCTGTAACGTAGTGCCTGGCTATATACAATGGACTGTTTGGTATGTTTGGGATGGTAGCTAGAGGCATGTAGATATGTTTGTCGGTCAGTTGGTTTACGGTATAAGGTGGTGTCTATGCGTCCATCCTGTATTTTTATAGTAGTGTCCAAAAAATGTATTTCTTGCATAGATTGATTCATTGTAAGGTTGATTGTGGGGTAAAAATCATTGAATTTCTGGTGAAAGGTGTCCAGGGTCTGTTGACCATGTGTCCAGATGATAAAAATATCGTCAATGTATCGCAGGTACAAGAGAGGTTTGAGTGGGTAGGAGTTTAGGAAACGTTGTTCTAAATCTGCCATGAAGATGTTGGCATACTGTGGGGCCATGTGGGTGCCCATTGCTGTGCCGCTGATCTGAAGGAACAGGTCATCACCGAATTTGAAGTTGTTGTGGGTAAGGACAAATTGGCAGAGTTTGGTGGCAAGGTCCGCTGTGGTTTTATCTGAAATGGTGTTCCTTATAGCTTGTAAACCATCGTTGTGTGGGATGTTGGTATACAGAGATTCCACGTCCATAGTAGCTAGTATAGTATTGTTGGGAAGATTATTTAAAGATTGTATTTTCCTCAGAAAATCTGTGGTGTCACGTACATAGCTGGGAGCACTGATGGCATATGGTTTCAGAACAGAAAATACTCAACACACACAACAACAAGACAAATCAGAACAAACAACAACTTCACAACACAACACCTCTCAACCCACTGGAGAACAACAACCACCCTCCCAACAGAACACTGACCACCAACTACCACTGAAAAAGTGTTACACAAAAAGGGACTCCACATGGACCCCTCCTGATGGACGCAATACCACACTGGACTTGTACATTGACTGCTTCCGCCACAGAATCCAAACAGATGTAACCAGAAAACACCATCGCTTACAACAAAATCTAAACCATGCTGAAAGGAGAGCCATAGATAATCTCAGAAACAACCCAAACATTATAATTAAAGAAGCAGACAAAGGGGGAGCTGTCGTCATCATGAACAAAACTGACTACATTCAGGAGGCTCACAGACAACTTTCCAATACCGCCTTTTACACAAAATTGGACTCAGACCCCACACAAGAATACAAGAAAGAACTGAACAAGATTGTTAAGGAGCTACCCCACACATCCAAGAACAGATCCTCACCAACACACCAACAGAACCTCGACCAGGAACTTTCTATCTTCTACCTAAAATACACAAACCAGGAAATCCAGGACGCCCCATCATTTCAGGTATTGGCACTATTACAGTGGGTGTCTCCGGTTATATGGACTCTGTTCTGAAACCATATGCCATCAGTGCTCCCAGCTATGTACGTGACACCACAGATTTTCTGAGGAAAATACAATCTTTAAATAATCTTCCCAACAATACTATACTAGCTACTATGGACGTGGAATCTCTGTATACCAACATCCCACACAACGATGGTTTACAAGCTATAAGGAACACCATTTCAGATAAAACCACAGCGGACCTTGCCACCAAACTCTGCCAATTTGTCCTTACCCACAACAACTTCAAATTCGGTGATGACCTGTTCCTTCAGATCAGCGGCACAGCAATGGGCACCCACATGGCCCCACAGTATGCCAACATCTTCATGGCAGATTTAGAACAACGTTTCCTAAACTCCTACCCACTCAAACCTCTCTTGTACCTGCGATACATTGACGATATTTTTATCATCTGGACACATGGTCAACAGACCCTGGACACCTTTCACCAGAAATTCAATGATTTTTACCCCACAATCAACCTTACAATGAATCAATCTATGCAAGAAATACATTTTTTGGACACTACTATAAAAATACAGGATGGACGCATAGACACCACCTTATACCGTAAACCAACTGACCGACAAACATATCTACATGCCTCTAGCTACCATCCCAAACATACCAAACAGTCCATTGTATATAGCCAGGCACTACGTTACAGCCGCATCTGTTCCAATTCTACAGACAGAGACTCTCACCTAAGAGATCTACAGCAAACCTTCTCAGAACTAAAATACCCAGCAGATGAAGTTAGACAACAGATCAACAGAGCCAGACTGATACCCAGAGAGAACTTGCTGCAAGACAGACCCAAAAAAGAAAATAACAGAACACCACTAGTCATCACATACAGCTCCCAAGTTAAAACAGTTCAACGCATCATCAGAGATCTACAACCTCTCCTGGACAATGACAGTTCTCTTTCTCAAGCTCTGGGAGGAAGACCTTTCATTGCCTACAGACAGCCACCCAATCTTAAACAACTCCTAACCCACAATAATACTACAACCAGACTTAACACGGACACTGGCACCAGAGCCTGCAATAAACCCAGATGCCAACTTTGCTGCCACATACACCCAGACAACACCATTACTGGCCCCAACAACATCACACATACCATCTCGGACTATTTAATTGCTCATCGTCTAACATTGTGTATGCCATCAAATGCCAACAGTGTCCTTCAGCTCTCTATATTGGACAAACAGGCCAAACCTTACGCCAAAGAATAAACGGACATAAATCTGACATCAAGAATCACAAAACAGAGAAACCAGTAGGAGAACACTTCAGTCTCCCAGGACATTCTATACAAGATCTCAAAGTAGCTGTTTTACTACAAAGGAATTTCAGAAATAGACTGGAAAGAGAAGCTGCTGAATTACAACTCATTACCAAACTTAAAACAATGGAGAGACCTGGTCTGAACAGAGACATCGGATTCTTATCTCATTATACATGACTAAGCCATTTCTCACCTTCTCACCCCTTGCCTTTTCCTGTAAGACCTATTACAGTCGTTAAGAGTCGTCAACAGGCTCATCTCAGCTATCTGCCAATCTCCGATTCCCACCACCCTTCTAAGTAATACCCTCCCCACCTTCTCAATATATAGAAGGATCTGGCAACTTCTGTTTCAGTGTATCTGAAGAAGTGTGCATGCACACGAAAGCTTATACCAAGAACTAACTTAGTTGGTCTTTAAGGTGCTACAGGAAGGAATTTTTTTATTTCGACTATGGCAGACCAACACGGCTACCCATCTGTAACTGGATCCTTGAAGTAATCCAGGCAGATGGAGCACGTGGCTTCGTCACAAAGATTCTGGATGGGACCCCCTGCAGCAGCCATGGCTCCCTCACCAAAGACCCGAGTTTCGTTTTCAGCCACTGGGAGTTTCACTTCCCGGAAATGACTCAGAAACTCAGTGAGCACGTGATCTTTTTAAAAAGATCTCTGCAGATCCTGAATGTTTTCTCAAGTAGCAGAGAATGCTCCTTGATTGCTTCCCGTGCTTTTGACACATGGAGAGCGGGATCTTCATTGTCCCTCACAGCCAACGGAACAACACTCCCAATTCACCCCCGTTCCTTGCTTCCTCCTGAGGGACTGGAAATGGCTGAAGGCAATTGAACATCTCGCTTAGCAGCAGGCCTGGGATGTTCCCTTGAGCAGGGTGAATGGAATGATGAGCTAAGGATTACAGCACACCTGAGCATGTGCAGAGTGCATTTGCCGCATCACTGAGCAACTTCCCAGCCCCGTTTAATTTGTCTCAACCATTTCTATACAGCTTGATTGCCATTGTCTCTAAGCAGTGCGCAAAGTATTCCATACAATGAAAAAGAGTGGAAAATATAAAATAAGCCTGCAAGCATGATGATGATGTCTTCAGTAGGTTCAACAGGGAGAAGGGCCCGTCTGACCACAATTTGGAAGGGAGTTCCATAAAATTGGGCCCACAATGGAGTGCTTTATATCCCACCTTTACGCCAAGGAGCTCCAGGTTCTCCCCTTCCTCTTATAATCCCCAGAACAACCACCCTGTGAGGTGGGCTAGGCGGAGAGCCCATGACTGGCTCAAGGTCACCAATGAACTTCATGCCCAAGAGGGGATTTGAACCCTGGCCTCCCAGGTCCTGGTCCCACACTCTAACCACTACAGTACACTACACTGTCTCTCAGCAAAATCGGGAGTGGTAGTGGGCGTCCATCTTTAAATGGTGTTCTCTGGGACAGCAGAACCTAAGTGGGGGATGTTTGGCTCAACTTTACCAGACACAGATGTTGTTGCGCAAGATCTCCTCGCAAAAAAAGAGAAAGTTTTAAAGCTACTTTTTTAGGAAATTTGCCAAAAAAAACCCACAACACTGCTGATTCGAGCCGCCATATGTCCTGATTTTTCTGGACATTTTAACCGATTTTTGAAAATTCTGCCAGGACACTATTTTCAAGAGACAAATCCTGGGAAATTTTGTATGTATGGCAGCCCAATGATATAGACGTGCTCACAGCGGAGGGGGTAAGATGGGTTTGAGATCCACCCCTTGTTTAGATAGGTACAAGGACACCGTGGAAAATGAGTGCCAGAAATGTTCATTTAAGTCGGGGTGGCTGATGTGGCAGCCTGAGGGTGCTGATATACCCACTGGGACCTCCTGTGGTGCCTGCAAAAGAAGACCTTCCGCTGGAGCCAGAACCTCACCAGGCACTGGAGCATCCACACCAGGGAGAAGCCGTACAAGTGCTCCGACTACAGGAGCAGCTTCAACCGGAGCCAGAACCTCATCACACATCAGAGAATCCACACGGGAGAGAAGCCGTACAAGTGCTTGGACTGCGGGAGCACCTTCAACCGGAGCCAGAGCCTGATCACGCACCAGAAGACGCACGCGGGAGAGAAGCTGTACATCTGCTCAGACTGCGGGAAGACCTTCAACCGGAGCCAGAGCCTCATTGCTCATCAGAGACTCCACACGGGGGAGAAACTCTACATGCTCCGGATGAAAGGAGAGCTCGCGGGGGAAATGCAGTGTGGATTCGCACACTGCAGACATAGTAGGGTTGCCATATTCCAAAAAGCGAAAATCCAGACACAGATGTTGAGCAAGATCTCCCTGCAAAAAAGAGAATGTTTTTTAGGAAATTTCCTCACCCCCCAAAAAAAATTTTTGTTCATCATCTAACCTGATGAAGTGTTCTGTAGGCCTTGAAAGCTGGGAAGCTGCTTTCTGACATTTTATTTTCTCTAATAAAGGCATTGGTGTAATATGAGCTTTGTAGAGCATATGAAAAATCCTTTAAAATGTGTTACATAAATATTAAGTTACAGATGGGTAGCCGTGATCTGGTAACTTCTGTTTCAGTGTATCTGAAGAAGTGTGCATGCACACGAAAGCTTATACCAAGAACTAACTTAGTTGGTCTTTAAGGTGCTACAGGAAGGAATTTTTTTATTATAAATATTAAGCATTGTTAAGCACGCCTCATTTCCTCATAAAGGGTGGGATTAGGGGTTGCACAATAGTTTACACCCCAATCCTGTATATGTCTACTCAGAAGTCGTCTTCTTTGGTGATCCCTCATAGCCAAGTAACATTGTCTTCCAAAACAGGGTTTTAGCAGTGAGTCCATAAGTGAATGGAGGCCAATTCTGGATCCACACATCCTTCCACAGTGGGGACAAAGGTCCCTGGGTGGGGGTTGATCGTGGTGAGGGTTTGCCAAATGTGCCTTCCTCTTAGCACGTTTCTCCCTTTCGTCCTGAGTTTGAGTGTCTTCAAAGCCCATGACACCTTTGGTAAAGGCTGTTCTTCAATTGGAGCACTCGCAGGCCAGGGTTTCCCAGTTGTCGGTGTTCATGCTACATTTTTTTAGCAGTAAACCCCAATTCAATAGGGTTTACTCCTACATGAGTGAGTAAAGGATTTCAGGCGTAGTTTCCGTTGGGAGAAGAGCACAGGAGATGGGTTTGCTCCTATTTATTTAGCAGTATATTGGACAACACAACTGCTGATCCTGCTTTGGATTCTGAAATTTTAGCTAGGTAACATCTCTATCCAAATTAAATCAGAATGGGCTGCTTTCTGCACATGTCCCTCTCTGTCTTCCATCCAACATGCAAGAGGCATATAGGATGGGAGACACCTGGCTTACCAGTAGTACATGTGAAAAGGATCTAGGGGTCTTGGTGGACCACAAGCTGAACATGAGTCAACAGTGTGATGCAAGGCTGCATCAACAGGAGTATAGTGTCCAGATCAAGGGAAGTCATAGTCCCACTCTATTCTGCCTTAGTCCGACCACATTTGGAATACTGTGTCCAATTCTGGACACCACAATTTACGAAGGACGTTGACAAGCTGGAACGTGTGCAGAGGAGGGCAACCAAGATGATCAAGGGTCTGGACACCCAGCCTTATGAGGAGTGTTTGAAGGAGCTGGGTATGTTTAGCCAGGAACAGAGGAGACTGATGGGAGATATGACAGCCATCTTCAAATACTTGAAGCGCTGTCACATGGAAGATGGAACAAGCTTTATTGCCGCTCTGGAGGGTAGAAGAAGAAGAAGAAGAAGAGTTTGGATTTGATATCCTGCCTTTCACTCCCTTTAAGGAGTCTCAAAGCGGCTAACAATCTCCTTTCCCTTCCTCCCCCACAACAAACACTCTGTGAGGTGAGTGGGGCTGAGAGACTTCAGAGAAGTGTGACTGGCCCAAGGTCACCCAGCAGCTGCATGTGGAGGAGCGGAGACGCGAACCCGGTTCCCCAGATTACGAGACTACCGCTCTTAACCACTACACCACACTGGCTCTCACACTGGGTAGGACACAAAACAATGGCTTTAAGTTACATAAAAGGAGATTCTGACGAAACATCAGGAAGAACCTTTCTGACAGCAGGAGCCCTTCAACAGCGCAACAGGCTCCCTTGGGAGGTTTTGCACTCTCCTTCCTTGGAAGTTTGTAATCAGAGGTTGGATGGCCATCTGTCATGGATGCTTTAGTTGAGATCCCTGCATTGCAGCGGGTTGGACTAGATGACCCTTGGGGTCCCTTCCAATTTTACAGTTCTAAGATTTTATGAAATGTCCTTACAACATAATGCAATTTAGTCCCATATGATTAAGCAATTATAAATAAATGAGTGTCCACTCCCACCCTGAGAATAATGCACTCAGATAAACTGCTATGTGCAGATCTTTTGGGTAAGATACTTTGGTCATAACAACAGGCTACACCCAGCTAAAACCTACTTAGGGCAGACCCTTTGAAATTAATGTTGGGATTTTTAATTCATTTCAGTGAGTCCACTCTGAGTAGGACTAGCATCTGAGGCAACTGTGTGGGGGGGGGGGGAGGAAGATATGTAAGTTTACATAGCAGGAGGGCTGAGAGCAAATGTCAAAAAGTATGGGACAGCTGCATATTCCTGCAATGCAGAGGGTTGGACTAGATCAGGCATGTCCAAAGTCCGTTTCAGGGGCCTAATCCGGCCTGCCGGTCGGTTTAATCCAGCCCCTGTGGCAGTTTATTAAAATCCACCCCCCAAAAAACCCTCCACAACTTCAATCCTAAAAAAAGGTCAACAACTTTTCAGCCCTTTGGGCGGCCCTCACGACCCTTCACTTCATCAAATCTGGCCCTCTTTGAAAAAGACCCCTGGACTAGATGATCCTCAACTCTACAATACTATATTTCTAGGGCAGGCATGGCCAAGATGTCGTGATCGATTTGGAGATCGTGGGGCTGATATTGGTTGATCGCAGGCTTGTCCTTCTTCTGAAGCTGACTTGCCTTCTGGGAGTTACAGCTCTGGTGGCGGCGTGAGGGGGACGTGGTGGAGGGGGGAAGGCAGGAAACAAAAAGGAACACACACACACACACCCCGAAAAAACAGTGAGAACGGCAAAGAAGAAAACACATGGGGGAAAGCCCCCTTAGCGCGTCATGAGTTTGAGGGAAAGGCTTTAAAGCAACAGCAGGGGAAAGACGGAGAAGCCCAGTGGAGGCTGCCTCACCCCGTGAGCAGCACAGCTTTGAGCAGAGCCACACAGACACACACACACACAGAGCACCCGAGCGAGGGCGGGACATGGACGGGCAGGGAGAGCAGCTGGCATTTTGTCACCCCTCTCAGTGATGACACCCAGGGCGGGCTGCACGGGTGGGCAAACAAACTGCCCACCCCCTGCTCTGGTCCCCATGATGGAGGCAGGGAGGCAGGGGCACATTCGCTCCACATTGCAGATTCTCATAGCACTAGAATCCGTGGCCCTCCAAGAAGCTGAGTGTTGGGAGATCCAGGACAGATAAAAGCAGATAATTGAACTATGGAACTCTCTGCCACTGGAGGCAGAGATGGCAACCAATGCAGGAATCTTTTGCCCAACATGTCGCTCAAGCTGGTGACCCTTGGATTAAGAGTCCAGCACTATCCAGAGGACACCCCATTTGATGCCCCCGATATACAGTACAGCTTCTAAATAAGGAACGTCAATGCATCAACCTTAAACACATTTATAACAGGGCAGAAGCCCCACTCAATGCAATGGGGTTTATTTCTGAGCAAGTGTAAAGAAGGTGAGGCTGTATTTGCAGACAACATTTGAAGCTGACGCCTTGTTCAATTTCTTTTACATTTTCTTCCCGTCTGAGGTCTCCAGAGCGAGCAGCTATCCTGCGTGACCTGGGTCAAGGGGTTCATTTTTAGTCCTCTATCAATCCAATGATGCATGAATTTTAACAGCTGCATGAGGTCTTGTGGGGAGAGGAAGGATTCCTAGAATTACGGAGTTGCGAGGGATCCTGAGGGTCATCTATTCCCACCCCCTGCAGTGCAGGAAACATTTGCCCAACGTGGGGCTCAGACCCACAACCCTGGGATCAAGAGTATCATCCTCTGCCAAGTCAGACATTTGAAAAGGAAAAGAAGATTGAAGGTGAGAAAATTTATTAGGACTCCTAAAAGTGTGACTGTCTCTCTCTTCTGGGAAAAGGAAGGAAAATGCAAAGCAAGAGCAACCCATTTTTATTCTGTTATTTCTGCTGATTTTGACTGGAATGAATCCTCTCAAAGGGCCCTTGGAAAACTGCCCAACCTGCTCTTGGCGGGTAAATGGTTTTTATGTCAGTCACTCTGGTCTGGAGAGAAACTCCTGCTGGGCCTGAGAGGCAGATTTAGTCCTCTCAGGAGATACTGAGCTGGGTTTTATAATTTCCCTCCAGATCAAAGAAAGGGAGGAGGGTCTCTCCAGAGAACGAGGCTCCTGAGAACGTGTAGAGTTCGGCTCCTGAGTCAGCGTCAGAAAAAGACACACGTCCCCCTTCATAGTCCAGAGTCACCCGGATCCTCCTGGGCTTCTCCCTCAGGGACAGAGGAGTCTCATCTGGGGAGGTGCAGGCAAAGTACTCTCCCCACTTCCCAACAGCCCAGATCCCTGTCTCAGGGCTTAAGGGGAAGCAGCCCTTTCTCTCCACAGACTTCCTGGCGACCCCCACATCCCAATATTCCCCACTTCCCACAGTGACTTCCCAGAAATGTCTGCCTGCTGTGAATCCCTCACGTCCCAACACACAAGGCTGGTCACCGAATCTCTCAGGATTATCAGGCAGGGCTTGAGGTTTGTCTCCCCTACTCAGGCTTTTCCTATCCTCGGACAGGATGAGTTCAGGATGGGCTGTGTCTGGATCCAGAGTGACATTTGCTGTTGGGGAGAAGATGAGGGAAAGAGAAGATTAGGCAGAGTCAGCTGAGAGACAGAAACGGACATCCTGATAATAATAATAACAACCCGGAAAAACCCAGATTCCCTTTCAGATGAATGGGATTTCTTTGGATCACATGCAAGAGTGAGACTCCTTGCAGACTTTCAACATAATAAATATCTTCCTTGTTTGATTTTAAATCAGTTCCCTTCACTTTCTTATATCCGATGTGTATTATTCCTGCCCTCCTCTCATCCCAGGCATTTTCTAAGAGGAAAAACCACCCAGGAAACCTTTTACTCATCTCTTCTGTGTTATCTAAGGGGAAAGAGAGGAGAATTGGAGGAGGCAGGAGAGGAGAGAAGCTGATTTCCTCTGACAATCTCTGTGGGAATTGCCCTTTGGGGACCTCTGGGTTGGGTTGGAGGAGGAGGACCCCCCGTTATAATAATAATAATAATAATAATAATCACATCTCCCTACTGCCCTTCATCCATAGGTCAGGGTGGTTCACAGCATAAAACTACAACATAAAAACACATATAGGCCTCCCCTCGTGGGGAGTCACGTTCTGGGCCCTCGTGCCCACAAGTGGAAATCGTGTTAAGTGGAGAGCCTGTTTATTCCTTGCCTTCCTGCCATATTGTAAGTTTAGGCCTTGCCACCAGGTGGCAGGGCAATTTTACAAAGCACTGCTTATTCCATGCTTCTCTTTTGGATTTAATATAAACCATAAGACGTGTTCCCTGAGGGAAGGGGGAATAACTCAAAAGTTAGGGGCTAAGACAGTTGTGATAGGCAAGTGTAGGGTTATTTTGAAGAGCACAAAAGAGGACACATTTGCCAACTTCTTCTTTTAACCATGGATCACTGACAACTCTCATTTGAAATACTCTATGTAGGCTTTCAAAGCTGTGATGCATTGCTAGTAGCAATCTTCTTAATTTTCAACAACAAAATAACAATAATACATATTGCTCCCTTGCTTGCCACATGACAGTATTTGGGCTCGTGTTTACATCTTTGTGCACAGAACAATTTATTAAACTGTTAAACATGCACATATGGACTCTCCTTAAGGGCAGGGGGATGTTAACTCTTGCCCTCCCGGACTCCTTTGTCAAGATCTTGTAGCTGAGCCAGCTTCCTTTTAGTTCAGCCACAAGAGAAGGGTTTTATGCAGGATGTCGCTAGCTGCAGATGCTGCTCTGTTGGGATTCTCTGCTGCAGATTAGTTTAGCCAGGTGCCTCAGATCTGAGTCTAATGCTCTGTGCTTTTCCCCACAATCAAACAGTATATAAATTTTATGAAATAAAGCAAAATCTATAAAATTGAGGGGGAAACCAGGATAATAGTCTCTCTGGAAAAATAAATTCTGTGACCTGCGTGAAACACTTGAGAATATAGAAAGCATGACAAAAGACAGCACAGTTAGTTCTGAAAATGAAATCCTTAAAGTGTGGAATTATTTGCCAAATAATTTTAAATCAATGAAAGTACTTGGGATTGCTTTCCTTACTTTGTTTGGATCATCTTATGCTTGTGAGCAGCTGTTTTCAGCTTTGAATTACATAAAATCTGACACCAGAAACAGACTAACAGATGACTTGAGTGCTGCATCTGTTGCTCTCAAACTTCCAAAGTAGGAGCCAAGGTTAGATAAATTATCAACATGCATACAGCAGCAAAAATCACATTAATTGTTCAAAAGCTTGCCAAATACAAACTTTTACCTTTCAATAAAAGTCGTTTCTTTTCTGAAGCTCTGTTATTGTGAATTTCTTTTAAGATCAAAGCTGTTAATGTATGAGTTGTTTTAGCGATAAATAAGTGGGTTTTGGGTTTGGGCACTCGGTCCCTAAAAGGTTTGCCACCACTGGTCTATAGGCAGAAATGGAACTCAGACTGGTGTGCAGGTTCTTCGCAGGGCCAAGCTCTGCCCCCAGTCCAAGCCTTCAAACCCTCTCCCAGTTCATTCATGGGACATGGAAAGAACCCAAACGCCAGTAGAGGACTGTTACGCAGAGTGACGCCATTGAAGGGTGTCCCAAAGTCTGCAGAACAGATGGTTCAACACCCATGAAATATCAGTCCCCATCCCTCCTGTCAAATTGTTCCTCTCCTGGAAATTTACCTTTCTGAATCTGTTCACTGAATAGCAGAGCATCTGAGGAAGCAGAAAGATATAAAGTGTAAGGGCAACACTCTTCCACCAGAAATAAATCTCCGTACAAAAGTAACACTTCATAATGTAGCATCCTTAAATTCTAGTATTATTATTAAATAGTAGACAAATAATTAAAAACAAGAAAATCATAGGAAGAATCTATGAAAATAACTAAAGCTTTAAAACACAGCAATCATAAAGCAAGCTTACAAATAAGAGAATAAAAATATTCAGCATGAATCCTGCTGGTCTCTGAACTTTGTCCCTAAATTGGGCTCTACATTGGAGGACTGGAGGGGAGGCAGAGGAATAGGAATTCCGAAAAGGAGGCAGAGGGGAGATGGAGGCAGCCTTCACATCTTCCCCAAGTAAAGTGGTGGGGGGAATCAATAAAGCCAAAATTGTGAAACATAAGGAGAAGCGAAGTTTGATGAGGAAGGATTGGCAGAGCTCTCAGGCAAAAGGAAGTCCTCCCTCACAAACCTTCTACAAATCTTTAAGGTTGTTAACAAGCATAATTGTGCCCTTTGGGGCTCATGTGCTCTTGCTTCCACTCTCAATGGGGGAACTCTCAGGAGATCTTGAAGGCCGAAGCCCTAGATATGGCAACTGCAGGGGGACGTCTGAGGGGGAGACAGCTCAGGCCTTGGCTCCACGGCTGAGAAAGAAGCCTGAGCAGGAGGCAGAGGGGGAACTGGGGGCTTCTTAATGCCCCTTGACTCCATTCAGAGCAGGAGAACCTCCAAAAGGACAAACCCAGACTGTGCAGACAGGGAACCACAAGGAAAAGGAGGTTTCGTATAACTGTAAACAGATGCACACAGGAGGAAAAAATCCTGACTTTGATCTACACTCTGGTTCAGGCTTTCTTTACAGGATCCAGCGTCACAATATACATGGGCCATTCTGGGGGACAGGAAATGAAGGCTGGAGCACCAAGAAGGAAGGTATCCTGGGGTTACTCAATTCCATGCAATAAGAGCCTGGCATGTTCAGTTCTGAAGAAGTAATAGAATTCCCAGTGTGAAATCCTGGCAACCATTATTCATTACCTTTCCATTGTTTCATTGTATTCTCCACAAGGTGATTTAGTTCACAGGATTCCAAGATCCTGTTCCTCAGCTCTGGAGGGAAACCCAGTGGCTTCTCTGGACTCTCTCTTTCCTCATACCTGGTGAAAAGAAAAACAGTGAATGGCCCCATTGTGGCCCCATCTCCCTGATTATTGCAGGAGATCTCAATAACATGAAGAAAGTTGAAGTTTATTTCCCAACAGGTTTATTTCTACCACAGATGAGACCTCAGTCCAAAACCCCTGAGGACAGCTGTCAGTGGCTTCGTAAGGATGCTAGACAGCACAAGGGACAAGATGTAACCCCAAGCGACACCACCGGAGGACTCCCATGGCTTCAAACAATGTTGCCCCCTAACAACTTTCTGGGAAGGTGCCAGGACTTAACAACCAAACGCCTGAGGTGGAATGCCTGCAACCCCTCCCTCCCTGAGCTTCTCCTGAAGATGTGTGTGATGTCCCAAGCTGCCCAGCGGTCAAAGAGAACAACCTCCACCCTCCCTTCACCCCCTCTCCCACCCAGGAAGGGCACAACTCCATGCCCAATTGGACTCTCTCTCTAGAGGCAGGAAACAACTAGACTTTCACCCCCCACTCAAGACCACCTTCAGGCTCTCATAGTGGAAACGCTCCCAAGAAAAAGAACCCACCCATTCTAGACCAACAGACCTTCCTTCTCTCTGTGCCTGAGTTACCAGAGTTGAGGGGCTTCTAGTTGCATATGGAAATCTATTGGTACATCATAAACTCTTCCCAAGTATCTTTGGCACTTTCTCTTCTAGATGTTTGAAATTACCAAAAAGTCCATGAACATAAAGTGCAAGAGAAAGAAAAGAGCCCCCATCCCTTTGTGAAGTGATGTGGGGAGGGAGAACCTTGGAGGGAGAATTGGGGGGCTACAAGTTCAGAAGAGGGGGCTCTACTTTTACCTGTGAGGTGCTGCAGGGAGTGAGTCCTCCAGTCTCCCCCCTGCAGCCCCTGGAGGGCCATGTCTGAGGTTCTTGCATCTCAACTTCAACGAGTGATGCTAATGGAAATGAGCCAGATCCACTTACCTCTGCAAGGTCCTTCTCACATCCTAGAGGGGAAAAGAGAAGAGAATTCACTGCACACCACAGGCCACACTAGGAAGACCCCCTCAGACCCGGGCCCTTGGATGTCAGTCTGCCTGGCACATGGCAAGGTTGTGGGTAGGAATGGCTGAATCAGCCAGTTTTGGTTTCTCACAGCTTTTATTTTTCCAATCTGAAATTATTAATTGTTCCAGTATCAAGTTCTTCACATTTCCACATCAGTTTGCAATTATTCTTTTTAATCCTTATGAACATCCAGCAGCAGTTAAGGGAATCACACATTTATGGATTCAGTGGAAGATTCCACTCCATGTCTTGTTTTAGATTATAATTTATTAACTTTAATCCAGTTTGCATTGTGCAATTCAGACGTAAGTAAGCCTACAGGATAATTCTACCAGGGCACTGTCCCAGTCTCCAAATTTCAAATGCAGTGGTGCCTCGCAAGACGAAAAGAATCCGTTCCGCGATTCTCTTCTTGCGAAGCAAGCCCATTGACAGCTTAGCGGATTAGCGCTACAGCTGTCTAGCGGCTTTCAGCGATCAGCTGTTAAGCGGCTTATCAGCGGAACAGCTGATAAGCGGCTTAGCGGCTTAGGAAAAGGGCGAAAAAAGCGAAAAAACCCCGCAGGGACTCGTAAGATTTTTTCGTCTTGCGAAGCAACCCCATAGGGAAATTCGTTTTGCGAAGCACCTCCAAAACGGAAAACCCTTTCATCTAGCGGGTTTTCCGTCTTGCGAGGCGTTCGTCTTGCGGGGCACCACTGTGCTATTTTCCACCTGGAAATTAAAAAATCACCTGCAGCCTAAAATGCCTCCAAAGGGGTAATAAAATAGGTCAGTGTTTCTTTGGACTCATCCACACTTCTGCTTTTCCTGTGCCCAGAAAACATGACTCCAAGTGGTTTTGTCTTTGCCCTGCCGCTTTCCCTCCGGAAAAATCTGCTCCTTGGTGCAACATCAAAGCTAACGTCAATCCGGAGAAAACCTGGCTGACGTTTGCTCTAATTCAGCAGTAAACAGCCGGTTTTCCTGGAGGAAAGGGGTGGGACAAGCAGCAGTCTGGATGAGTCCCTCTGTCCTGCTCTTTGGTCACTGTGACTGCGCAACATTCTGGGTCGATCTGTATCCATGGGGAAGGGGATCAACCCAGAAGTTGTGGAGGGAACGGGAAGAGAAGCTTGGTCAAGAGACCGGCTCATGTCGGAAGGAGGCCTGAACGCATCCTAGACGAAGCCCCCACAGCTGAAAGGCGTTCGGAGACAAAGCATCAGCAAAGAGCAGAAGATCAGCTCCCGTTCCATCAAGAACACAGACGAATCTCTAGTCTGCATTCAGGTGAGTTAAGCATCCCAGGTCTCTTGGGTCTTCCTGTCCATTATAAACCTGACTAGAGGCTCCATCATCTGAGCCCCTGCACTCCTTGCATACATGAAAGGGGCAGCCTTTTCCTGGAGCCTTGGGCTGTTCCTGCCACCATCTTACCTGCAGGAGTTCACTCGCTGGCTGCTGACCCTTTTCTTCCATCTCCTGAATGATCCTCTCAAGAGAGGAGAGTTTCCTGGAGAGTCTGGCCAGCTGCTCCTCCCTTCTCCCTGCAATCTCCTTCTCCACCTTTTCCACATGAGTCAACAGATGTTTCTCTTGTTCCTCCAGGAACCAGCGCAGTTCTCTGAACTTCTCCACAGCCTTCAGACTCTCCGTTTCTGTTAATTTCTGCAAGAAAAGAGGAGGTCTGAGTGTGGAAGGTGATCAGCCTTCAAATCACCAGGAAGAGAATTGTGAGAATTCCACAGGGAGGACACTTCTGATTTTTCATAGACATGAAACCTCCAGTGGCTAAAGAAGTAAACCTTTATTTTGAGGGGAGGCCCTCTCCATTGCTGTTTCTGTTGACTTCTATTTTGCAGAGGGCTACAGCCTAAAGGAAGGAGCATTTGTTCTAGCCATGGATGTTCCCTGCATGTTTTGGGGCATGGCATAACCAGAGTTCAGAGTTGTTCAGAGATCACCCAGGGACATAAAACACCCCTCAGCTTAGGCTGGTGTCATTTAGGTGTAGGAAAACTGCAGAAACAGCAGGAGGACGACAGTGCAGAGTTCATCCCCATAGCTCCCCTGTTTTCTTTAAAGGTTCAAAATGGCTTGAGTTTCCTAGAAATGAACATGAGCGCACATTTAGAAAGACAACTCTTTAGTAATATTTATGGTAAATCAGGATTTGAATTGAACCACTTCCACCCTCTCAGCTCACAAGTCCTCAGGCTTCTCCTTCACTGCTATTCATATAATAAATGACAATGGGAAATAAACTCAATTTAGCTGCATTGAAACGTGATGGAGACTGAAACAGAGCAATCTTTTGAAATTTACACCTCTGAATCTTTCAAGGTTGACCCAGCCAGGTAATGTTCACAAAAAATGTATTTATGAGGGTAAAGTACATATCAAAATATTTGTAAAAGAAGGTAGCCACCTTAGCATTTTATTCATTTTCATCATCATCATAAATAAACAAACAAACTGATATGGAAAAGGAGAATGGGGGGAAGTTGAAATGGACAGATTTCCCCATCCTTCCACAGTCCTGACTCAATTCTTCCAGTGCTTGTTCCCTCACTAGTAACAAGGGAGACACTTACAAGGAGGTCTTTGCTTTCCTTGTCCAGGGCTGCTAGATAGGCCAGAATTTCCCCTCTCTCTTTCCTCAGAATCTCCAAGTGGTGACAGATCTCTCCCTGAAAAGAAAAAGGGAAACTTAGGTTTTATTGAGACACAGAGAGAGGAGATGAATATTATACAGGCTTCTTGGGTCCAGTGGCCTTGCTATAATAGCAAAGTACAGTGGTATCTCGGGTTAAGAACTTAATTTGTTCTGGAGGTCCGTTCTTAACCTGAAACACCACTTTGGCTAATGGGGCCTCCCGCTGCTGCCGCCACGCGATTTCTGTTCTCATCCTGAGGTAAAGTACCAGAGTACTTTACTAGAGGAAATAAAAGTACAACCTTTTTGGGTCTAAGGCTCCCTGGACCAACTTCCTTCTTTCTTCGGTGTCCCTGTGGGGCTCAGGATCCCAGTTAGATCCCCTCTTGCTTGCAGATCTTGCAGCCCTTTCTCGAACACCCTCCCTTGTGGAGGGCTCTCTCAGCCTCCTCTCCCCTCTCCTTAGGAGTCCTCCTCTGGGTCTCTGAGCTGCCCCAAAGAGAGGTGCCTCCTCACGCTGCCCCACAGGGACTTGTCTGTCCCTTCCCACCAGCAAGGGCCCCTCGCCAGTTTCCTTGCTTCCTCCGAGGCCGCCTCAGCTCCTGGCAGCCCACACCCCCTGGCCAGCCCCAGAAGCACCATTCGCCAGCGGAGCTTGTAGCCAGGGCTGCTGCAACAAAGAGCTGCGCAAGCCTTTGGGAGGCAGCTATGGCATCTGAGGAGGGAGGGAAGGAAAGAGGGACAGAGGCCAGTGTTGCCAGCAGCACCCCTGAGCATCATTCATGGTACTCCAGGTGCCACAGCACACGGGTTGAGAAGCACAGCAGAACTGGGATGGGAAAGTTATCTAGTCTGGAGAAGAGGAAAGGCATCCATGCTCGCTCCTTTGTCTTCTCTGAAGAGACTTCCAGCCTGACTTCTCATCTTGAGGTCCCAGGGAGACGTGGGAAGAGGAGGAGGAGGGGCTAAAGTAGGATCCAGAATGAGGATTTTATTTTTTATGTATAATAGCACAGGTCCAATTCTGAGTTGTCATGGAAAAGTCATCTTTCCCCCTGGTCTTTGCAAATGCCACTCTGAACCACTGGCGCCCGCCCTGTGGAACGCCCTCCCACCAGATGTCAAAGAGAACAACAACTACCAGACTTTTAGAAGACATCTGAAGGCAGCCCTCTTTGGGGAAACTTTTAATGTTTGATGTATTATGGTATTTTAATATTGTTTTGGGAAGCCGCCCAGAGTGGCTGGGGAGGCCCAGCCAAATGGGCGGGGTATAAATAATAAATTATTATTATTATAATTATTGTTATCACTGAGTCCTTTGCCATTTGGGATGGGAGGAGATCCTCAGCACACGCACACACACCCCACCACTGAAATCTCATTGCACAGGCTCCACAGCACCCCCAGAATAAGCATGCTCCCCACCAGTAGGCGCTTCCACACACACACACACACACACACACACACAAACACACACACTCCTAAATCTGCTTCCAACAGATACTTGCGGGGCAGGGATCCTGTACCATCTTGTCAATTCCTGGCCACCACTCCTCCCCTCTCTCACCCAGCTGATCCCTTGCAACCTTGCTGGGGGATGTGGATGAGGTTAACCCTTTCTCTCCCTCCCACGGTCCCAGTACAAATCTTTGAAGCTGTTGTGAGTATTTCAAGGGAAGATCCCTTTGTCCCCCTGGCAGAGAGAAAGACTTCAACTCCCTCCTCCCAAACCTCAGGCTTCCCCTGGGCTGCTTTTTACATAATAAACAACCACCAGTTCATGCCATGCCTACTTTGGACCTGAGAATTAAAAAGATAACCTCCCAAGAAGAATCCACAGCTATTTCTCCCCCTCCAGATCCAGGGATCTCCTACCTTGTATTCCTCAAAAGCCTCCTCCAGAGGAATCACCTCGTGGTGTTTGTGGTCCTTGGATCTGTCACACACCACGCAGATGGGGGCTTCATCCTCCGTGCAGAAGAGCTTCAGGGGCTCCTGGTGCTTCTCGCAGACTCCTCCTTTCCCTCCTTCCTCCTTTCCCTCTTGAAGGCTGAGATTCTCGATTAATTCTACGAAGTTTGCCAGTTGCCGGTTGGGGATGAGGCTCCTTCTCTGGACTGTTTTTCTGCACTGAGGGCAGGAAGCCTCTGCCTCCGATTCCCCCCAGAACAGGATCAGGCAGGATCGGCAGAAGTTGTGCCCACACTCTGCAATGGTGACTGGATCCTTGAAGTAATCCAGGCAGATGGAGCACGTGGCTTCGTCACAGAGATTCTGGATGGGACCCCCTGCAGCAGCCATGGCTCCCTCACCAAAGACCCGAGTTTCGTTTTCAGCCACTGGGAGTTTCACTTCCCGGAAATGACTCAGAAACTCAGTGAGCTCGTGATCTTTTTTAAAAGATCTCTGCAGATCCTGAATGTTTTCTCAAGTAGCAGAGAATGCTCCTTGATTGCTTCCCGTGCTTTTGACACAGGGAGAGCGGGATCTTCATTGTCCCTCACAGCCAGCGGAACAACACTCCCAATTCACCCCCGTTCCTTGCTTCCTCCTGAGGGACTGGAAATGGCTGAAGGCAATTGAACATCTCGCTTAGCAGCAGGCCTGGGATGTTCCCTTGAGCAGCGTGAACGTAATGGTGAGCTAACGATCAGAGCACACCTGAGCATGTGCAGAGTGCATGTGCTGCATCACTGAGCAACTTCCCAGCCCCGTTTAATTTGTCTCAGCCATTTCTATACAGCTTGATTGCCACTGTCTCTAAGCAGTGTGCAAAGTACAATGAAAAAGAGTGGAAAATATAAAATAAGCCTGCAAGCATGATGATGATGTCTTCAGTAGGTTCAACAGGGAGAAGGGCCCGTCTGACCACAATCTGGAAGGGAGTTCCATAAAATTGGGCCCACAATGGAGTGCTTTATATCCCACCTTTACGCCAAGGAGCTCCAGGTTCTCCCCTTCCTCTTATAATCCCCAGAACAACCACCCTGTGAGGTCGGCTAGGCAGAGCCCGTGACTGGCTCAAGGTCACCAGTGAGCTTCATGCCCAAGAGGGGATTTGAACCCTGGCCTCCCGGGTCCTGGTCCCACACTCTAACCACTACAATACACTGTCTCTCAGCAAAATCGGGAGTGGGCGTCCATCTTTAAATGGTGTTCTCTGGGACAGGAGAACCTAAGTGGGGGATGTTTGGCTCAACTCTACCAGACACAGATGTTGTTGCGCAAGATCTCCTCGCAAAAAAAGAGAATGTTTTAAAGCTACTTTTTTTAGGAAATTTGCCAAAAAAACCCACAACACTGCTGATTCGAGCCGCCATATGTCCTGATTTTTCTGGACATTTTAACCGATTTTTGAAAATTCTGCCAGGACGCTATTTTCAAGAGACAAATCCTGGGAAATTTCGTATGTATGACAGCCCAATAATATAGGCGTGCTCACAGCGGAGGGGGAAAGATGGGTTTGAGATCCACCCCTTGTTTAGAAAGGTACAAGGACACCGTGGAAAATGAGTGCCAGAAATGTTCATTTAAGTCGGGATTGCTGATGTGTCAGCCTGAGGGTGCTGATATACCCACTAGGACCTCCTGTGGTGCCTGCAAAAGAAGACCTTCCGCTGGAGCCAGAACCTCACCAGGCACTGGAGCATCCACACCGGGGAGAAGCCGTACAAGTGCTCCGACTACAGGAGCAGCTTCAACCGGAGCCAGAACCTCATCACACATCGGAGAATCCACACGGGAGAGAAGCCGTACAAGTGCTTGGACTGCGGGAGCACCTTCAACCAGAGCCAGAGCCTGATCACGCACCAGAAGACGCACGCGGGAGAAGCTGTACATCTGCTCAGACTGCGGGAAGACCTTCAACCGGAGCCAGAGCCTCATTGCTCATCAGAGACTCCACACGGGGGAGAAACTCTACATGCTCCGGATGAAAGGAGAGCTCGCGGGGGAAATGCAGTGTGGATTCGCACACTGCAGACATAGTAGGGTTGCCATATTCCAAATAGCAAAAATCCAGACACAGATGTTGAGCAAGATCTCCCTGCAAAAAAGAGAATGTTTTTTAGGAAATTTCCTCACCCCCCCAAAAAAAATTTTGTTCATCATCTAACCTGATGAAGTGTTCTGTAGGCCTTGAAAGCTGGGAAGCTGCTTTCTGACATTTTATTTTCTCTAATAAAGGCATTGGTGTAATATGAGCTTTGTAGAGCATATGAAAAATCCTTTAAAATGTGTTACATAAATATTAAGTTACAGATGGGTAGCCGTGATCTGGTAACTTCTGTTTCAGTGTATCTGAAGAAGTGTGCATGCACACGAAAGCTTATACCAAGAACTAACTTAGTTGGTCTTTAAGGTGCTACAGGAAGGAATTTTTTATTATAAATATTAAGCATTGTTAAGCACGCCTCATTTCCTCATAAAGGGTGGGATTAGGGGTTGCACAATAGTTTACACCCCAATCCTGTATATGTCTACTCAGAAGTCGTCTTCTTTGGTGATCCCTCATAGCCAAGTAACATTGTCTTCCAAAACAGGGTTTTAGCAGTGAGTCCATAAGTGAATGGAGGCCAATTCTGGATCCACACATCCTTCCACAGTGGGGACAAAGGTCCCTGGGTGGGGGTTGATCGTGGTGAGGGTTTGCCAAATGTGCCTTCCTCTTAGCACGTTTCTCCCTTTCGTCCTGAGTTTGAGTGTCTTCAAAGCCCATGACACCTTTGGTAAAGGCTGTTCTTCAATTGGAGCACTCGCAGGCCAGGGTTTCCCAGTTGTCGGTGTTCATGCTACATTTTTTTAGCAGTAAACCCCAATTCAATAGGGTTTACTCCTACATGAGTGAGTAAAGGATTTCAGGCGTAGTTTCCGTTGGGAGAAGAGCACAGGAGATGGGTTTGCTCCTATTTATTTAGCAGTATATTGGACAACACAACTGCTGATCCTGCTTTGGATTCTGAAATTTTAGCTAGGTAACATCTCTATCCAAATTAAATCAGAATGGGCTGCTTTCTGCACATGTCCCTCTCTGTCTTCCATCCAACATGCAAGAGGCATATAGGATGGGAGACACCTGGCTTACCAGTAGTACATGTGAAAAGGATCTAGGGGTCTTGGTGGACCACAAGCTGAACATGAGTCAACAGTGTGATGCAGCAGCAAAAAAACTAACACTATTCTAGGCTGCATCAACAGGAGTATAGTGTCCAGATCAAGGGAAGTCATAGTCCCACTCTATTCTGCCTTAGTCCGACCACATTTGGAATACTGTGTCCAATTCTGGACACCACAATTTACGAAGGACGTTGACAAGCTGGAACGTGTGCAGAGGAGGGCAACCAAGATGATCAAGGGTCTGGACACCCAGCCTTATGAGGAGTGTTTGAAGGAGCTGGGTATGTTTAGCCAGGAACAGAGGAGACTGATGGGAGATATGACAGCCATCTTCAAATACTTGAAGCGCTGTCACATGGAAGATGGAACAAGCTTTATTGCCGCTCTGGAGGGTAGAAGAAGAAGAAGAAGAAGAGTTTGGATTTGATATCCTGCCTTTCACTCCCTTTAAGGAGTCTCAAAGCGGCTAACAATCTCCTTTCCCTTCCTCCCCCACAACAAACACTCTGTGAGGTGAGTGGGGCTGAGAGACTTCAGAGAAGTGTGACTGGCCCAAGGTCACCCAGCAGCTGCATGTGGAGGAGCGGAGACGCGAACCCGGTTCCCCAGATTACGAGACTACCGCTCTTAACCACTACACCACACTGGCTCTCACACTGGGTAGGACACAAAACAATGGCTTTAAGTTACATAAAAGGAGATTCTGACGAAACATCAGGAAGAACCTTTCTGACAGCAGGAGCCCTTCAACAGCGCAACAGGCTCCCTTGGGAGGTTTTGCACTCTCCTTCCTTGGAAGTTTGTAATCAGAGGTTGGATGGCCATCTGTCATGGATGCTTTAGTTGAGATCCCTGCATTGCAGCGGGTTGGACTAGATGACCCTTGGGGTCCCTTCCAATTTTACAGTTCTAAGATTTTATGAAATGTCCTTACAACATAATGCAATTTAGTCCCATATGATTAAGCAATTATAAATAAATGAGTGTCCACTCCCACCCTGAGAATAATGCACTCAGATAAACTGCTATGTGCAGATCTTTTTGGGTAAGATACTTTGGTCATAACAACAGGCTACACCCAGCTAAAACCTACTTAGGGCAGACCCTTTGAAATTAATGTTGGGATTTTTAATTCATTTCAGTGAGTCCACTCTGAGTAGGACTAGCATCTGAGGCAACTGTGTGGGGGGGGGGAGGAAGATATGTAAGTTTACATAGCAGGAGGGCTGAGAGCAAATGTAAAAAAGTATGGGACAGCTGCATATTCCTGCAATGCAGAGGGTTGGACTAGATCAGGCATGTCCAAAGTCCGTTTCAGGGGCCTAATCCGGCCTGCCGGTCGGTTTAATCCAGCCCCTGTGGCAGTTTATTAAAATCCACCCCCCAAAAAACCCTCCACAACTTCAATCCTAAAAAAAGGTCAACAACTTTTCAGCCCTTTGGGCGGCCCTCACGACCCTTCACTTCATCAAATCTGGCCCTCTTTGAAAAAGACCCCTGGACTAGATGATCCTCAACTCTACAATACTATATTTCTAGGGCAGGCATGGCCAAGATGTCGTGATCGATTTGGAGATCGTGGGGCTGATATTGGTTGATCGCAGGCTTGTCCTTCTTCTGAAGCTGACTTGCCTTCTGGGAGTTACAGCTCTGGTGGCGGCGTGAGGGGACGTGGTGGAGGGGAAGGCAGGAAACAAAAGGAACACACACACACACCCCGAAAAAACAGTGAGAACGGCAAAGAAGAAAACACATGGGGGAAAGCCCCCTTAGCGCGTCATGAGTTTGAGGGAAAGGCTTTAAAGCAACAGTAGGGGAAAGACGGAGAAGCCCAGTGGAGGCTGCCTTGCCCCGTGAGCAGCACAGCTTTGAGCAGGGCCACACAGACACACACACAGCACCCGAGCGAGGGCGGGACATGGACGGGCAGGGAGAGCAGCTGGCATTTTGTCACCCCTCTCAGTGATGACACCCGGGGCGGGCTGCACGGGTGGGCAAACAAACTGCCCACCCCCTGCTCTGGTCCCCATGATGGAGGCAGGGACACATTATCTCCACACTGCAGATTCTCATAGCAGTAGAAGTCGTGGCCCTCCAAGAAGCTGAGTGTTGGGAGATCCAGGACAGATAAAAGCAGATAATTGAACTATGGAACTCACTGCCACTGGAGGCAGAGATGGCAACTAATGCAAGAATATTTTGCCCAACATGGCGCTCCAGCTGGTGACCCTTAGATTAAGAGTCCAGCACTATCCAGAGGACACCCCATTTGATGCCTCCGATATGCAGTACAGAATCCAGCTTGTAAATAAGGAACGTCAATGCATCAACCTTAAACACGTTTATAACAGGGCAGAAGCCCCACTCAATGCAATGGGGTTTATTTCTGACCAAGTGTAAAGAAGGTGAGGCTGTATTTGCAGAGGATATTTGAAGCTGACGCCTTGTTCAATTTCTTTTAGATTTTCTTCCCGTCTGCGGTCTCCAGAGCAAGGAACTATCTTGTGTGACATGGGTCAAGGGGTTCATTTTTAGTCCTCTATTAATCCAATGGTGCATGCATTTTCATAGCTGCATAAGGTCTTGTGGGGAGAGGAAGGTTTCCTAGAATTGCAGAAATGTGAGGGACCCTGAGGATCCTCTAGTCTCACCCCCTGCAGTGCAGGAAACATTTGCCCAACGTGGGGCTCAGACCCACAAACCTGGGATTAAGAGTCTCATGCTCTGCCAAATCAGACATCTCAAAAGGAAAACAAGATAGAAGGTGAGAAAATTTATTAGGACTCCTAAAAGTGTGACTGCTCTCTAAGAAGTAAGCTGCAGAGGGAATTCTGGGGAAAGGAAAGGAAAGAAGAGCAACCCATTTTTGTTTTGTTATTTCTGCTGATTTTGACTGGAATGAATCCTCTCAAAGGGCCCTGCCCAACATGCTTTTGGAGGGTAAATGTTTTTTATGTCAGTCACTCTGGTCTGGAGAGAAACTCCTGCTGGGCCTGAGAGGCAGATTTAGTCTCCTCAGGAGATAATGAGGTGGGCTTCATTTCCCCACAGAAGAAAATAAGGCAGGAGGGTCTCTCCAGAGAACAAGGCTTCTGAGAACGTGTAGAGTTCGGCTCCTGAGTCAGCGTCAGAAAAAGACACACGTCCCCCTTCATAGTCCAGAGTCACCCGGATCCTCCTGGGCTCCCAAAACAGGGACAGAGGAGAGTCATCTGGGGAGGTGCAGGCCCAGTACTCCCCTCCCCACATCCCCACAGCCCAGACCCCTGTCTCAGGATTGAAGTTGAAATAGTCCTTTCTCTCCACAGACTCCCTGGCAACCCCCAAACCCCACCATTCCCCACTTCTCGCAGTGACTTCCCAGAAATGTCTGCCTGCTGTGAATCCCTCACGTCCCAACACACAAGGCCAGTCACTGAATCTCTCAGGATTATCAGGCAGGGCTTGAGGTTTGTCTCCCAATCTCATGCTTTTCCCATCCTCCGACAGGATGAGGCTGGGATGGGCTGTGTCTGGATCCAGAGTGACATTTGCTGTTGGGGAAAAGATGAGGGAAAAAGAAGAATAGGCAGAGTCAGCTCAGAGACAGAAATGGACATCTTCATTAAAAAAACCGAAAACCCCAGAATCCCTTTCAGATCAAGGGGATTTCTTTGCATCGCATGCTAGACTGAGACTCCTCCTTGCAGACTCTCATCAGAATAAATATATTCCTTGATGGTTTTTAAATCAGTTTCCTTCACTTTCTAATATTCGATGTGTATTGTGCCTTCCCTCCTCTCAACCGAGGCATTTTCTAAACAGTATATAAATTTTATGAAATAAAGCAAAATCTATAAAATTGAGGGGGAAACCAGGATAATAGTCTGTCTGGAAAAATAAATTCTGTGACCTGCGTGAAACACTTGAGAAGATAGAAAGAATGACAAAAGAAAGCACAGTTAGTTCTGAAAATGAAATCCTTAGTGTGCAATAAAGGTAAAGGTACCCCTGCCCGTACGGGCCAGTCGTGTCCGACTCTAGGGTTGTGCGCCCATCTCACTTAAGAGGCCGGGGGCCAGCGCTGTCCGGAGACGCTTCCGGGTCACGTGGCCAGTGTGACAAAGCTGCTCTGGCGAGCCAGCACCAGCGCAGCACACGGAAACGCTGTTTACCTTCCCGCTATAAAGCGGTACCAATTTATCTACTTGCACTTAGGGGTGCTTTCGAACTGCTAGGTGGGCAGGAGCTGGGACCGAAAGACAGGAGCTCACCCCGCTGCGGGGATTCGAACCGCCGACCATACGATCGGCAAGTTCTAGGCACTGAGGTTTTACCCACAGTGCCACTCGCGTCCCTAGTGTGCAATAGTCTGCCAAATAATTTTAAATCAATCAGAGTACTTGGGATTGCTTTCCTTACTTTGTTTGGATCATCTTATGCTTGTGACCAGCTGTTTTCAGCTTTGAATTATACCAAATCTGACACCAGAAACAGATGACTTGAGTGATGCATGTGTTGCTCTCAAACTTACAAAGTATGAGCCAAGGTTAGACAAATTATCAACATGCATACAGCAGCAAAAATCACATTAATTGTTCAAAAGCATGCCAAATACAAACTTTTACCTTTTAATAAAAAGTTTGTATCATTGAAAGCTCTGTTATTGTGTTTTTCTTTTAATACCAAAGGTGTTAATGTATGGGTTGTTTTTTTCTAAACTAAAACCTCAGTATTCAGGTTAAATTGCCGTGTTGACACTTAGTGATAAATAAGTGGGTTTTGGGTTGCAGTTTGGGCACTCGGTCCCTAATAGGTTTGCCACCACTGGTCTATAGGCAGAAATGGAACTCAGACTGGTGTGCAGGTTCTTCGCAGGGCCAAGCTCTGCCCCCAGTCCAAGCCTTCAAACCCTCTCCCAGTTCATTCATGGGACAGACAAGGAACCCAAACACCACTAGAGGGGTGTTTCCCAGAGTGACGCCATTGATGGGGGTCCCAAAGTCTGCAGAGCAGACGGTTCAACACCCATGAAATATCAGTCCCCATCCCTCCTGTGAAATTGTTCCTCCCCTGGAAATTTACCTTTCTGAATCTGTTCACTGAATAGCAGAGCATCTGAGGAAGCAGAAAGATATAAAGTGTAAGGGCAACACTCTTCCACCAGAAATAAATATCCATACAAAAGTAACACTTCATAACGTGGCATCCTTAAATTCTACTATCATAGGAAGAATCTATGAAAATAACTAAAGCTTTAAAACACAGCAATAATAAAGCAAGCTTACAAATAGCAGAATAAAAACATTCACAATATATCCTGCTGGTCTCTGAATTTTGTCCCTGAAATTGGGCTCTACATTGGAGGACTGGAGGGGAGGCAGAGCAAGAGGAATCCCGTAAAAGGATGCAGAGGGGAGATGGAGGCAGCCTTAACATCTTCCCCAAGTAAAGTGGTGGGGGGAATCATTAAAGCCAAAATTGTGAAACGTAAGGAGAAGTGAAGGTTGATGAGGAAGGATTGGCAAAGCTCTCATGAAGAAGGAAGCCCTTCCTCACAAACCTTCTACAAATCTTTAAGGTTCTTCACAAGCATAATTGTGCCCTTTGGGGCTCATGTGCTCTTGCTTCCTCTCTCAATGGGGGAACTCTCAGGAGATCTTGAAGGCTGAAGCCCTAGATATGGCAGCTGCAGGGGGACGTCTGAGGAGGAGACGGTTCAGGCCTTGGCTCCACAGCTGAGAAACAAGCCTGAGCAGGAGGCAGAGGGGGAACTGGGGGCTTCTTAATGCCCTTTGACTCCATTCAGAGCAGGAGAACCTCCAAAAGGACAAACTCAGATTGTGCAGACAGGGAACCACAAGGAAAAGGAGGTTCCATATAATTATAAACAGATGCACACTGGATGAAAAAAACCTGACTTTGCTCTACACTCTGGTTCAGGCTTTCTTTACAGGATCCAGCGTCACAATATACATGGGCCATTCTGGGGGACAGGAAATGAAGGCTGGAGCACCAAGAAGGAAGGTATCCTGGGGTTACTCAATTCCATGCAATAAAAGCCTGGCGTGTTCAGTTCTGAAGAAGTAACAGAATTCCCAGTGTGAAATCCTGGCAGCCATTATTCATTACCTTTCCATTGTTTCATTGTATTCTTCACAAGGTGATTTAGATCACAGGATTCCAAGATCCTGTTCCTCAGTTTTGAAGGGAAAGCCAGTGGCTTCTCCAGACTCTCTCTTTCCTCATACCTGGTGAAAAGAAAAACAGTGAATGGCCCCATTGTGGCCCCGTCTCCCTAATTCTTGCAGGTGATTTCAATAAGACGAACAAAGTGGAAGTTTATTTCCCACCAGGTTTATTTCCACCACAGATGAGACCTCAGTCCGAAACCCCTGAGGACAGCTATCAGTGGCTATGTAAGGATGCTCAACAGCACAGGGGACAGGATGTAACCCCAAGCGACACCACCGGAGGGCTCCCATGGCTTCAAACTATGCTGCCCCCTAACAGCTTTCTGGGAAGATGCCAGGACTTAAGAACCAAACTCCTGAGGTGGAATGCCTGCAACCCCTCCCTCCCTGAGCCTCCCCAGAGGATGTGAGTGATGTCAAAAGCTGCCAAGTGGTCAAGGAAAACAACCTCCACCCTCCCTTCACTCCCTCTCTCACCCAGGAAGGGCACAACCCCATGTCCCATTGGATTCTCCCTCCAGAGGCAGGAAACAACCAGACTTTCACCCCCCACTCAAGACCACCTTCAGCCTCTCACGGTGGAAACGCTCCCAAGAAAAAGAACCCACCCATTCTAGACCAACAGACCTTCCCTCTCTCTGTGCCTCAAAGGGGCTGAGTTACCAGAGTTGGGGGGCTTCTAGTTGGACATTGAAATAGGTCCTAAACTCTTCCGAAGCATCTTTGGCACTTTCTCTTCTAGATGTTTGAAATTACCACAAAGTCCATGAACAGAAAGTCCAAGAGAAAGAAAAGATCCCCCATCCCTTTGTGAAGTGATGTGGGGAGGGAGGGAGGAGGCAGTTGACCTTGATCCTTGGAGGGAGAATTGGGGGGCTACAAGTTCAGAAGAGGGGGCTCTACTTTTACCTGTGAGGTGCTGCAGGGAGTGAGTCCCACAGTCTCCCCCCTGCAGCCCCTGGAGGGCCATGTCTGAGGTTCTGGCATCTCAGCTTCAAAGAGTGATGCTAATGGAAATGAGCCAGATCCACTTACCTCTGCAAGGTCCTTCTCACATCCTAGAGGGAAAAGGAGAAGGGAATTCATTGCACACCACAGGCCACACTAGGAAGACCCCCTCAGACCCTGCCCCTCGGATGTCAGTCTGCCTGGCACACGCCAAGGTTTTGGGTAGGAATGGCTGAATCAGCCAGTTTTCATTTCTCACAGCTTTTATTTTTCCATTCTGAAATTATGAATTTTTCTAGTATCAAGTTCTTCACATTTCCGCATCACAGCTGAAGGGCATTCGGAGACAAAGCATCAGCAAAGAGCAGAAGATCAGCTCCCGTTCCATCAAGAACACAGACGAATCTCTACTCTGCATTCAGGTGAGTCCCAGGTCTCTTGGGTCTTCCTGTCCATTACAAACCTGACTAGAGGCTCCGTCAACTGAGTCCCTGCACTCCTTGTATACATGAAAGGGGCACATGAAGGATTAGAGGCAGCCTTCTCCTGGAGCCTTGGGCTGTTCCTGCCACCATCTTACCTGCAGGAGTTCACTCGCTGGCTGCTGACTCTTCTCCTCCATCTCCTGGATGATCCTCTCAAGAGAGGAGAGATTCCTGGAGAGTCTGGCCAGCTGCTCATCCCTTCTCCCTGCAATCTCCTTCTCCACCTCTTCCACATCATTCAGCAGACGTTTTTCTTGTTTTTCCAGGAACTGGCGCAATTCTCTGAACTTCTCCATAGTCTTCAGCCTCTCCGTTTCTGTTAATTTCTGCAAGAAAAGAGGAGGTCTGAGTGTGGAAGGTGCTCAGCCTTCAAGACATCAGGAAGAGAATAGTGAAAATTCCACAGGGAGGACACTTCTGATTTTTCAGAGGCATGAAACCTCCAGTGGCTAAAGAAGTAAACCTTTATTTTTAGGGCAGGCCCTCTCCATTGCTGTTTCTGTTGACTTCTCTTTTGCAGAGAGCTACAGCCTAAAGGAAGGACCTTTTTCCTAGCCATGGGTGTTCCCTGCATGTTTTTGGGCATGGCATAACCAGAGTTCAGAGTTGTTCAGAGATCACCCAGGGACATAAAACACCCCTTAGCTTAGGCTGGTGCAATTTAGGTGTAGGAAAACTGCAGAAACAGGAGGAGGAGGACAGTGCAGACTTCATCCCCATTGCTCCCCTGTTTTCTTTAAAGGTTCAAAATAGCCTGAGTTTCCTAAAAATGAACAAGAGTGCACATTCAGAAAGATAACTCTTTAGTAATATTTATGGTAAATCAGGATTTGAATTGAACCACTTCCACCCTCTCAGCTCACAAGTCCTCAGGCTTCTCCTTGACTGCTATTCACATAATAAATGACAAGGGGAAATAAACTCAATTTAGCTGCATTGAAAGGTGATGGAGACTGAAATATAGAGACTGAAACAGAGCAATCTTTTGAAATTCACACCTCTGAATTTTTCAAGGTTGACCCAGCCAGGTAACGTTCACAAAAATGTATTTATGAGGGTAAAGTACGTATCAAAATATTTATACAAGAAGGTAGCCACCTTAGCATTTTATTCATTTTCATAATAATAATAAGGAAACAAACAAACTGATATGGAAAAGGAGAATGGGGGGAAGTTGAAATGGGCAGATTTCCCCATCCTTCCACAGTCCTGACTCAATTCTTCAAGTGCTTGTTCCCCCCCTAGTAACAAGAGTGGCACTTACAAGGAGGTCTTTGCTTTCCTTGTCCAGGGCTGCTTGATAGGCCAGAATTTCCTCTCTCTCTTTCCTCAGAATCTCCAAGCGGTGACAGATCTCTCCCTGAAAAGAAAAAGGGAAACTTTGGTTTTATTGAGACACAGAGAGAGGAGATGAATATTATACAGGCTTCTTGGGTCCAGTGGCCTTGCTATAATAGCGAAGTACAGTGGTACCTCGGGTTAAGAACTTAATTTGTTCCAGAGGTCCGTTCTTAACCTGAAACCGTTCTTAACCTGAGGTACCACTTTAGCTAATGGGGCTCTCGCTGCCGCCACACAATTTCTCTCATCCTGAAGCAAAGTCCTTAACCCGAGGTACTATTTCTGGGTTAGAGGAGTCTGTAACCTGAAGCGTCTGTAACCTGAAGCCTCTGTAACTCGAGGTGCCACTGCAGTTTACTAGAGGAAATAAAAGCACAACGTTTTTGGGTCCATGGCTTCCTGGACCAACTTCCTTCTTTCTGCGGTGTCCCTGTGGGGGGGCTCAGGATCCCAGTTAGGTCCCCCCTTGCTTGCAGCCCCACACCCTCTCAAACACCCTCCCTTCTGGAGGGCTCTCTCAGCCTCCTCTCCCCTCTCCTTAGGAGTCCTCCTCTGGGTCTCTGAGCTGCCCCCAAAGAGATGCCTCCTCACGCTGCCCCACAGGGACTTGTCTGTCCCTTCCCAACAGCAAGGCCCCCTCGCCAGTTTGCTTGCTTCCTCCGAGGTCGCCTCAGCTCCTGGCAGCCAACACCCCCTGGCCAGCCCCAGAGGCACCATTCGCCAGCGGAGCTTGTAGCCAGGGCTGCTGCAACAAACAGCTGCGCAAGCCTTTGGGAGGCAGCTATGGGAGGGAAGGAAAGAGGGACAGAGGCCAGCGTTGCCAGCAGCACCCCTGAGCATCATTCAAGGCACCCCAGGTGCCACAGCACACTGGCTGAAAAGCACGGCAGAACTGGGATGGGAAAGTTTTCTAGTGCAACACACTAGTCTGGAGAAGAGCAAAGGCAGCCATGCTTGCTCCTTTGTCTCCTCCAAGGAAAGTCCTAGCCTGACTTCTCATCTTGAGGTCCCAGGGAGACGTGGGAAGAGGAGGAGGAGGAAGGGCTAAGGCCATATCCAGAATGAGGGTTTTCTTTTTTTATGTATAATAGCACAGGTCCAATTCTGAGTTGTCATGGAAAAGTCATCTTTCCCCCTGGTCTTTGCAGATGCTACTCTGAACCACTGAGTCCTTTGCCATTTGGGATGGGAGGAGATCCTCAGCAGACACCCCTCCCCCACTGAAAGCTCACTGCACAGGCCCCACAGCACCCCCAGAATAAGCGTGCTCCTCACCAGTAGGTGCTTCCACTCCGCCCCCACTCCTAAATCTGCGTCCAACAGATACTTGGGGGGCAGGGATCCTGCACTATGTGGTCAATTCCTGGCCACCAGTCCCCCCCCCCCCCCCGCTGATCCCTTGCTGCTCTCTGCTTTGCAGGGCATTGAGGAGGCATCCTGCTAGCCAAAAGAGACATGTACTTAGTTGTGTATGTGCAATGTACATTTGTAGTGTTCTTCATATGTACAAAGCAACCTGCTGGGGGATGTGGATGAGGTTAACCCTTTCTCTCCCCGCCATGGTACCAGTTCAAATCTTTGAAGCTGCTGTGAGTATTTCAAGGGAAGATCCCTTTGGCAGAGAGACAGACTTCAACTCCTTCCTCCCAGACCTCCTGCCTCCTCTGGGCTGCTTCTACCGTACTAAACCACCACCAATTCATGCCATGCCTACTTTGGACCGGAGAATTAAAATTAAAACCTCCCAAGAAGAATCCACAGCTATTTCTCCCCCTCCAGATCCAGAGATCTCCTACCTTGTATTCCTTGGAAGCCTCCTCCAGAGGAATCACTTCGTGATGTTTGTGGTCCTTGGATCTGTCGCACACCAGACAGATGGGGGCTTCATCCTCCGTGCAGAAGAGCTTCAGGAGCTCCTGGTGCTTCTCGCAGACTCCTCATTTCCCTCCTTCCTCCTTTCCCTCTTGAAGGCTGAGATTCTCGATTAATTCTACGAAGTTTGCCAGTTGCCTGTTGCGGATGAGGCTCCTTCTCTGGACTGTTTTTCTGCAGTGAGGGCAGGAAGCCTCTGCCTCCGATTCCCCCCAGAACAGGATCAGGCAGGATCGGCAGAAGTTGTGCCCACACTCTGCGATGGTGACTGGATCCTTGAAGTAATCCAGGCAGATGGAGCACGTGGCTTCGTCACAAAGATTCTGGATGGGACCCCCTGCAGCAGCCATGGCTCCCTCAGTTTCGTTTTCTCAGTTTTCCCCCCCTGGGAGTTTCACTTCCCGGAAATGACTCAGAAACTCAGTGACCACGTGATCTTAAGATCTTTTCAGTTCCTGAATGTTTTCTCAAGTGGCAGTGACATAGCTGTCAACTTTTTCCCTTTTCTTGTGAGGAATCCTATTCATAATAAGGGAATTTCCCTTTAAAAAAAGGGAAACGACAACTATGAGCAGTGAATGCTCCTTGATTGCTTCCCATGCCTTTGACACACAAACACACAGGGACCTTGTAACTTATGGTATTCATGCCGTAACATTTTCATTCATAGGCTTCCTTGTCATTTTTGAATTGGAGAAAATCTGCTGCTGCCCTAAATGGTCGGGAGTTTTGATTTAGCTAGAGGTGTTAGCATTTCACTCCTCCATTGCTGGATGTATGATTGCTATATCACATGTCTGTGTTTACTTTCTAGGCTTGGAAAGTGTGAGAATGGGAGTCAGTCTTACCTCTTACGCTGTACTGTACTTCTGTATTGTTTCTCTCCCCGCCTCTCTTGGAGAAGAACTGAGAGGACGCCATGGTTGCTTTGTCCTGTATATATTGCTTAATAAGTACTTAGAATGCTACACTCATGCTCCACAATCGTTTCTGCTATACTCTGCTGATAAGAGTGTGCATATTCTTTTGATATGTGTCACTACTGTGCACCATGAATATTTGAGAACGTCCCAGGGCTGCATTGCATCAGGAAGATGCCCAGAGAAGTTTGTCTCATCCCGGGGGCTGCGTGTGCCCCCAGGCGTATTCCGACAAGGGGGACTTGATTCCGTGAAGAAAACTCCTAAAAGTCTAGTTGCTAATTCTAACTTTATCCATTTTTAGCATGCTGGCAAAGAACTTCGGATTGAAAGAGACGCTTTTAGTCTTGCCACCCTTTTTATGGGCTTTCTATAGGGTACGGGTAGGGGGCACAGGGGTTGCGTTTATAGAACCAAAAGAGGCAATGGCCCCCCCAAATTTGGGAGCCACTGGAAGTATCTGGGCTACAGGAATCTGCCAAGAGAACCATCGTTATTATTACCATCACTAAAACACTAAACCACTGTACCATCACTAAACCACTGTTTCAAGGCAATTTACACAGAGTTGAAAACAGTTTTAAATCACAAGAACAGCAAATACATTTAAAACCAGTACTTTTTTCTGGGGGGTGCAGGGGTACTCCTAAACATTTTGTGAATCGAAGTTTGGCCTCATTGAGGGGCAGTGTTTTAATATGTGTAGGGAAATGAGAGTACATCTAAACAATTTAAAGAAAAAAAGCACTGTTTCAAACCATAACAAGTGGACTTGTGGTAAAAAGCCATTTATCCAGCCTGTTGGAGCAAAAATGCCTCCAGAAAGTGCAGAGATTGGGCGTCTTTCACATCTCAACAGGAACGATATTTCATAGAAGAGGGGCAGCCACTCTCAAGGCCCTGCTCAGAGTCACTGTGCAAAAGGGCTTGTGAGATCTTGGGGATGTGCAGAAGAGACACTCCCACAGATCTAGTGGTGTATAAGACATAAGCCCCTCTCTCAAGTCACCTGGTCTTGGGGTATATGGGACCTTGAACTTGGCCCAGGAGCTGACTTGTAGCCTGTGGGAAATTCGCTAGCAGGGTGATCAGCACTGGCGGTCATTTGTCCCCACAAGCATGTTGACTTTCTGCACTGTCTTTTGCACAAGCCATTGCGCTAGGGAAACTAGGATGCGGCCGAGGGACTTTGGCTTAGGGCAGCATTGACTTCCTCCCTGTGTTTCAGATGCCGTATCAGGGGACAGCCACCAGGCCCCTTGAGACAGATGAGGCTTCACCAGACAACTCCCAGAGACAAAGCTCTGTGGACTGAAATGAGATGGGGACATGATTTTGCTGGGTAAGGCTTTATTTATTATTATTTTTTAAATGATATTTATTAAGAGTTTTAAAGTTACAGAAAAAGCAGAGAAGAAAAAGAAAAAGAAAAAACAAAAGAAAAACAAACCACAATCAAACAATACAAATTGATAAAAATAAAAATCAAAAAATAAGAACAAAGCACGTAACAGAACACAATCAAAAAACAAAAATAAGCCACAAAAATTTAAAAACAAATCCAATATTCTCATATCCTTGACTGTCATTACCTTCTTTCTTTGACCTCCTCACTCCTCCCTTTTTTTGTATCCTAGTTATTAATAGTCACAGCAAATCCTTTCCATTTTTCATAATATTCTGTCATTACATTACCTTAATCTATTTTAAATTTATCTTACTATAAAAGACCTTAAAACTTAAAACTTATTTATACCAATTTCTCAGAACCATAACATATTCTTACATAATTCTTTTAACATTTTTGCTAAAGCCAAATAATTTCGTTCCAACATTTTTCTAACATTCATCAATTTTATAAAACAATCCTAATAAAATAAAAATTTTTCTTCCAATCTTCATCCAGCGTCTCTTCCTCCTGGTTCCGGGTTTTGTCAGTCCTTTCTATCCCATCAATCTAGCGCATTAACCTGGTAATCTTATGTCCGAGGCCCTTAAGTCTCTTCCATGTCCCTTCCACGGCTCTTCTTCATATTTATACCTGTACTTTACTTTGTCTCCTGCTCCTTTCACTCGTGGGAACTCCAACTTAACAGTGTTTTTGACCCTTCTAGACAAATCAATCCCTTTTCCATGCTCCACACTAAACCCCATGTGGTATATAAAAACATGTTTCAAAGTCCCTCCAGAATTAAGAGCCCCCACAACCCCAAACATCTCACAGCCCATTGCCAGACTTGAAAAGTCCAAACATCCCTGCATAGGGGGGTCTATCCAACCCCCCATTTCCAAACCAAACCAAACTTTATCTTTCCAAATCTGGCTTTTTCCAAGTTCATTTGTCAGATCCAAAAACTCATGTTCCTGCTGGGCCACAGCTCCCTCCATCTCTGGCGCCCGAGGTTCAACAGCATCCTCTTCCCTCATCTGATCTGTCAGAGCACACTCCTGATTTAATTCCTGGGTGTGCTCTATATAGTTACCCACTACCTGTCCGAAATTTCCGATCGCATCAGTCATCAAGTCCGTCTTCTCATGTAGCTGTTCCAGTAGGGCACTTGTTTTGCAGAAAGCACGCATCAGAGCTTCTGGATACATTGTTCTGCAAGGTCAGAAGTCTATTCCCACGATTGTAATCTGCTGCAGCTGCAGGGCTCCCCGATTCAGATTTAGTAACAGTTTCACAGGCTCCCTCTAGGGGAAGAACTTCTATTTGTTCTTTTCTTTTTCTTTTTTTTATAATTTTTTATTAAAGTTTTAAACAACAAAACAAAAAACACACACACACACAAAAAACAATACAAAACTTAACAATAAAAACACAAAGCACAACAATTAAAAACAAACTCTCTTTTCCATTTCCAATTTTAAATTACTTATTTTCTAGACTTCCTCATACCTCCCTCTTTTGTATTCTAGTTCACATTATTTGTCCAGCAGTTTCTTTTCCACTTTTTTAATCCCTATCTTTAATTTAATAAAATGTTGAAATATATAACTTCAACTTTTTTAAACCTAATCCTTGATCTTAATATCATATAACTTTAAAGTTTTCCCTTTTAATATCAAATTTCCATTTCTTTAAACATCTTTAATCTTAATCTTTAATCTTAATCTATCCTTAACTTTAACCTGTGCAGCTGGAAACCACTTGTTTTCAGTCCAACATCACTCTAACATTCCTTAATTTTGCAGTGTTTCTGAAGATAGTCTTTGAACTTCTTCCAGTCTTCCTCCATCGACTCTTCTCCCTGGTCACGGATTCTACCAGTCATTTCAGCCAGTTCCATATAGTCCATAAGTTTCATCTGCCATTCCTCCAGCGTGGGAAGTTCTTGTGTCTTCCAGTACTTTGCGATGAGTATTCTTGCTGCTGTTGTTGCATACATAAAGAAATTTCTATCCTTTTTTAACACCATTTGGCCTGATAATAATGAAGCCAGTCTCGCACTTTGTTTTTTAGTTTTTCAAAACTCTGCAATTTCAATCTATCTCCATCTTGTTCCAAAATTTCCCAATATTTCGGCCATTTGACCTCCATATTGACCTTTTTCAAGGCTTTCGCTTCCATTGGTGACAGCCACCTTGGGGTTTTATTTGCTAGCAAATCCTTATATCTTATCCAAACATTAAACAGCGCTTTCCTGACAATGTGGTTTTTAAATGCTTTATGTGCTTTGACCTTATCATACCATAAATATGCATGCCATCCAAATACATTATTAAAACCTTCTAGATCCAAAATATCAGTGTTTTCAAGAAGTAGCCATTCTTTCAACCAGCAAAAAGCTGCTGATTCATAGTACAGTTTAAGGTCTGGCAGGGCAAATCCACCTCTTTCCTTTGCATCCGTTAGTATTTTAAATTTTATTCTGGGTTTCTTGCTCTGCCAGACAAATTTAGAAATATCTTTCTGCCACCTCTTGAAACAATCCATTTTGTCCACGATCTGCAAAGTTTGAAACAAAAACAACATTCTGGGCAATACATTCATCTTTATCGCAGCAATAGGGCCTAGCAGTGAAAGCTTCAAATTTGACCAAATTTCTAAATCTTTTTTCACTTCTGACCAACATTTTTCATAGTTATCTTTAAATAAATTCCCATTTTTGCTGTCATGTTAATCCCCAGGTATTTAACTTTCTTAACCACTGTTAAGCCTGTCTCATTCTGAAACCTCTCTCTTTCAAACGGTGTTAAATTTTTCTCTAGAACCTTGGTTTTTGACTTGTTCAACTTAAATCCTGCCACTTGACCAAATTCTTGAATCAGTTCTAAAACCCTTTTAGTACTAGATTCTGGCTCCTGTAACGTCAATACTAAGTCATCTGCAAATGCTCTCAATTTATAGTGTTTAATTCCGACCTGTATACCTTTAACCATCTGGTCCCTTCTAATCATATTCAGCAGAACCTCCAGGACCGAAATAAAAAGAAGTGGGGAGATTGGGCAACCTTGTCGTGTCCCTTTTTCAATTTTAAGTTCTTCCATCACAACATTATTTACAATTAGTTTAGCCTTTTGTTCTGAATAAATTGCACTTATACCATTCTCAAAACCTTGGCCTACCCCCATACCCTGTAGATTCTTCTTCATAAAATTCCAAGAAATATTGTCAAAGGCTTTCTCCGCGTCTACAAATATCAGCACTGCTGACTTCCGGTCGGCGCCATCGGTTAATGGCGGATTTCCCTCCGAGCTCCGGAGGGGGTCTGCTTTACAAGTTCGGGTCCTGTCGCTACGGCGAAGCGGGGACCCTCAAAAATTACAGGCGCGGAAGCCTGTGAACAAGGAGGCTCGGTGGGCACCATCGCGCCCCCCCCCGAAATCGCAAGGGAGCCTTTTTAAAGGCTCCGGAACGGCAGCGGGGGGAGAAGCGGTGCTGAGAGCCGCTACCCAGCTTGTAAAGCGAAGCCGCATCGCCATAGCCGGAGAGCGCCGATTCCTTCCTGAAAATTGGATTACAAAGTAAAACCAGTGAGTAAGACTGACTTAATTGGGATTTACAATTATCTTTTTGAAATTTGGCTGAAAACGGGATTGGTTAAAGTAAGGAAGTCAGCCTTTCCCGGACTGCATAAGGATAAAGCAAAGAAGGATTAAAAGCTGCAACCATTGAGAGATCGCAAAGAGTGAAGAGAACCAGACATAAACTGTGAATTTTCCCCCTTTTGGTAGGCAGGAGCAAAAGGGGGAGGAATTTGGAATTAGAACCTGCCAGAAAAAGATTTTAAAACTTTTTATCGCTGTGTCAAATACCCCTGAAACGGACTGCCGGGGCAAAGGAACCTGGAGAGAGAGAACTGTCAGTGAGCTGTCACTTAGATTATTACATTGTTTCAAACTACTCAGCTCAGGAGAGACATTAAATTACTGGTTTGTTGAACTCTGAAAATATAAGAACTGTTACAATTGACTATTGGGGAACCTCAGGGGAATTTTGGACTGTAAGACATTTTGTGTAGCTTTGGAAACTTTGTTCCCCTAGAGGACACTTTGATAACTGTTGCAAATTGGGCTGTAACTATTAAGGCAGTGGAAATTTCCCTTGAAAAACAACTAACAGCTGCGAGAGTGACCTTGGCTAGGCATGAGTGGTGCATCAGAAGAGACAACAACCAGGTCTGGGAGACAATACAAAACAAAATCTTCACAGCGAAGAATTTCAGTCCCAGGCATCCCAGTGGCACCAGCTGCAACTGGTCAGACAAGAACAACAATGTCATCAGATCCTGTAACACAAGCTTTGGTTAAAATAAATGAGTCTTTGGAATCTTTGACAAAGCAGGGGGCGGAAAATAGTAGAAAATTGACAGAACTCTCAATCAAACTTGATCAGAATACACAAAGTGTGAATGAATTAGGGAAAAGGGTGACATCTAATACAGAATCTATTAATAAAATATTAGAGGACTCTGCTAATATACGTAAAATCGCAGAAGAAGCCAAAGTCTCTGCTGATGAGGCTAAAGTCTCGGCGGATGCTACACAGGAAAAAATTGTACCAGTTTGCAAAAAGCTAGAAGATCATACATTGGCCCTGTCTATGCTTGAATTGGAGAGGAGAAGCAGAAACTTAAGACTACGAGCGGTGCCTGAAAGTGAAGGAGACAACTTGGCGAACTTCCTTTCTAAAGAATTTTCTGATTTTTGGCAACAGGAGTTAGAGAAGGAAGAAATTAAAATAGTCACTGCTTTTAGACTGGGAAGAGCACAAGGCAGGAAGAAGCCAAGGGATTGCCTAATAACATTAAGATCAAGAGAGGAAAGAGAAAAAATATTGAGCCTGCATTTTCAAAGAACACTCGAGATTGAAAAGTCTTTTGTGGAGATCTTTAAAGATATCCCAAAGGAAATTCTAGACGCAAGAACATACTATAAAGAATTGGTCGGATTGCTGAAGAAGAACGAAGTACCTTTCAGGTGGGAATTCCCGCAAGGCCTATCTTTCAAATTCAAAGGTAGGAAAATAAGGATAAGATCAGTGGAAGATCGAGATCAATTTTTAAATCACTACAGGGAAGACCTTCTGAAAGGAACAGTCGGAGAGGAAACAACATCAGAAACGAAAGACGCAACAGACATTTTAAACCTGACGTTTGGACTGAAATCACCGACAGAAGAAGAACAACTACTCGGAGCGACAGGAGGTAAATAGCTTCAGGATGGCCCTGCAACTTCTAAGCTGGAATTGTAATGGACTCAATCTTCCGCGAAGGAGGAAAAACATATTCCATTTATTGAAAAAAGAGCAGTTGGACATAATTTGTTTACAGGAAACTCATATAACAAGATTGCATAGGAAATTACTCGTCAATAAGAGATTAGGCCAAGAATTTATTTCATCGGATAAAGTTAAGAAAAGAGGAGTGGTAATCTATGCAAAAGAAAAATTTTCCCCAAAGTTTATATTTAAAGATGAACAAGGAAGATATTTGGCAATTGAAGTGCAAATTCAAGGTGAAAAATTTTTGATACTAGGGATCTATGCACCTAATGAAGGGAAGTCAGAATTTTTTAAGAAGCTGCATGAGACATTGCTGGACTATTTGGATTACAAATTAATTATGATGGGAGATATGAATGGAGTGGTATCTACAAATATGGATAAAGCACAAAGACAGGTAATTACCAGAGATGGGAGACTACCAAAGACTTTCTTTGAAATGACTGAAAATATGGACTTGATTGACATATGGAGAACAAGGAACCCTCTCGAGAGAGAGGGAACCTTCTTCTCTGAAGCAATGATGACCTGGACCAGAATCGATCAAATTTGGATTACTAGTGGGTTGGCTCCAAAGATTAAGAAAGTGGAAATCTGTCCAAAGACTTGCTCCGACCATAACGCCGTGAAGATGGAGATGAAATTTACAGTAACTGGTCAATTTAGATGGAGGATGAATGACAACCTATTTCGAGACGAGGAGATCCATAGAAAGGCCCAAAAAACTTTAAAGGACTATTTTGAAATAAATCTAAAAACTGATGTAGAAAAAAGAGTGATATGGGACGCAAGCAAAGCAGTGATGCGAGGATTTTTAATTCAACAAAATTCAGTAAAAAAGAGAAAGCAAAATGAGAAGAAGGATAAGATCTTGGAAAAGATAAAAGAAGGAGAGAAGAAATTGAGATCAAAACCAAAGTCCCAGGAGATTCTGAGAGAGATTAAGTTATACCAGACACAATATATGGAATTGATGAATCAAGAGATTGAATGGAAGATAAAACAAATGAGACAAAAGACTTTTGAATCAGCAGATAAATGTGGTAAGCTTCTGGCTTGGCAACTGAAGAAAAGACAGAAACTAAATACAGTTACAAGTCTAGAAGTGGATGGAAAGAATATTTCTAAACCTAACGAGATAAGAAACTGTTTTTTGAGTTATTTTAAAAAGCTATATTCACAAGGACCGCAGAAGGAAGAAGATATAGATGAATTCCTTAAAAAGTATGGACTACAAAAAATCTCCTACCAAAGTAAGGTGAATCTAAACCAGAGAATAACAGATCAAGAGATAGAGAGTGCCATTCAAAATATGCAACTGGGCAAATCTCCAGGACCAGATGGACTGACTTCCAGATACTATAAAGCTTTGAAGGAGTGGTTGGTACAACCATTAAAGGAAGTCTGTAATGAGATCTTGGAGGGGAAAAGGGCACCAGAATCGTGGAAAGAAGCGTATATTACACTCATACCAAAGACAGAGACTGAAAAGACTCAACTTAAGAACTACCGCCCAATATCATTACTCAATGTGGATTATAAAATTTTTGCAGACATTCTGGCAAAAAGATTGAAAAGAGTGTTGATGGAGAAGATTCATAAGGACCAAGCAGGCTTTCTCCCAAAAAGGCATTTATCAGATAATGTGAGGAACATAATAGACATTCTGGAATTATTAGAGGTGAATATAAACACTAA